AATATTTACAAAAATAAACCAAAATTAATTTACTAAATTATTTGTTTGTTCATCAAGTATGTCTACCATACCATATATAGTCTTCATTTTCATTCGTATTCTTTGCCTTTCTGAACACTGAATATAAACTACGAAAGTCGTCAAAAGTAGACATAAATCACATAAGCTGAGAGATCAATGAATGATCCAATTGAAATATCCCTTTATTTGCAAATGTTCTTATCGTCTCTCTCTCTACATTATGTGGTTGACCTTAGCCAAGTGTGTTGGGTCATGTCTGACTATTATGCAACTAATATAAAGTACACCCATTTACTTTTAAATATTACAAAGACGTATTCAAAACTGTATGCATAATATTCCGTTTTTCTGGGCCTGGTTCAACATATATCATTAAAAATGGCTACGTTTGCCAAAACGAATTTAAGTTTTGTAAAGAATTAACCCGAAAGGCCTGTGTCTTGATCCAACTGTCAAATATCAAGTTCAACTTTGTGTCAATTGGAAAGGTGAGAAAGGACAAGTGATGTAACGTTCTTAATTATCAACTGAAAGACAATGCCAGGTTCTAATCATGTCTAATATCAGTTAAATATTATATGGGAAGTGAAATGTGAGATTTATCCTTTATTTCGCTAATAATCTACGTGCAAAACAAGGCTCAATTTCTTATTTGCTAACCAGTTTTTAGTTTTAGTTTTTAATATAAACCATATATTTCTTAAGTAATTTTGTATATTACGTCTCCCATGGATATAAAATTACTTACTATACAAGGAGTAGATATAAAATGTCAGGTTCTGGCTCGCCACGGGCCGCCACGGGCCCGGGGCTTTCAAAATCTCTGAGAGATAAAGATGAGCAGGAGATATAGATGAGCAGGAGATAAATTAATTGAATGGGGATTAGGAGATAACTTAATTGGATGGGGCTTTCATCTTAAATGAGTGTTAGATAAGATGCGCATGACATCATTGTTATCTTAAATGAGTGTTAGATAAGATGCGCATGACATCATTGTTATCTTAAATGGGTGAGAGATAAGATGCGCATGACATCATTGTTATCTTAAATGGGTGAGAGATAAGATGCGCATGACATCATTGTTATCTTAAATGGGTGAGAGATAAGATGCGCATGACATCATTGTTATCTTAAATGGGTGAGAGATAAGATGCGCATGACATCATTGTTATCTTAAAAATCAAACATCAATTACTAAATAACTGAGAAAAAATTAATGTACAATATTGTTTAATTTGTTTGCATTTATTTTACAAACAAAAGTACCACATAATCTAATTAATCTTTATTATCACTAGCAGAATCATTGGTTTCATCAGATTCATTATCACTAGATTCACTAGCTTCGTCATTGTCACTAGAGTCAGTATACGATTCATCTGAAACATTTGCATCATCATAAAGTCCTACATTAATAATGTCTTCTGTCATATAGTTGTGGTGTAACATGGTCTTCTTAAAAGCATCTTCAAATGGTATGCCTGTACTCATTAATTGTTGGATGTCTACCATGATTTCTTTATGTGTTGGACTACATTGTAAATCTAGTAAATCTTCAACTAAATATTTGTAGTATGTCTTAAACGTTTCTCTTATTTTGGGTAGGAATTTTTGATTCGCCATATATCTTCTATCATACTCAGAATTCCCCTTCTGTTTGTCTATATATTTTGCCTCTTGTTCTTCAATTTGATCTTTAAATTTATTAATAGCTTTATCCTTTAGCCGTATATACACAGGGTTTTCCTGAAACCCTTCAGTGCATACCTTCTTCATTGGAGGGTCGTCTATATCTTCATTCAATGGACAGTTTTGGATATGATTCTGTAGATCCATTCTTGATATTAACATGACGCCACAATAGTCACAATGACATATTTCTTTCATGTTGTAATTTTTGTTGTCAGAATGCATAACGTTGCTGGGGATAGTATCTTTTATACTCGCAGTGAACTGATATGGAGGTTTCATTATTGAAGTATCATACTGTGACATCTCTTTAAATGGGTTTTCAATAGAATTCAAATCATATGGTAGTGCTATGTCATTGGATTGTACTGTCTTAGTAAATGGTTCTCCCTTTAGATGACTACTATCATGCTCATTCATTGTTTGACGAGTCTTATCATAACACAGTCTTAAATGCTCTGGGGTTTCTTGCTTTAGATCAATCAGTAAATGCCCATATGGTTTTAGAGTAGCTGCATTATAAGCATCTAAGAGTTTGTGACTGTTCCCAGGATACATCTGCTGAGAAAGTACTCTTACTTGGTTTTGATCTCTTGGATTCTTGTACAGTACAATGTAATGTGTATTCAAGCTGATGGTTCGATTCTCCCTTCCATGATGGAAGATATTCTGCAGTAAACAGATTACACTCAGGTTTCTGTGATGACTCCCTTTAGTAAACAAATCAGAGATCTTCCTGTCTTTGGTAGCATCTGACATCAAGTCATCAACAATCATTAAATTACGCACTCTAGGATTTAAGAAATCTGGACTGTTTAAATCATCTGGAATTCCCATCATGAATTCTATTCCAGGATGTGTGTTCTTAATCTCTATGTAAAGTGGTTGCCATTGTCCAAAACACCAGATAATACGCTGTGGAGGGGGTTGGATGCGTTGCTCTACATTTTCCAAAAGTTGCTTGACAAAGGTAGTTTTCCCACAGCCTGTGGGGCCAGTGACCAACATGGTAAAGGGGTGATGCAACACTTTGTTCATACCTACATGTATGTCTTCTTTACCTTGTGCAGAGTGCATGCCTTTGTGTCTCGCTAAACTTGAAGCATGTCTAAATTCTTTACCACAATGACAGTAATACATGTTACCGCTTCAAAGACTGATAACAAAATGGATGCAATTCATAATTTCATTCTGTTATGTATATGTGTTCAAAGGCATGTTCAATAATGCTAATTTAAATGTATGCTAACAGTTGCTAATGCTAATAGATGCTAATGGTAATGCTAATGCTAACAGATACTAATGCTAACAGATGCTAACATATGCTAATGATGATGCTAATAGATGCTAATGGTAATGCTAATGCTAACAGATACTAATGCTAACAGATGCTAACATATGCTAATGATGATGCTAATAGATGCTAATGGTAATGCTAATGCTAACAGATGCTAATGATAATGCTAACAGATGCTAACATATGCTAATGATAATGCTAACAGATGCTAATGAGGTAATGCTAACTAATGTTCATACATATTCAAACATTTGTAAATGAATGTAAATAGCAAACAACATTTGAAACTTTAGTTATTTATTTTTATTCATATCGTTCAGTATTATATACAAATAACTTTAATCGTCCATCCTTGCTGGGATACCAGGTGGTTTGTATAAGAATGTCCGTTTCTTTCTTGTATTCGAAGTGTTTCGTTTTTTCTGTTTGAATGGATGTTTCTTCTTTATATTTACAGAGTTTTGTTGTTTCTCTTTAGATGGTCTATACTCTTCATATTTCATATCTTCATGTTGACGTTTCAATTGTGCCTTTGCTCTGTCGACAACTGCAGTCATGGGTGAAATGATTTGTACCGGTTTAGTATCTTCTTTAATGTCATCTATGCCTATCCACCCTCTTCCTGTTTGAGATACTTTCAATCTATTCTGTCTACCAGCTCTAATAAGTTTCAACCAGTGTTCTGGGTTGTCTACATATGGTACTAGTTTCATGGTTTTTAGTTGATGTGTATATATCAAGTATGAGGATTGAAATGATAAAGATTTGAATATTTCACTCAATATATATTGTCAAGTGGCATCAATATCAACTTCTATTCAACATCTGATGTCGTGATATTCTTAGAAACTGATGTCGTGAATTAATGTAGTTCTTGTTGTTATTGACCATTCCAGATTAGAAAGTTGAAAGATTATTTATATTCTTAAGATACATTCAATAGATTTTTCTGTCAAACTTCTGGAACCTTCCAGAATAATGACTCATCGCTATAATCTGTTTTTGAAAAAGGGGATTAACACTGTAAACAAAAGATGTTCTAGAATATGAAGGATTAACATTGTGATGACACAGTTAAATGTCAACATTCAATTATTACATTAAAAGACCATTATTGTTGAAATCAAGTAGAGTAAGATCAAATGGTCAATTCAATATAGGACTTCAATAAATAAACCTTTTCAACGGTCAATTCAATATAGGACTTAAATAAATAAACCTTTTCATCTGTACTCATATTTAATCCAAAATCCAGTTCTCTTTCCTTTTATGCCAACAGTATTTGTTTGACCAGCTCAATAGGATTATTGATTCTTTTCAATGTTGGGTTAATATTGAAAGTAGAATTGTAAACACTGTCAATGGATTATACCAAATTTAAAATAATATTAAAGGGATTTATTTTGTACTTTACTATTCAGTCCAAGAAATACATTTCTCACCCATTTAAGATAACAATGATGTCATGCGCATCTTATCTCTCACCCATTTAAGATAACAATGATGTCATGCGCATCTTATCTCTCACCCATTTAAGATAACAATGATGTCATGCGCATCTTATCTCTCACCCATTTAAGATAACAATGATGTCATGCGCATCTTATCTCTCACCCATTTAAGATAACAATGATGTCATGCGCATCTTATCTAACACTCATTTAAGATAACAATGATGTCATGCGCATCTTATCTAACACTCATTTAAGATGAAAGCCCCATCCAATTAAGTTATCTCCTAATCCCCATTCAATTAATTTATCTCCTGCTCATCTATATCTCCTGCTCATCTTTATCTCTCAGAGATTTTGAAAGCCCCGGGCCCGTGGCGGCCCGTGGCGGCCCGTGGCGAGCCAGAACCTGACATTTTATATCTACTACAAGGTATGATGTTTTCAACTGAAATTAATAAAACTGATAAGCAAATACGCCAACTCGAACCGGTCATACTCATATGTTCCAATTTTCTTAACTGATTTTTTTATTTCAGTGGGAGGGACTCCATACATCCCTAGTTATATGGACTTAACGAATGGACCAGAACCATGTGTAGTGTGCAGTGACGCGGCAACAGGATATCATTACAGATGCATGACCTGTGAAGGTTGCAAGGTGCGTGGACTCACAATAACAGAATATTGATACGTCCCTCTTCATTAGTTTGAATGGCTTGAAATCCATCCATAAATCAATACGAAACGAAAGTTTTTTCAAACCTGGACCATTTATCAAATTTTAGTAAATAATCACGAGAGTTTAAGTCAAGTATATGGTAATTTTTCAATATTATTGCAATAATTTCATCTCATAACAGGTATTACGATTCATATTTTCCTTTGCAGGGTTTCTTTCGAAGGACGATACAGAAAAATCTCAAATACCACTGTAAGTGGAACAATAATTGTGTCATCGACAAAACAACACGAAACCAATGTCAACAATGCCGTTATAGAAAATGCTTAGCAGTTGGCATGGCCACAGATCGTAAGTGAATTACTGGTATATTTAATAACCTAAAAAGAGAAATCATATTTTCAAAACTATACAGACATGGCTATTCCATATACCAAATGGAAAACATTTGAAAAAACACAAAAACTGCATGGACCAGCATAGCGAAATGTTGCCATGGTTCTTCGAGGAAAATGTGATTAGGCATCTCAGTTTTCCGATTTTATTATTTTCAAATAGTGTAAATAAGGTTCTTAAACGAATGTCAAGTGTCTTTGGGAATCTCCTCATAGAGCAGGAAGGGCACAATACAATTCAGTGCATGTTTGTGATTCACGATTGAATTATGAGGCATTTTTATGGTAATGTTAGATCCATTGTCTGACTATTGAAGAGAAGTAATTGCATCGGGCTGGGATCACTCCTCGGGTCACCGTCCCTATACATAAACACTGATCCGAATGACCCCAAAACACTTTGTCGTCAAATTAACTGGCCAAAAATTGCATAACCGGGGTCTTGCCATAGAATCGCCGTTAATTAAAATTGAAACTGCCTTTGTAGAAGCGGCATTCGCGCAACACCTGGACTCGTAACTCTTATATAAAGGCGAAAATGACAATGGTCAATTTTAATAGAATTTGCACTTTCACCTTCGCGTCTGTTGTATGAAGGGTGATTCTATATTGGATGACGTAACAATACTGTGTTGCTACCGTGTGCGAATGTACGGTCGGTTGGCCAGCTACAATGGACTCTGTCACCGCTTTGTTCCCAAAGTGAAAGTTGCGTGCTGTCTTGCCAGTGTTATTTAAAAAGAAGTAAATGTAGCATTAAATCAAGTTTTAATTACTTTAAAGTTCTCTCCTTCTCTTATTATCTTGCTTCATCCAATTTGAAAAGATGTAACTGACATACGAAATTCGGCAAATCAGTGTCATATATGCTACCATAGCCTATATGGATCTATCGTGAAATGAGTTTCTGGAAATAAGCACCCTTTTGGAAGACCCTTTCCGAGATTACCTTAATCAGCGTATGCATATATTTTGTTTAATATATTTCAGTTGTACTAAACGACAAACAGAGGGTAGCCAAAAGGAAGCTGATAGAGGAGAATAGAGAAAGGCGGCGGGTGGAACAACACAGTCTAGCCAAAGTTCCCAAACAGGAAGGGTGTTATGGAGAGGAACTGACAGACGAAGATAGAATCCTTATAGATGAAATACAAGCAGCTTATGATCAAACAGCAGTACAAATCAACAAAACATATACTTTAGTAAGTATACTATTCAGCCTAGTGGGGAAGAGTCTTAAGATATCTTCAAATAAACGAAACATGTATGTAGCAAGTATACAGAACAATGAAGAGTAAAAGATACAGTTAGCTAGTAGATATAGTATGCACCATGCACGTTTGAATAATTCCCAGTTCATGATGAACCAAAACAGCCGGGTTCCTTTGACACTCAGAAATAGAAGATAACCGGAAACGTCCAGTAGTCTTGTATCATTTCTCACTTGATTTCTCCCCAGTCATCTACTTGAGCTGGCTATGAAAGTGCATTTGTGGCAGCTGTCGCCGATGCTCTTCGTAATCGCATCTTTGATGGATGCTTTGTGAATGGGTTGACATAAATGTAATAATCACATTGAAGTGTGTGGCTTGTCTTAATATAACAATGTTATGAAATATACCTCAGAAGAAATACGTGTTCACAAAATTAATTGAATCTTCAAACAGAAGCTGACAAAAGACGAGTTGTAAAAGGCACTGAGAAGCGGGTGCTTGAATAAATACGTGAATCAAGCTTATCCTTAGGACTTTTCAACGGTTACATAATTCTAGGGAAAGGTTACCTAAGAAACTGGAGGTTATTCATCTCTTTGTTCCCCTCTGAGACCCATCATTACCCTTCCCCTGATTAAATCAAAGAGTCATTAATTAAAATTGCTTTCGAAGTCACTGACTGAAGTTGTTGCCATACATACATGAATACTAAAAATCTTGCATAACTGACCCAATGGTTTGATGAAATTGCCATGTTGTCTTGATGATATTTAGAAAGCAATTGTATTTGAACATGGATGAAGTTTTGTATCATAGGCGTAGCCAGGGGGTGCGAACCCCCCCCCCCCCTCCCCCTTCCCCCCGATGACCAACAAAAATGGAAGAATGGAAGAAAAGAGCTTTAGAATGCTTTTTTTATTTGAAGCTCCTAGCTCAATTTTGAAGGAAGTTGCATCAATTTTTGTAAAATTCGAAACAAATCTTTTAAAGGATTTTCTAGCTTGTTTATGCCACAATCGCACCCTCCTGACTGAAAGTTGGCTACGCCCCTGTGTATTGTTGTCATATTCATAGTGTCACGAACCGGATTAGGTGTATTTTTTCATCGTGTTGAAGTAATCTACCCACGGTGTCTGTTCAAGAGGTATTCGTCGAATTCGGATCTTTTTCTAGTTTATATCAGGATTGCAATACCATCTGGAAAATCCCCCGGTCATATTGATATCCTAACAAATACATAATTCGACAAGTCTGACCGAATGTAATTATGTAAATGTATTGAATTCAAGATCAATCTGCTGGGCGCTACCATTGAAAACCTTCACAAACATTTGTATTTAAACAACCATTCTGGGAAAAGTATTTCAGTTTTCTTGAGATTAAATATTTTGATGAGAAACAATCTGTTGGTTTGTTCGTGGATAGACATTGTATTTGAGTTTTGTGATATGATCACGGTGGCAAATTTTGTAAAGCACCTCAGATACAAGTATGTTGGATATCTTGAAGCAAAATGAACATTCAACCAACAGGCTTGCCAATGGGGTGGTTTACCTGACAATGTGTAATTAGTCCTCCAGATAACTGCAAAGTTCTGATCAAATCTGATCAGCTCTGGAAAACTCGTTAGTGTTTAAGTTGACAGATTATTTAGATAAGATGTAAGTTATGGGTTTGTCTTCTTGGTTTTAGTCTAGAGTGAATTCACTGTCCTCCACTCATAGACAGATTGCAGTCTGTTTCAATGTATTTTTAAAGGCAAATATCTAGTGTTCTTTGAAGTATTCAAGACTAAATAAGATGTTACTAGTATACAATACATGTACTATACTACCCAGAGACAGATGTTATATTTATTCCAGTTTCAAGTTAAATATTCTAAAATGGATTCAGATGTCATCTTGAAAATAGAATGAGCCTAAATGGATTACTGTCTCAAAGGGTATCTAAGTCTAGATATGTGTTATAAGTAATTCACGACTTTGAAAATGTTTTGAATACTTTTGCGCATGGGACTTCATGTTTATCCCTAAAAAATGGTTGTGATTTTATTTCATAATGATACAAGATACTTTTATTTTTTAAAGACCAATTAAAGACCAATGACCAATTTCTGCATCTTAAACTTTCATAAAATAAATTCCACAATGATCAAATTATGATACCTTTATTACTTAATGTAAGATGAGGTAATTTTAGTGTGGGGGAGGGTGGGGAAGTATTTTTGCATGAATTTAAAAAATGAACCACCCCCTCCCAGTCACAAAATCCTGGCTATTGTAAGCCAAATAACATGATGAAGGCAAATGAATATCAGTCAGTCAAGCTAGTTATCTATCTAGATCACAATGTGATATTATGCAGACAGAACTTTATTTTATTTTATTGCCTAATATATAGGAATTTGCAGGATATGAAGTTTAAGAATGGAAATGTCTACAGGGGCGTAGCCAGCTTTCAGTCAGTGCAGGGGGGGGGGGGTGCGATCGCCAAAAAATTCTATTTTCAGTCAGGGGATGCGATTATGGCATAAAAAGCCAATAATTAAGATTTACTGTATCTTGAATTTTTCAAAAATTTATGCAACTTCCTTCATAATAAATTGAGCTAGAAGCTTCAAATAAAAAGCATTCCAAAGCTCTTTTCTTCTCATGGTTATATTTTATTGGTTATGGGAGGGGGGGGTGCGATCGCCAATTGCACCCCCCCCCCATGGCTATGCCTATGGTCTAATTGAAATGTTAAAACTCTGCATTGAACTACACATATTAAAAGTTGCTTTCACATTCAAATAGCTGATACAGATATTCTATCTACTAGTATACTCATACTCGTATAAACAGAGATATAGAATTTCAAACTGAAACATTAAGATAATCTGTTCTGTCATTGACACAATATTTATGGCCAGCTAAATTTCTGAGAATTTAATGTGTTTCAGTCGTTTACTCCTGGACTGTAATGTGGATCATGTCGATACTCTTACGCAACTTCGTCTATCAGATATTCTACCCGAGTTCCCATTATGTAACTCTAAGAAAGGCATAAATCACATTGAAATAGAGACATCTCATGAATGCTGTATTATGCCCCGTCAAATTAATTAAGCTTTAAGTTCCACTATCACATAATATGCCATCTGTTGGCCCTAGACAACAGTAGAATGTCGTCAACGTTACATAAAATAATGAACACCATTTGTATGCGCGTTGAAAGTCCATCTGCCTTTTGGTGAAATAAACTATCATAGAAATGGTGATATATCATTCTCTGGTATATCAACCAACAAAGCTACAAATTATAAATGCATTATTACAATGATGAGGTGATAACAATGCAAGTCAGGTAGTACAGGGTAATGTGACACATGTGTCCAGTCGTCCAAGCGAACCTTATGTCTATGGGGTCAAAAACAGTAATGTCACAATGTTAGCAATATTCCTACCTATAATGTATTTGTTGACCATCATTGTTTCTGTTAACAAATAAACTATTCTGACCACGGTTCGAACTGTACCCTATTAGAGCCGAACACCATATATAATTAGTTTTTGCCGCCTACATATCTGCCTGTTAACAAATACAAGAATAGTATCACGGGGGTTGAAGGATTTACTTGAAGGCAACGAGAGTTCAGGTGTTATCATTTATATTTCTGTCAATAAATTCAAAGTAAATGCCTATAAATCTTATTAATTATACATTTCTATAATCCTCTTGGTGGAGCCCAATATATTATACACCATAATCAACAGAGCATATTCCCCGTTGAATGATTATTTTGATATTCAATTAATTGTACACCTCTTAATACAAGCCCATGACATGTGGAGGAACACATTTCTTGTCATATAGGACAGTAAATAAACGCTAGTATGTGGATAAAGCTCATCTGCTTTTCACGCAATGACCAAGCGTATATAAATCAAACTTCAATATTGGCCTCAATTACATGTTAAATGATTTCCATCCATTTCAAACTTGGAAGTCTCAACCCTATGTAATGGACTCAAGATAAATCTCAAACTTTGTTACTTAACTATAACTTTGATTCAGAATACATTCGTATAGAAATTTTCTGTCAGAAGCGTTGGGTTCATTTTAAGGACAGCCTACCTGTATAGCAATTGAATATATTATACAACAGGAGTAATATAATGTGTATGTTAATATGTTTATCGTATTCGTATTACATAAGTAACCTTACTAAGGACAGCCGATGACTCTTAAGTGATAATTGCTGAGTATTGGACCTGTTATTACTGTAAGTTATTAATTTCACATAGCTTAGCACCCTAGACATGTTTGTGTTGTATTATAGATATGTCACTATATCTGTATATTACATGTAGTTCTTCGACACCAGAAAACTACATGTAAACAACAACTAGAAAGCAATATTGCAAGCAAGTCGGTAAACTCACCCGCAACCCGAGCCTCAAATATAAGAATATTATTTTACTTTTTCAGTGTTATATGTTTCGATGCTTTGTTTGGCAGAAGTATATCTGGCATATCAGTCAACTATTTCTTGAGAAGTAAATAATAGAAATATTTCTGATTATGTCAATATCCTTTTCCTCTGTGTGCAAAATTGGGAACTTTTACAACACAAAGACTGGACGAAACCGCAGACTGGCTCTAAAAGACCTTTTTATCATGGTTCCCGATTTCAGATTATTTCTCTAGCCCATATTATAATTATCACAATCTCATGTCCTTAATAAACCTTCGATAACAACAAATAATAATGAGCTAAAAAAAGCCGATGTTACTTACGTCATCTGGTCATATGACTCATGATTATTTTAACCAAAATATATAAAGACTACATAGCAAGAATTAAATCCAACCCATTGGTCAGAGGAGCAAATGACTCCAAAACAAAATAAACATACTATGTTGAAGCGTCATATGATTCAAACATTAACGGAAGGGCTCAAAAAGAAGTATCAATGGGTCAATACATGGAAAATGATTTTCACAACTGTTGAACACACGATTTCTTCAAATATCAGATAGTTTTGATTTTCCTTATTCATCAGAATACATACTATCAATCAGCCATAGGCATTCTAGCTAGTTTTATACCTACATAATAATAAATGTTTTACTGTAGCCCTGCGTAACACATCAATTCGATTTTCCAGCCTGAGTGCGAAGCCCAACCGAGGGAGCGAACCGACCCCGAAGTTTGGCAACAATTGGCGCAAGTTATGACCCCATCCATTGTTAAAGTTGTGGAATTTGCAAAGCGAGTTCCAGGCTTTTGCCAAGTAAGTGAAACAATAGATATGCTATCCAGATCTTGGAACATATGAAACAAACTAAATATACAACTCAGATCATATCTTAATAGTGTCATGTCCACAAAAAGAAACTCAAAATTTAAATAATAACTCTACTTGCAGTTAAACGTTGATGACCAGATTTTACTACTGAAATCCTGCTGCATGGAAATTATATGTTTGCGAGCTGCCTGTCGGTACAACCCAGAGGCCCAGACATTAACATTGCAGAATGGTCTAACTTTGCACAAATCCCAGATGCATACTGGAGGACTTGGTTTACTAGTTGAACCTATATTTGAGTTTGCAGTAGGCCTTGCTAAACTAGATTTGGACCAAACTGAAATTGCATTGCTTGCTGCTGTATTATTAATGCAATCAGGTAAACCTCTACTCATATTTTAAAAGAATCTACCATTTTATCTTAGCAGATGTGCCATTCTACGGAAGCAGATTTAACTTTACTATCTTGTGATGTTAAAATGCAATTGTACACACTGCCGGAAGAACCCATTCTCAAGATAAGATTTGCAATATCAACTGAATGACTTGTGTATTTGATTTGTTCCCTCGTGTCCTAATAATATTTGAATGCGTACAACTTGTATTTGTAGATCGAACAGGTTTGCGTGAACCAGAAGTTGTTGAAAAACTTCAAGATGCTGTATTGGGCGCTTACAAACGTTACATTGCTGAAGTTAGACCGCATCAGCCAGTCCACTGGGCCAAGATTTTAATGAAAGTCACTGATCTACGTACAATTAGCACAAGACATGCAGAGCGTGTGTTGTGTATAAAGCTTGACTGCCCAGGAAATATTCCTCCATTGTTCTTGGAGATGTTCGATGAAGGGGGCAAGTAATTTAAGTGTTCCTATAAAATTAAGCTTATATCGGCAAACGTCCTGAAAAAATGAATATGACACAGAAGGATGTTTCAGGATAGCACCGAGTGCAATTGGACAGTTCCAAAAATGATTCCTTAATAAGTAGTGTTGTAAAACTATTTCAAAGGTTGAAAATAACTGAAGCAATGTAAAAGTAGTACAGTATGTTTGTCAGTGTGATTATACCTTTTTATAAGAAGAATTGTAGCACTCAGTCAACCATATAACAATGCTCATTGAAGCGAAGTTTATAATGCTATTACATATGACTAAAACTGGGATGTCATATGTGACGAGCATCCAGTAGTCTTGATATATTACAGTGTTCTTAGTAGAAGTATTCTATAGATCTCAATTTTAACATTTCAATGCCAAAACTTGCGTGATGATTAAATTGCTTTATGCATTCAAAGGGACTCGGCACCACATCACATGGAATTTGCCAAATTGATAGCCACCACCGATGCTCTCATGTTTCAGCTCATGTATAAGTAACTGATGCAAATCACAGATAAAATATAAGAGTGTAAGAAATAACAATACAGATTCATTGGTAGTGTATGTACTTACTACTTTGTTGCTATAGGGTTTTGGAGATTTGAGGCTGGGAACACTGCATCATCAAAATAAGATGCTGCATTGGTACCCATGGTAACTGACCCAAAATTTTTCAGTCCATGACTGGTTCATTGACATTATGATGGGTAAAGTGGGCGTGACGTATGTCGCGTGGGCTTGGCATATGTCACGTGGGCGTGACGTTTGTCACGTGGGTGTGGCGTATATCATGGGGTTGAGGATAGGCCAATGTAGTTCCCCAGTCTCAAAACCCAGAATTCTAGGCAACACTAAGTCAGTGCAGATATATTGACCTTTGTGTTTTTCTGCCATTTTAGTAATGCCTGTTATTCTGAGGGAACTGCTGTTGGCTCCTCTTGTAGACATCGTCCCCCAATTACGATATGAAATGGGAATGCCTCAACAGGCTCCACGCCCGCCTGCTCCACCCCAGTACAGAATGCCTCAGTACGCTATGGCGGACACAATGCCACCCCTGGCGCCTGTTCCCAATTTACCACCAGAATATGATATGCCACATTACACGCAACTCTAAATGATGGGATACCTCACTTAGCTGGTGATAACTTTAAAGCATTAAAGACTAACCTTAATAATGGCCCAGTGTTAAAATTAAAACACTGCTCGTTGTAATACATATATAAATTGTATAATATAAGATATAATTAATTTGCTAATGCATTTCAACATGTACTATGATTTAATCTCTGTATAGATAAAAATTAACCTATATTTATTTTTTAACTTACACTTTCACCCTTCATTAAATGAAATAAAATTTGTTGAGAACGCTTGTAGATTAGTTATGCTTCAACAGCTAGAGATATCATTATGGCACATTCTTAGAAGGATGTATCATGTAAAATATATTTTAATTACACACCAATTTAAAATGCTTGTGATGAAAAACCAATTCTAAACTTATTTTATCGAATTGTTGGCATTGTATGTCTATGTTAGGTGAGTTATGTTTGGACGGTTCTCAAATTTAGTTGGAGGAATCGTGTACAGTATTGTTTTTCGAAAGAGTTATATATTTGTTTAAAATCACACCTAAGGGTGCAATGATTTAAGAATGACTGTGATTTGCATCAGATTGCTTTGACGTGCAGAGCATGCAAAGTATAGGTAGTTTTAGCATCATATTATATATTATTATAAATAACTCTATACGTGCCATGCTTAGTATCATAACATTTACAACGCAATTCGGATTGCTAGAAGCACTTCAATTTCTGAAGCTTTTGGAAAAGTCCATGAACATCATTTTACAAATGTTTTATTTTGAATTAATAAAACACTGAATACATAAGTTTACCAGAGAACATTTGTTCATTCTGTATCACTACAGTGAAACAAAACAATTGTTAGCAATAATAAATGGAAACTTTGGACAGTCATAAGACATTTAATAGACTTCTATTGCACCAAATGCAATGGATTCAACATCTTTTATACACTGTTATTCAGATTTGATTTTTAATAATTATTCTGACTGAACTATTATAGTTGGTAGGAAATGTTTTCTTAGTAGTTGTTGTATGAATAAGACCAGATTGCAGAATGCAGGCTTGTTGCGTATTTGCTCTATAAGCTTGACTATACACATTTCTACCTCATGTAACATTGCACTTTATGTAAGAAAGAAGTCACATATTATTATAGCCTTTGCAGTATTTATCTGTTTAAGATGTGATGAAACTGACAGGCAGTAAGCAGTGATACTTATTGTACATTCATTATGAACATATTGTACATTCATTACGAACATATTGTACATTCATTACGAACATATTGTACCTTCATTATGTTCATATTGTATATTCATTATGAACATATTGTACATTCATTATGAACATATTGTACATTTATTATGTTCATCTTGTACATTCATTATGTTCATGTTGCACATTCATTATGAACATATTGTACATTCATTATGTTCATATTGTACATTCATTATGAACATATTGTACATCCTTATGAACATATTGTACATTCATTATGTTCATATTGTACATTCATTATGAACATATTGTATATTCATTATGAACATATTGTACATTCATTATGTTCATATTGTACATTCATTTCGAACATATTGTACATTCATTATGTCCATATTGTACATTCATTATGAACATATTGTACATTCATTATGAACATATTGTACATTTATTATGTCCATATAGTTCTTTAGTTTCCATGTTGTAGTCTTAAAGCCATCTAGTGTTTCATTTCGCTTGTTTTCATAAAATACTAATAATCTTATCTGGCATAACATACATACTGTGAACTAGAGCAATATCATAAATTGTTCATAATAGATGAATATTATTTGACACATACAGATCAACTGCTCTTTGGTATGTTTAATTCATCACAAAGTCATTATAATCATTTATATACATATGTAATTATTTTGTAGTATAACGACTGGAGTAAAACTCTAACTGATCCTGGTGGTATGAAATCTATGAAACAAGTTTGTGATAAATCTTAAGTAGTGTGTAATGTGTTTAGGTCATTATAGATTTGATATCACCAAGTTCAACAATATATCACTGCACATATTTAATATGTAGATATGCTTGTGTATTCTATGATAAAGGGAAAATCCATTAATGAGGGATGGAATAATTGTTTATATAATATAATTAATATATAATTTTATGTGGAGTTGCAGTAAAGACTCTTCAATCAAAACACACCAAGATGGAATTGAGATTATTAAGATCGATTAAATAGGCTGTATTGAAGTCAGTTTTAACAGACAGATGATTATTATGAGGACCAATAGCTCTATCTATCTTGGTTTGATTCAGTATTGATGGAATGTACAAACTCCAGCTTGATTGAATGTTTGAAAAGCCAAATGTAAAATATTTCTTGTGCAATTTAATAAAACATATAGGTGAAACACAATGAATCCATATGAAAACTATATTTTTGTTTGGATATATTGGATTTCACACATTTCTGTATTAGGTAGATTTTGTTATGCAGTAAATATATTCAAAGAAGGATTCTCAAATAAATACAAATATTTTAATAATATTTCAAATACTTCACAGATCAAATCATATATAGACATTTGAACCTCAATCTGATATTTCATTTTCTCTGTCAATGTGTGTCTGTCAGAAAGTAACAAAAATACTTAGCTGACTCTAAACTAATGCACCCAAGGTGACAAATATTGTTAATAGTTATAGGAAATACATGTGTTCAATATATACTTAGAAAGTAAACAAAGTTGTTATTGATACATGTATTTCATAATGCTAATTTGAATTGGTGCAGACATTAAATGTCACTATAGGTATAACTGATTGTAGCCATTTCAATGCATTGTACAGAATCAACAGGGCATCACCTAAAGTTCAGTTTCTTAACTGGTAGTCATTCATTTACTTAACAATGTCTGACCATTTAGGTACATGTAGTTAACAGCATATCAGATAGGTAAGAACTGAATCTGAACATGCAAATGGCATTCCATTTCATCTGGACATGCAAATGTCATTTCATTTTCTCTTGAGATACACCCCATTCATAAGTTTGGAAACTGGAAGTCCAATTTTGAAACTTTTTTGATGCATTCAAGCCTTTTATATTTGGTGATTTAAAAAAATTATCAATTTGTCACAAATCCCAACTATTGTAATAAATGGAAAAAATAAAGATTTAAACATAAATAGGTTTTAACATGCTATCAATTTAAGACGTGTTGCCAAACTTATGGAGGGGAGTGTATGTCGTTATCAATATGTGCGCTGATACAAGTAATAAATGTGTTGTATTTCAACTTCAGGGGTGAACTTTTGTATAACTATGGTTTTATGAATTGTAAGAAATGAAATTTAAAATGTGAACAGTTCATAAAGAATATTAAATCTGTAAAAAGTGATACCTGATCAAGTGACACTTCTAGAAATATGGTGTTTTTGAGATTTCTGAAATGTTATTGATTTATGATAAACACATTTTACATATTTACTGTTTTTATTGAATGCTTCATCAAATATGATTTATATGAAATGACCCTATATGTAGATAGTATTCCACTTTAGCATTCTAACTCTTTGTCGTGGCTTTTGAAGCAATATTTGTTAGATATGTGATTTATTTCACATGATATGTGCTTTTCAAATAAACAATGTAGTGGGATTTAAAATACAATCTTGTGTCAAATTATTTCATCTGCAGCTACTATTTACCAGGATGGAGTTCATTTTAAAGTATTCATTTTACTTTTCAATATCTAGTGTAACTGTAGAATTTCTCATCAGAACTGAAAAGTAAAAAGGTCTCTCAATAGTGTAATTGTACAAAGGAAAGTTTGGTTGATTTTAAAAAAGTATCTTGTGAATGGAATAAAAATTTTATCTTAATTTTTCTATATTTTGGGGGTATTGTTTTAATTTTTTGAATACTTTTTGTAAAGTCAACCAAAATTTCCTTTGTATAGTTGTTTATGATATTTTTTCCAACAAGGTTGGGAAAGACATTTTATTTCATTCTCAAGAATTGGTAAATACTAAGAGACCCTATGTTAAGATCATGGCCAAAGGACACACCATTTCAATAATAAAATGCCATATTTAATGGGCCACTTCAATGTTTTAGCATATCAAAAATATATTGCAACATTAGTGATGTCATTATGACTCACTCAGGTGGCAAAAACTTTTTGAAAAATATCGAAAAAAAAATTTCGTGTGTGAATCTTTTCTAAATATGCTAGACTTCAATAATAAACCAATGTTGAATGTCTAACCAGGTTAAAAGGAAGAATATATTATGTTTTACATATCATTGTACCACTGGTTTCTATGACAGCTAAAATTTTGAAATGCATTTTTCTCGGAACCATTTTCATGCACTGATGAGTTCATTTCTCACTTATTTATGAACCAATTTTCTTAATTTTTTCGGCAAAAAACATGCGAGGATGAATGCTATGCATTGGTATGAATTATGGCCTACTAAAAGATATGCGTGACCTCTAAAAGTTAATTTTAAGTAAATTCACAAATTCTTGAGCAAAAAGTCCTTCAAAAACCAACCAAAAAAAAGGTTTCACATATCACACTTTGATAACATTGGGTAAGACTACAGTATATAAGCCAAAGTGGTTTAAAATTTATATGGGAACTTTAAGGGTAAATCAGAAAACAAATTACTGGTGTTAGGTTGTGCATTTTTAAAATAAAACCTGTGTACAGTGAACACGAATGGAGACACAAAAATGTGTTCACTACAGAGAGGCAATGTTATACAGAAGTCAGTGGAGTATGTACTGAGAAAGGGTGTTCACTAGACAAAGGTGTTCACTAGAGCAGTGGAGACGATAACATAACTATTATCTTGTAAAAGTTTCACATATTATCAGCAGGACTGGGTTATAAACTGGGAGACTAGTGGGTAAGTCATGATCTGCATCGTATGTAATAGTTATAATCATAAATATTTGCTATTGTCCAGATTGCATTTTGAACTAACAACTATAATGATATGCTTACGTCAATGTTTACAAGAAATGTTTATTCAACAGCAAACTGGAAGTAAACAAATGATGGAAAGAAAACTAATCAATTCTGATCTAATGAGGATAGGAATTTAAATTGTGTATAATTCATTTAAGGTAATCATTAGATCATTGTAAAGAAGGTTTAAAAATAAAATCCAGCCAGGAAAAAACAAAAAAATCAGCAACACACCAAGGTCAGGAAAACACTTCCGGTCAAAAAGAAGAGGGAATGTAGACCTCATTTTAGTGATTTCCAGTGGTCTTTTCTTGGAATTGGGGCTCACGTTGTGTTAAGAGATTAAAATATCATTTGGGCAGTACCAATTTTGCAACATATTGATGCAAGAAAAATTGAAAAAGCAGGAATGGAAGGGGTCGAAAATTAGGAAAACATTTCAGAAAAATCATGTGGGTGGGTTGTTTGCATCTACCCTGTCTCAAAGTCGAAATTATTTTATCATCTCTAGAAGTGATTTTCCTGGAGGTAATGCATTGGCCTAACATATGCAATTGTTTAAATCCTCAGAAAAATGGCAAAAATCCAACATATGACTGTCCAAAATCTGTTGCGCTAATTTCCCTCCTCCTTTGGACATTTTGAATGTGTTTCAATGTTGTGTGGACTGATATTTTGTTAAAATTGAAATTATTACATGAATAAGAAACATACTCCAATCTAGTTTTGTCATTAGTCCAATGAGGAGGTTTAAGTTTGGATAACCATCCAAAAGCAAGTTTTGTGGATTGTACTAAAAACTAGGTAATTTATATGGCGAGTGCATTTCAAAATTAACTAAAAGATTAATGCAATATATGCAGAATGTTCTAAAAATTACAGGAAATCCCTAATAATTTTTGAACACCATACTTATATGTGTGTGTAAAAAACATATCTAAAATATAAATATTTTGTTCTTGGGCAAAATATTTGATTTCTTAACTAAACAATTAAAATAGGACCCATACTAGATGACACAAACATATTCAGACAAGCAGCTCAATTTTAATGGAGCCTATCAGACAACCCTGAATTTCTTAAAGGTTCCCTGCAGATCAACCCCGTCCTAATTTCTTAAAGGTTCCCTGCAGATCAACCCCATCCTAATTTCTTAAAGGTTCCCTGCAGATCCACCCCATCCTAATTTCTTAAAGGTTCCCTGCAGATCAACCCCATCCTTGTATGTGGAGCTGAACATGATAAATTATTTGAAATAATATAATTTTAGAATTAGAAAGAAAGATGTAACTAGATAATGGCAACTCCGCGGAGTAGCAAATCCCAACGAACAAAATATCAATTACTGAATTCCAATCAATTATACTCATTACTTTGGTTAAAATTGAAAAATTTAGATTTTAAAATTGCGAATTCCTGCAAAGCAGCCATTTTGAATTTTCTGAGGTACAAATCTGAAAAATAATACCATAATTGTGATCTACTCCAAAATTCCTTCAATTTGAGTATTATATAGCCATACGTTGAAGGGATCGAAAAATTATTGCGAAATCGTACATTAGACGGCCATTTTGAATTTTACGAGGCTCGAATCAGAAAAAAGATACAATATTTGCAATCTACTCTTAATTGCCTTTCATTTGAGTATAATAAACCTATACTTCGGAAAGATCTACAAATTAGCGAAAATTTCTGTTTTTCCTGACCCCCCCCCCATACACAGCCCCTGGGGGTCAGGATGAAAAACACGGAATATATGTGAAATAGATAGATGTTGCGAATATACTACCAAAATTTCAAACAATAATATTAATCACTTTGGTTTAGAATGGAAAATTTATGATTTTTGCGAAAAAGTCCCGTCATTTTTAAAGCGGCGGCCATCTTGAAAAAATCCACTTTGAATTTTCTGAGGTACAAATCTGAAAAATAATACCATAATTGTTATCTACTCCAAAATTCCTTCAATTTGAGTATTATATAGCCATACTTTGAAGGGATCGAAAAATCATTGCGAAATCGTACATTAGACGGCCATTTTGAATTTTACGAGGCTCGAATCAGAAAAAAGATACAATATTTGCAATCTACTCTTAATTGCCTTTCATTTGAGTATAATAAAGCTATACTTCAGAAAGATCTAAAAATTAGCGAAAATTTCTGTTTTCCTGACCCCCCATACAGGGCCCCTGGGGGTCAGGATAAAAAACACAGAATATATGTGAAAAAGATAGATGTTGCGAATATACTACCAAAATTTCAAACAATAATATTAATTACTTTGGTTTAGAATGAAAAATTTATGATTTTCGCGTAAAACTTTTCATCAATATACATCTTTCCCCCAAATATGAAGAAAATTCGTCTACTAATATTTGAGTTATCTTCCGGACGGACGGACGGACGGACGGACGGACGGACGGACTGACAGACTGACGGACTGACGGACGGACGGAGGGCTTCACTATATCCCTACCGAACTTCGTTCGTTGGGATAATTATAAGAAATGTTCATGTAATATCAATGGTCCACTGTATAGATAAACCTTACATTTAAGTATGAATAACATTCTAAACAAATAAATATGCAAATAAAATGTGATCATATAAGCGATTTAAATGTGTAGTAAACAGCTAACATGTAAATAAATTTCAATTAATTAAGATATTGACAAAATACATTCATATATAGTTGACACAGTCATTGATTTAATTTATTATATGCTTTATAAATAATTTAAGTTATACAGAGGCACTTTTATACACATTTCATTGTGCAGTATATAATATGCATAAATTCTCTAAAAATATACCCCTAAGTTTTGCATTAACATTTATATGAATCATTGAAAACTAGTTTTCATTATTCCATTCCACTGGATATCTAACATGTAAATATAGCTCCAATTAAACTTAAATAAAATACAGCATAATCATCAATTTACATAAATTGAAGACAGAATCAATATTTTTGATATTAAATCATCTTAGACAGATTTAAATGGAGATATTTACATGTCATTCATGGAAATTAACCCAGAATAAGGTTGCCATCTATTTTCAGTCATATTAACAGATTCTATAAAAATCTTAAATGGCTTTACATATTTATGACTCATTATAAGACTCTTTTTTTAGTTGCGATCAACACTGATAACCCAGAATATTAAAAATACCGACATGTCAAATCTGTTAATTAATGTATCATACTCTTCCAACAATAAAATTTTATTTTAAAATAAAATTAAAGCACTATTATTCAATATATATTTAGTGTCCATCATTTGTGATAGCCCAGAGCTTAACTACATTACATGCTTGAATGCCTCTCTTAACTAAGTCACCTGAGAGTAGTGGAAGACTCCACCAGAGCTTTATATTCAGCTAGGAACTCTTTCTCCTCCTCTAAAGTTAAATCCAAGTAATCATCTTCTTCATCTGGGATATCATCAGAAATCCTCTCCATCGCTTCCTTCTCACGCTGTATTTGCTCAGCAGTTTTTTGTGAGGAAGAACCTAGAATGCAGATTAATTGGTTAGTATGATATATATTTATGACAAGAATTTCCAAATAGAATCCATGCAAGTAGCACAATGGGATAATATGCTACTGACTGGTATAAGAATACCAGTCAGTAGTATAATAATAGAGAGCTTTCTATAAAAGTTGTTTCGAAAACATATACTTAAACTTGTACTTTAAAGGGTCTTGACACACTAAAATAAATTTGAAAATGATTTTCATGAATTGTACCCAGTTGACATTAATAGTTTTTGATTTGTAAACCCCATTCATCAATCAGTGACGATCGCGAATGTAATATCTGTAGCATAGTTGTAATCTGTATATCATCAACTCAATACCTAGCTCTTGTGGCATGGTGTTCTACACACAAGACCCTTTAACATGGCTCATCACATGGACGAGTGAATTATTTCACAGTTCTTATAAAAGTTAAAGTTGAGATATAAGTTTAGAACGTATAGAATGGCATTTAGATGATGATTGTAAATTGTGTCTACTCATAAACTCTAACATACTCATATGTGTCGACCAATGGACCATGATTCCTATTCAAAAAATTAATAAGCTGAATATGTAAAGTATCAAATCAAACCCTTGATGAAGTAATTTGGTTGCATATTAAACTCCCTCACTGGTATTTGTACAGGGTGCTTCATAATGTTCACCTCCAAAGTCAATTTGATATAAGATAGACTTGTAATGTATATATCATATAGGTATTCCTATTTCATTTTAGACCAAGAGATACCTCACCTGTGAAAATAAATAAAGTTACAAATCGTTTGCATTTGAATGTTTTATTAAATCTGACATCTGGCGATTTTTAACTAATAGTCACCTTGTATTTCCATTTAAAAGTACAAGTTTACGTACAAGTTGACCAAATAACACTGAAAGCAGAAAGCTCTCTAATGTCTACCCCCATACTCCCATGATGGTATGATTTTTAGCATTTGTACTGTTTACTAATCATCCTGTTTCGTATGTAAACCAAGCTGGCTGTTTGGCGCCAATATATTTTACCAATTCATCAATTTGTTTACTTATCATCCTGTTTCGTATGTTAACCAAGGCTGTTTGACGCCAATATATTTCACCAATTCGTCAATCTGTTTACTAATCATCCTGTTTTCATATGTAAACCAAGGCTGTTTGACGCCCATATATTTTACCAATTCATCAATCAATTAATTCATCTTATGTATAGAAAACAATGTTTCATCTCATCTTCATTTCAATATACAGAATACACACTTTCTAGTCAATAAAATTGTGATAATTCTCATTTTATGAATGGACAAGTCTATTGGAAATCAAACAAAGTGATCAATAGAAGATTGTTAAGAAGCATTAAGATCCAAAGAAGATTTTGTATTAAAGTTTTGATCTTAAGCGGACATCAGAGAATCAGATCCAAAATGTATTACAGATTCCAGTGGCAATTTATCTGTAATGGAATGTATTTTACTTTGATGATATGTGATTAAATGTGGCTGTATATTTCTTTTGAATGTACAATAGGTGGGTTTATAAGGTCAGTCAAGGTCTTTCATATTTGTCCAGAAACAAGTGAAACTGCATTACTATTGTTCAAAATTCCTTAAATTAATTCATCCTGAGTAGATAAAAATAAGTTAACAAATATATTATTCATTAACACCTAACAGCCTTAAGTTTTACAATACTCACCAGAGTGGGGTCTTCTTGTACTAGGTGAATGGAGGTTTTCTGGTAAAACACCACCATATTTTATGAGCTCATCCAGAGCACTTGTCACATTTAGGCCAAAACGTTCTAGAGCTGTGCGGGCTACTTGTGGATCAAATCCCATTGAAACCACCTGGAGTACAAAACTGATACAATTAAATTGCAATATACAATGACAATTGTCGAATATTTACCTAAAATACTGTCAAATAATACTTGGAAATTATACATCCTTAAATTTCACAAATCTTCAGATATAAGAAATGCTCCACAATAAAATTTTGTGATTTTGACAAAAAATGTGCGTACTGGCATTTTCATTTTAAAAAGGATACTCTAAGTTTAGAGTGTTACTTAAAGCAACAGCTGTGACATAACTAGAAAAACAGAAACTCCACGGAGTAGCAAATCCGACCGAACAAAACATATTTTGCAATGAATTTAACCAATATCTGGATAGGGTTAGATGTGTAGAAAATAGAGGTGCAAGGAAAGTGGTGAAACCTTTTTGTAACAAGTGAAATGCGAAAAAGATTAACTTTTTGACATATTTCTGAGGTCATATCTTTGTCATTTTGACGCAAAAAAGCTACTTAATGGAGGGCACGTTAACTATAAAAGACATCATAAAAATATAGGTAAATTTCATCCAAAATACTTGAGAGTTGGTGAGTTAACATAACTTTGGATGATCTTTCCAATGGTATATCACACTAGGTACCGTCTGTTATGGTTTTAGCTATAGCAGGGGGGACGGGACTTATTTGACACCATGTATATTACATGAATTTAAGAAAAAAAGTATATTTACAAACAGACAACACACCTTTGTTGACTAACGCCAGGCTACTGCGTAGACGTTGCCAAACTGTATTCATAGCTGACATTCCAGAACCATAATGATAACACTGTCTATGAATCAAGGAAACCCCTGGTTGACCCTGGGGGTTCACACTGACTCAATTACCCTGTCGAAATGTTATCATTTGATATTGTTAAATAGATGAATACATTGTCAATTACATATACATGAACTAAGGAAAAAATAATACATATACATGTATATTTACAAACAGATAATTAACTCCCTCCAGTTGACCGACGCCAGGCTACCGCGTTGACGTTGTCAATCTGTGACCGCTAACACTACAATACCATACTTATAAACCATACTGTCAATGAATTGGATGGTTGGCCCTAGGGGTTCATGTTGACTCATTGACTTGGCCGAAATATTATTCTTTGATATAAATATGCAAGTTATTTAGATTTAAGCTTGGTGGTGTAGCAATATACTGCATTACTATCAATTTAAACATTCTGACAGTTAATGCCTAGAATATTGATTATATTCATTTGAATGCCAAAATCTTGGCAGTGCTCTCTCAATTGGCATCTAAACAGTGCTTATAGTGTTAGCCTTTTGCTAAATACTCAATTTCATTGCTTAATTCTGGCCTGCAGTCTTGGATTACAATGTTGTTTGCGATAATTACCTGAGCAATCATTTCATCTGGTATGGCAATCTTTTCAACAGGAGGGTCTGGTAGACTTAGATATTCAGGATGCTCTTCTAACACCTTAAAAGCACAAACATTATACAGCACAATAATATTAATATCATATGCACAGCTTCCCCAGATCTGATACTTAGCTGTAATTATTAGATTAACCACAAGTGGCGCTGCTTAAGTTTCTTAACTGCATGCCTCTGATAAGACAGAGTATCAATTACAAGCCTATCTGCTGTACAGTGGGAAGTATCAGTGTTTCACTATGAAGGCAATATTTGACCAAATTATAGCATTATTCTTTATTCTTTTTTACATTATTTTGCATCTAGAATAAATTGCTGTAAAGTAAAATGATTAGTTTAAAGTATGGTCTATGTATGTAACTAATTTTAATTGGAGGGGCAAAGCTTGTAAATCCAAATATATCACACCAAAATGTCTATATAAAATGAGATATCTTTCAATAAGCTCCCCATACCATGCAAGCTAACTCTTCTACAGATGCCTATTAATTGATTTATACAACCAACCATAGTATGTTGAATATAAACTAAAATGTACTTACAATTAATCCAGAAGTTTTTTGACAAAATTACGTTTCTTGATGATCGGATTTGATGTTAATAGTTCTGGTTGGCAGCTTACAAAATGTTCAGTCATGGTTGCTACGAGTCTATTTAAATTGTTTTTAATTCCACGCATTCTATCTCCAAGATCATTGTAAACAGCGTGGATACTTTCCACTCCCTGCTCACCCATGAGACCCATACCACATTTGTATTTTATTATCCAATCAACCATGTGGTCTTCTAACAGATGTTGCTTTAGGATGATATTTGCTTTAGGGAAGCAAACTCTGTAAACATCTAAATAGTCATCTATGGCATCTTGGATATTTGATGTGTCTGATCCATCTATATAATTCATATGGGAAATCATTTTATGAACTGAAGAAAATTTTTCATTTACAGCTTGTAGCCTCTCTCTTATTTTTTCAGCTTTCTTGATAATTTTTCGTTCATTTTTTAGTCCCTTGCATATTTTCTTTGAAGCCCTGACAACACTTTGACACACATCATTGTACACTGTGGGGTCCAAATACTTATGGCAGTGATTCCCAACGAATGACTTGCCGTGATATGGAGCTCTGTTTATATGGTGTTTTTTTAACGTTTCATCTAAACTTGCTGCCACAGTGCCAGATTCTTCATTTAATGTATTTTTTGCTACCCTTTCTTCAATTTCTGTTTTTAATTGTTCCCTCTGTTGTTCGTTTCTTATTGAATTTAACTTGTCTCTCAATTTTTGAATTTTTCCAGTCTCTATGATATATTTGCCATATGGTGTGTCTGCCCTTTCCATAATTAATCTGTTTTCACTGGCGATGTTATCAGCTATTAGGAGGTCAAGTCTGTGGCATAATGACAGGAGGTGGTCATGGTGTTTTTTCACAACACCCAGCAGGACATGTAAATATGGGGGGCAAATATGATCTATCTCTATAGGGAGTAGAGGCTTGTTAATCACGTTATTGTGAAGTTTTGCATGACTCAATTTACCTTTAGATTCAGTAGAGAACTTTTCGTAGTCAGTTGACATTTTATCTAATGTTCTGCATGGAGACTTTCCTCGCATGTTCTGTGGTACGTTTAGATTTTCTGATTTTATGTTGCACCATAAACATGGATGACAACCAGCTGCCCCTGAAATTCCCATGCATGTGCACAGAAACAGGTAATCACCACATATGAAAAGTTCAATAGTTTTGTCATGCCATTTCATATTTTGCAATGTCAAAATCTGGTCCTTATATCTTCCTATACATGTTTCAAGGTTTTCCCTGCTGTCCTTTGCATTCATCGCTGCAAAAACAATCACATTATTTGTCGAGTTGGGATTTTCAGTATTGACTATTTGTAAAGTCATCTTTAGGCTTTTGCCCCCATGGTCCCCACCAAGTTTTATCCAAATTTTGTTTTCTGGTATAATAGATTCGTTTTGTTGTAACATATTGTATTTGTTTAACTTGTCCAAATGGTTGTGTACATGTATAGGTAAATCACTCATATAGGCTAAGGGTAATTTTTTGTATACTTTACCCTTCCTTGAATTTGGTGATATAGTATTTCTTGTTGCTAATTTTATCATTTCCCCTCTCAAATCAATTGCTTTCAATAATTCCTTCCTGTACTCCCTTTGTTTATTTTGACTTTCTACACTAACATTGCACGATTTTAAATGTCTAGTAATGTTTTTGAATTGTCTCCATGACAATTTGGCGGATGATTTTATTGCTAGGGCTTGTTTCCTTGATATCTTGATTTTATTTTTCTCATAACAGTTAAGAGTTTCTCTGTTTGCCTTTTTTCGATACTGAATGAGCCATTCTTTTGATATTTGCTTTAAAACCGCTTCATTGTTTTTCCCAGATGATGTTTTTCTATATATATTCATCTTTCTCGCACGTCTCCTCTTTAGGGGCGAGGAAGCAACTGATGAATTGACCTGTGCCCTTTCAACTCTTAAAAACACAAGTGGCTGAAATAAATTTAATTTAGCGTTTAGTAAAAGAGCTGTATTTGAAACTATGGATTTTGATATCAAATGTCTGAGTATGAGTATTTCAGATTTCCATCAGCTTATCTTTATATCTAATCATATTCTCCATATTTACATACATTTACTTAATTATCTTATAATGATTTTTAAAGCAAAGTAACATACCTTTCCCCGGGTTTTACATGTCAATTGTTCTTTATTAACAGAGTTTTTCAATTTTCTCTTTACAAGACATGTAAGTAGCTTTTCCTCCATAACTGAGAGATGATCATTTATACTTCTAGACATAATTTCTTGTATTGTTGCCTCTCTCCCACGGCCAGGTGTCATTTCCGTTGACATATCAAGACTGACGTCCATATTAGCGCATTGTTTTTTAGGGGTACTAGCTATTGGACTAACAGGGCAGCCCTCCAACGAATTTGGCAACTTTCTTTTCTTTCCTAGTACTTTGTTATTTGAGTATTCATTGCAAACCCAGCAGTCTTCACAATTATCCGAAATGTTATTCCATTTGCTATTTATGCTTACATAATGTTTCACTTTGGTGTCCTTGTTTTTTTCATTGCCTCTTCCCTGCTTCTTTGAATCTTTTAAAGTTCTATAGCATTTTTCACAGACTTTATTTGGGTGAATGTTTGGATTATCTAAATCTAACTTTATGTCTGGACAGTACTGTAGAAGTTCAGCTTGAATCAATGTACACGATTTTGGTACATACTTTTTACGAAATACTCTGTTTTTTAATCCACAAAGTCTGCATAATGTTTCTAAAGCACATTTGTGATGATCTGTATGATTATCCATCATGAAAATATTACATCCAGAGCATCTAGCATCAACTGAGTAAGTTGTAACAAATTCTTATCCTAATTAAGGCATCTACTTGGAACATTAATTTCAGGAAAACTTGCTTTGCCCCTCACTTCAAACCTTTTCAATCTGATAGGGAACACTTAAAAGTTAACATATCTGAAAAATCATTGATATGGACGTGCAAGAAACATAGATATTTAGTGCTAAAGAGGAGAGAACATTAGCTTATCTCACTAAATTCTGATTTCAACTCCCACAAGACATGTGGTTCTGATAACACATTTATTAAAGTCAACTTTACTTTGAAATCAAGATTTTAGACCACAGAAGTAGTTACACAGCAGATAGACTTATAATTTATTGCCCAGATGTATGGCTTAACACTGTTTATAGTTGAAGAAAGTTGTAAGATGAAGTAAACATCACTCTCCATCATGGCTGATGATGCTATCAGTTGCCAGGCAATAACTCAGAATGAGGCTCATTAAATATTAATGCAGGCTCATTGAATATTAAAGCAGCAGATTGGGTTTCACAAGCTCTGTGAACTAAATAACACAGGCAGAGGCTATCTGGGGAAGCTGTGTATGATAAAATGTAACAAGGTAACATACATACATTATGTGTTGAGAGGTTTTAGACAGAGGGCTAAGTGCCATATTCACCCCCATGAAGACAGATCGCCTAAAATTACATGTGTATGATGCAGGACTCGACATTCATCAGGAAAGCTTAAAATTACATTTGTATGATGTGAGAAACAACATTCGCCAGGAAAGTAGAAACATTTCGTCACCCATAATGCAAATTAATTTTTTACTGATTAATTAATGATGAATGACCATCATATTAAGTTCTATAAGTATGAGAATAGCATGCCGTTGTGATATTTCAAGATAACTCGTTCGAAAAATGATGACGGTATGATGCGTACTTCAATGTAATATTGATAAAGTAACATCATACTTATGCCCAATCATAAGTTCGAATGATAGTTGTATTTCAAATATCAATTGTATGACATGTATGAGACCAATGTTAATGCTACCAGGGGGAATATGACCTGCAGGCCTTACATTTTATACATGTTTTTTTCTGTTTTGAAATATTCGATATGTGATGGATATTTCTTAGCTTTTCAAAGAAATCTACAAATACTTCGATCACCGCCATCACTTTTTGAAAAGTTACCTTGAAATATCAAGACGTCATGCGATTCTCATACATAAAACTCAATGTAACTGTCCTTGACCATGTATTAAGTAGTAAAAAATTAATTTGCTTCATGGGTGACAAAATGTTTCTACTTTCCTGACAAATGTCGAGTCTTACATCATACGAATGTTATTTTAAGCTATCTTTCTGCATGGGGTGATATTACATGAGTGATAAACCCTAAATCGAAAACCAACAATATGTTAATCATTTGAGATGACATCCATACACGGATGTTATAAGGGAAGGGATACCTTCTGTTTGATATTTAGTAACTTCCCTTTATATACTACACCTCTCTTACATAACAAGAAATACATTTCCTTCATTATTATTAGGAGAGGTGCTCCTTTAATGGTCAATTTCTCCCCATTGTTGGATAATCTTCATAATTTTTCATTAGTGTATTCACTCACCTGAAGGGCCAGGTCCAAGTTGTTGTTTGATTGCTTTAAAGCCTCTGAGCATGCTCCCTTTGGAAACCCCATGGAAACTAATTGATCATATTTGGTCATATCTATCCTACAAATAACCAAATAAGACAAATAAGAATTCAGTTATTTCCAGATCACCACTAAGACTGAAAAGCTACCAAGGAGCTTTCATCAGAATATCTTGTCCTACAAATGTAAGGCCAGAGAAGCGAGTGTGACCCTAACCTAAAAAGGTATTTTTTGTATAACAGTATACAAACCTTTCCATCAAATGTCAATCAGGAGCTTACTACTAAAATGAAAGACAAAACACTTACATTTGACCAGCTGCAGTTTTTCCAAACCTCTTTGCGAGTTTGTTCTGCTTTCTTTCCTCTTTTTCCTTTTCTCGAATTTCCCTTTTCTCCTAAAAATTCCAAATAACAAATCAATTGAAGAACTTATTATTCAATTGTGCTGAAGGATTAGGAAACTTTTGAAGCTAGATTTACAAAATTAAAAGTGTTGAAACTCTTGCCACCAAAATGAGACCCTACATTAGACTTAAACAAGTTATTATGCAAAATGTCACCACTTGTTTGTTACAGATGAAGACAGCCAAACCCCAATAACAAGCAATGTCCAAAACAAAGTGAGACTATAACAATATGTCACCACAACTGGAGACGACACAATGAATGATTTCTCCAAAATGAGGCAAAAGAGAAGCAAGGACCAATTAATTATGTAACAACCCTGGGTTGTTACTTTTCATATGTTATGCCCAGATATAATTATTTCACACATCTGTCAATGTAAATACAGTACTAGTATTTCAATTTATTGTAAGGTTTTAAAGCTCATTTGATTACATTTGCATAAGTCTGTTAGGATAACTTACACCATGCTTTAACAGGGTAAGATAGTACATTTAGATCAGGACAAGTGGTTGAAGTCTCGATTTCCATGCGGGGCATTGAATTTAGCACACTTTCTTTCAATTTCTTTATCTGGCTTGTTACACTATGCTCGCTAGTTAGTCATTCCCCTGGGGCGCCCTCGGGTCATCACAATACTCATTCGAACAAATGCTTGTGCTTATAACTTAGATATATGCTTTTTATATTATAACTCATTTCAAAATATTTGAATTATTTGATGCAATTGATTTGCTTCGGGGGACTTACTAGCTTCGAGGACATCCCAAGAATTGATGATAAAAAGAAAATGATAAAAATAAAACAAACGAAGGGGCGCAAATTTTAAAGAGTGTGTGTTTTCATCAGATAAGACTTTTCCAGGTTTTTCAAAGGTGTTCGTGAAAATGTAAAAAATTATAGAAACACGATCCATCGAGTATAGGACATCTGCGTTGTTTTCAACACCTTCGAATTAGACCATAAATTCTTGAAATTGATTGATGATTTTTAGTCATTGCCTGAGGTGGTTGATTTTGTCCAAGGAGAACCAGCTCAAAAGATAAAATTGTTGATATTTCTTTGTAAAATGTCATGCTCAAGGGTTTCCCAAACTAGACGATCCCAACACGTGGCTAAAGTTGCCAAACCTTTGGAGAGAAGTGTAACTTCTATATTTACTATTTACAAAATAGAGGTCTAAAACTTATGTGTTCACCATTACAATATTACTTTATTTACTGGTCATATAAGGTTTTCAAATTGGACAATAATTGAGTGTTTCTGGTTATTGCTATCCCGCAATTTTTGGGGATATCCTGACCGAAGTCCCAGTCCCTACGGCTATGTCATTTTATATTCTGAATATTACTAGTTAAGTTATATGCAACTTTAGTGAGATTCAAGCAAGTTGATTAGTTGAAGACAGATCGTGAAATGCCAGCATGTGTTATTTCAGTTTGAGTATTTGATGATAGATGGCAGGGTGTTCAGTTAGTGTTTGTGAAACATGTAGAGGTCATGTAATTTATATAAGGTCAGATTTGTTATGGGATCGAAAGCTGTTTTTGAAACAGATCTTATTTGATACACATTTCTGTGAGACCTTACCCTGTAAATATTCATTGTATATATTTCATATCATTTTAGATAAGTTTTATGATACAGTTACATATAAATAGAATTAAATTGTCTTTAAAATGAGACATGACACACCATGTAACATTAAGTACTTTTTGCTGTAGAGGGGGGTGCCGTTGTTTTTTGACACCCTGTATATATAAACCAATCATCATTTTGGGAGTAAGACAGTATATTAGTTTTACAGCAGATTAAAATCTTATAACAACCATCACACACTCTAGCCATACGCTACCATAGTAATTTCAAATATTTTAACATTAAATTTCTGATATTTTTGTATTATGTCACCACTTGTTGAGTGTGACCCCTGGTTGTTACTATTACAAGTGTGGACCAGCATAAAATAAATGACTATAAGAGTTAATCTGTTCAGAAGCACTGCCTCTTTTAGACAATTTTAAGGAAGAGTAACAGAAATCAACATACTGTAGTTAAATGAGTTTCAACTTACCTGCTTTTTCTGCGTGATATGGGCCACAGCTCTAGTGACATTATTCTGACAAGCTCTCAGACCAAGACGAGCTTCATGTTGAGTAAATCCCATGGTCATCAACTCTGTCATTTTATCACTGTCAATGTGCAATTTTCCAAGTTCCAATTCAGCCTGTTATAGAGATTAATATTTTTGGACTTTATTCCTATTTTACAATTCTCATCATACATGTTTCAACATGTATTTAAAAGAATATAAAAAACAGTTAATCAAAAATTGATTGCGTATGTGTAGAAGATTGCCATTTCCATCCATTTTTTATTGAGGCTGGAGGAAGCGTTGATATCTGAGTGAATCTTGTAAGTACAGTATTTGCCTGCCAACACTCCCCCAAATACAAGCCATGAATCATCCCCCAGTTGAAATCAAGAAAATGGTAAAAGAGATACTGTTCGTGATACATGAAGGTAAGCAACCAAAGTAATCACTGGAGTATTCTATTGGTCAGATGTACTTTCATATTTTTAGAGATAATCTAGTTAATTTAAAAAAAACTAAAATGTGTAGCAGTTACAGTAATGACTACTCCCTAAAAAACCACATATACACAACAGAATAGCCGGACAACGGTAAAGTTTATTTTTATCTTAGTTATGGGATTATTCTGTGGGACAATACAATGAAAAATCATTTGAACAGACTTTTTATTTTACAAAAGAAATTCGTTAGAGTATGACAGACTCTCCAAGAACTGCACCTTTGAATTCTATTTTCAGAAAGTTCAAAATATCAAATATCTTCAACATAAATAAATTTCAGATCGCTACATTTGTGCAGAAAACTGTGACTGAATCAAAAGATTTTCAATCTCATAATTTCAAGTATTTTTTCAAAAGAGAATAGATACATGTATATACATTCCCATGATATGAGAAATAAATATAATTGGGTCATAGAGAGATTAAGAGCTGAAACTGGTCAAAAATCAATTGTGGACAGTGGAGCAATACTTTATAATTCCTTGTCAACAGTTTAAAAAAATGATAAAATATGATCTTATTAATCAATACCAGTGATACTTTGTGCTTTGTGCTTCCATCGGTTCTTTTTTCAATTAAATTCAAATTGCTTCCGGTTAACAACTAAAACATGATTGTTCAAAATCTAATGAGCCATGAAATGTATATGCCCCCTGGGGTCTTTTTCATGTATTGTATGAAACATTGTATGATTGATTTTCAATTGAATAAATTGAATTGAATTGAAAAATATAATCTCTACGATCACATCATTGAAATATTCCTTTTCCGGTACTACTGTTTGTATACCTTCTCCAGCAGGTTTCTTGAGTCATTCATTCTATTCTGGTGGAAGGCTAGTATAGCTTGTAGTAGGTGAAGCCTTACAAATAGGGCGAGTTCAACCCCAGTGCCACCCTGCAACATATACATATATTCATTCTATTCTGGTGGAAGGCTTGTATTAGGTGAAGCCTTACAAATAGAGCAAGTTCAACCCCAGTGCTACCCTGCCCTACCCCGATATAGCCCCCTTACTTCCTTTTGATATTGTCATGTTTCATTTCAGGTATGTGACATCATTGATACAAAGTAGCCATGGGAATAAAGGTATGTATTACATCAGTTATGTCACTATGACATGAAATATGCCTTCCTTCTTGCCCAAGTATAGAGACTCCCAAGGTTGGCCTATATTGGTATAACTCGGACATACTTCACGTCATAGTGAGAATATAAATATATACTGTTATAAATATATTATTATATTTATACCATGGTCAGAGCAATATCAAGTATATAATAGCAAGTGATAAAAAATATTTGGGACAGGGGTGATATCAGGATTTCAATGTCCAGTGCGGGAATCAAACCCAAGACCTTCCTCTCGCGAGGCAGACACTCCACCGATTTGGCCATAAAGGCTAGCCACTACAGCCGAGACTGTAATAGCGACTTGATAACGAAGGTCATTACATGCCCGTCGAGAAGCTGCAGTGTAACGAGCCAGATACTAGACCTGAGAGGGAATATGCTAAATTCAATGTCCAGTCATTCAAGGTCATTACATTGATATTATCCTGGGTAAATTCAAAAAGTATACTAGTATCCAAATGAAATTCATTTTTCAAAATTTTACACTTTTCAAAAGGAGGAGGGAAATTGGCGCAACAGATTTTGTACAGTCATATGTTGGATTTTGGCCATTTTCTGAGGATTTAAACAATTGCATATGTTAGGCCAATGCATTACCTCCAGGAAAATCACTTCTAGAGATGATAAAATAATTTCGACTTTGAGACAGGTTAGATGCAAACAACCCACCCACATGATTTTTCTGAAATGTTTTCCTATTTTTCGACCCTTCCATCCCTGCTTTTTTAATTTTTCTTGCATCAATATGTTGCATTTTGACACATAGTTAACCACTTTAAAGGAATAAGTGATTCCTTCAGGGGTTTTAAAGATACCCATTATGGGTGACCAAACTTAGCTGAAAGCAATGATTTTTCCTATGGGAAAATAACATGGGAAATATTGTTTTCCACTTTATCTAAATGGAATCATTTATTCCTTTTAAGGGATCAACTGTGTGTCAAAACTCAACATATTGATGCAAGAAAAATTAAAAAATAAAGGATGGAAGGGGTTGAAAATCAATCATTTCAGAAAAAACATGTGGGTGGGTTGTTTGCATCTACCCTGTCTCAAAGTCAAAATTATTTTATCATCTCTAGAAGTGATTTTCCTGGAGGTAAAACATTCGCCTAACATATGGTACTGTTTAAATCCCCAGGAAATGGCTGAAATCCAACATATGATTGTCCAAAATCTGTTGCGCTAACTTCCCTCCTCCTTTTTATTTTTTCCAAAATTTTCCATTTTATGAAAAATTTAAAATTTCATTTTTCAAATTCTTTCAAATACTCTTCTTCTTTTAATTTTTTCAGTAAAATGTTTTTCTTGCCCTTTAATTCTCAATGTACTTAGGAGTGGGATAATATGTAACATAATATTTCCAAGAGTCAATCCTTTTTTTCTCATTCAACAGAAGATTTTGGGTAGATATTGCTCTTGACTAGAATAAGGTTGTTATTCACTTGTCGGGTCGATATAGGGAATATCTGTCGGATGATATCTCCATAAACATACATATGCATGTTTGATGTAATGTTGTATCATGAGTACGCCCATGCAAATCCATTCAGAGGTTCAAGTGGGCCAATCAGATTACTTCGATTTTTCAACATTCTCAAGTTCTCAACTTTCTCTTTGAATTTTTTTGTTTTGAATTTGATATGATTTTTTCTTGTTTGATGTTTTAAACATTATTTCAAATATTTAAGATATATCAAATGTTATACAGTGAGTCATTTCTGGCACTATGTTAGAGCCCTATTTAGAAATTTGATTAAATTTGTAGAATCAAAACAATTAATTTAACTGGATTTGTTAAACATTGCTAGTCTTAACTGTAAAGCTCAGACAAATGATTTCTTCGTTGACTCAAAAATGATTTACCCTGCACTAATACAGAAGGAGTCTATTTTCCTATGATTGAATAGCTATTGAATAGTGTTTTTAAACAGATTATATGAATATATATTTCCCAAAGGGGGCCTCTTACCTTCACCATTGTGAGCCTCTCAAGGTTCTGCCCATAGCTCCTGTGAAAACACTCTTCACAAGACCTCAACCTGGACTCTGGAACAACATATGATATAGTAATATACACTGTACACTAAGTATAAAGCATTCTTAGCAACACCTCAACTTGGACGCTGGAACAACATATAATATACACTGTACACTAAGTATAAAGCATTCTTAGCAACACCTCAACTTGGACGCTGGAACAACATATAATATACACTGTACACTAAGTATAAAGCATTCTTAGCAACACCTCAACTTGGACGCTGGAACAACATATAATATACACTGTACATTGAATATAAAGCATTCTTTACAAGACCTTAAACTGGATGCTGGAACAACATATAATATACACTGTACATTGAATATAAAGCATTCTTAACAAGACCTCAACCTGGACGCCGGAACAACATGCAGTATAATATACACTGTACATTGAATATAAAGCATTCTTAGCAAGACGACGAACTCTGATTGGCTTGGTGAGTTCAGAGATTTATTGTAAACTAAAAGAGTGAAGACAAACTCTTTTTTAAGAAGCAAAATCGAACAAATGCAAAGGGTAATAATAAACTCATTGCAACTTCAATGTAGCTCTCATATGTTAACAATATGATTCAGTGTAACTTTTTTACTTTGGGGCAGGAGTGTTTAAATTGATGTTTGAGCCTGAAAATAACTATATCAATGTACTAAGAGAAACAAAGGATCAGGGAGTCATGCAATTTTTAAGTCCTTTCCCTGAATCTGTTTTTAACTGCCAGAGCATTTACCAATGACCTAGTATTCAAATCTTTAAAAGTTTTGGAATTTTGAAATGTTTAAATCCAACATTTCAAAATTATTATGAAAATCTTTGAGGAAAATGTCAATATCTAAATTTTTTGAAAAACCTGACATGATTTAGAAACAAACAATACAAGAATATGATAATGTCGAGAGGAATAACTATAAAGTTCAATATAACATTTCTAATGCTAATGTATTGGATTTCATTCATGCATGTATCAATTTAAACCAGTTTTATATACCTGCATTAGGTAGTTCCCTAATGTTCTTAAGGCACAAGTAACACCAGACAATGTCCAGACAAACAATGGCATAGTTGTCAACTGCATTCAAGATGTCTGCCCTGCATTTACTGGAAATACAAGAGGGTGGAATGACATCCCATCATATCATGGCCCTACCTTGATGTAAAAGTGCCAATGACACCCCATCATAATCAGGCAAAACGCCAATGACATCCCATCAAACTATTGCCTTATTTTCATGTAAAAGTGCCAATGACATCCCATCATACCATGGCACTACCTTGATGTAAAAGTGCCAATGACATCCCATCATACCATGGCACTACCTTGATGTAAAAGTGCCAATGACATCCCATCATACCATGGCCCTACCTTGATGTAAAAGTGCCAATGACATCCCATCATACCATGGCACTACCTTGATGTAAAAGTGCCAATGACATCCCATCATAATCAGACAAAACAAAGCTTCATGTAAAGATGCCAATGACATCCCATCATACTATTGCCTTATCTTCATGTAAAGATGCCAATGACATCCCATCATACTATTGCCTTATCTTCATGTAAAGATGCCAATGACATCCCATCATATTATTGCCTTATCTTCATGTAAAGATGCCAATGACATCCCATCATACTATTGCTTTATCTTCATGTAAAGGTGCCAATGACTGCTTTATCTTCATGTAAAGGTACCAATGACATCCCATCATATTATTGCCTTATCTTCATGTAAAGGTGCCAATGACTGCTTTATCTTCATGTAAAGGTGCCAATGACATCCCATCATATTATTGCCTTATCTTCATGTAAAGATGCCAATGACATCCCATCATATTATTGCCTTATCTTCATGTAAAGATGCCAATGACATCCCATCATATTATTGCCTTATCTTCATGTAAAGATGCCAATGACATCCCACAACCATGGCCCTACCTTCATGTATTATCTTCATGTAAAAATGGTGATGACATGGTTTATAATATAATAAAAATAGGACCCACTGTCCTGTGCTCACACAGTTTGGAACCTTCAGAGGAATGTATATCCTGACTTTCAAACAAAAATGTTGATTTGGATTTGTAGTCTCGAACTTTGAGAAACTTAAGACAGCCAAGTAGTGTGACCTAGTTTGATGACCTTTGACCTTGAAAATTTTACTTATTTAGAGCTCAGTAAGGTCTTTTGTGATTAAGCTGACCAAAATTTACATCCAAAAATCAATTTGAAAACTTTTTGACCTTTCAAAGGTCAAATCCTAAAACTAATTTCAGATTTGAACTCCTGGTAACTTGTAGATGATTTTCAAAAAAAAATTTGGTCAAATTGAAGCAAGTTGAAAAATAACTTATTTTTACTGTTTTTTGACGTCAAATATCTCAAAAATGGTAGTTTATAGAGTAAACACCAAAAACTGTAATTCCAAGAGCTTTGAAATCTTCAGAGGACATAAGTTGCATATACAGCAACTACTACGAGTTATTTGAAAGTTCTACTTCAACAAAGTGTCTAGTATTTACAGAAAATTTGACTTTTTGACGTCAAAATCAGCAATTTCTCGGAAACCGGGCGAACTTGGGAAATGGCGATGATAGGTCAAATAGGCATTATGGATATGCATAAAATGAATGTGGATATGACTCAATCCGAATAGCAGTTTTAATTTGTGCGGCCAATGTTGACGGACGGACGGACAGACGGACGGACGGACGGACCAACGGACGGACGGACGGACGCCTGGTCGATCCCATAGGCTCACTGTGTGAGCCAAAAAACAAGGCACAGGACGTGAACGAGATCACACCATCAAATAGGCAGACACTATGACACTAGGCAGACACTGTTCTCCTATTATGTTTACAAATTTCAAGAACAAGAAATAAGATGGCCGCCCAAAAGTTAATCAGCTCTAGTACTTGATATCCTCTATCATTTGTGTAAATTTGAAGGAAATCCGATGAGCGGTTTTCCTGAAATGGCGATGACAAGATTTTTCGAAAAACCTTCAAAATGGCCACCAGAAAACAAGATGGCCGCCCAAAAGTTAATCAGCTCTAGTACTTGATATCCTCTATCATGTGTGTAAATTTGAAGGAAATCCGATGAGCGGATTTTCTGAAATGGCGATGACAAGATTTTTCGAAAAATCTTCAAAATGGCTGCCAGAAAACAAGATGGCCGCCCAAAAGTTAATCAGCTCTAGTACTTGATATCCTCTATCATTTGTGTAAATTTGAAAGAAATCCGATGAGCGGTTTTCCTGAAATGGCGATGACAAGATTTTTCGAAAACCTTCAAAATGGCCAACAGAAAACAAGATGGCCGCCCAAAAGTTAATCAGCTCTAGTACTTGATATCCTCTATCATTTGTGTAAATTTGAAGGAAATCCGATGAGCGGATTTTCTGAAATGGCGATGACAAGATTTTTCGAAAAATCTTCAAAATGGCTGCCAGAAAACAAGATGGCCACCCAAAAGTTAATCAGCTCTAGTACTTGATATCCTCTATCATTTGTGTAAATTTGAAGGAAATCCGATGAGCGGTTTTCCTAAAATGGCGATGACAAGATTTTTCGAAAAACCTTCAAAATGGCCACCAGAAAACAAGATGGCCGCCCAAAAGTTAATCAGCTCTAGTACTTGATATCCTCTATCATTTGTGTGAATTTGAAAGAAATCCGATGAGCGGTTTTCCTGAAATGGCGATGACAAGATTTTTCGAAAAACCTTCAAAATGGCCGCCAGAAAACAAGATGGCCGCCCAAAAGTTAATCAGCTCTAGTACTTCATATGCTCTATCATCTCTGCGAATTTGGAGAAAATCTGATGAGCAGTTTTCCTTAAACGGCGATGACAAAAAGCGGGACGATCACGATCACGACCACGATCACGATCACGACCACGATCACGACCAGTATGACGACTATATCCCACCGATGGTGTGATAAAAAACTTCTAAAATGGCTTACAGAAAACAAGTCGTCCAAAAGGTTATCAACATTACTGTAGAACTTGGAAATCTGTAACATGTCTATGAATTTTAGCAATGAGCTGTTTTCCTTGAATGGCAATGTCAACATTATTTTGTTGTATTCATGTAATCGCTGGTGATTGCATAACAGATGCAGTGGGCAGAAGAGGTAATGAAATGATAATTTCAAGAGTGAACAACGATGGCTAAGATTTTCTCCCCTTTGAAAATAACATAGTTTATGAAAATACCAACAAGCAGCTACAGTGTAGGCCTTTCTCTGAAACGTCAATGCAATAAAGGCATATATGTATATGTCTTTTAACAGTACATGAAACAAGTGGATGAGAATTCCGTTGAATATAGCTGTTCCAAGAATGTTATAGTAGCACATATTCAATGAATTAAACACAGTTTACAATGGAGCACATGAAAATACCAGAGAACTAAATAACACTTCATCCTTAATTCATTTTCATTATAAGATCTGAAATTATTAAGATCTAAATTTGACACAAACCTGAACTGTTTGTCTGCTTCCAGCAATAGCAGCAGTGCCTCAGCATATTCCTTTTTCTTCAAGGCTGCTCTGCCTTTTTCATGTAAAGTCATAGCCAGAGTTAATGCCTGCAAGTATACAGTATTTTACTGGCTAACAATATTAGCCAGTTATATAAAACATATGTACCATGTACTTACTATACATGGTGTCCCCAAAGTATGCCCCCCCCCCTATGAAGACATATACCAGTATCTTCATAGTGTGTGTCATATATATCCACACCCCTATTTGAAGGCTTTTAAGGTCATATCTAAAAGAATTTAAAACTTAAAACAGGAATCCTATTGACAGAGGTTTTAAAACGGGCCAATTGTTGACGGATGGACTCATGAATGAATGGACAGTCAGACCAAGGCAAGCATGAACGGATGGACAAACGCATGCAAGCACCAACAAACGGTCTAACAACCGCAAGCACGCACGAATGAATGACCGGTAGGACGAACACACGCTTGAACAAACCGATGGTCGAACCAACATACGCTCGAACAAATGGCGGTCGGATGGACACGCATACGCTGAAGATCGGACTGACGAACGCCCAAACAGACGGTGGGACGAACAAACACAGGAATGAACGAATGGACACTCGGACGATTTGCTTACACAAATGGACGGTTTGACAATCGCATAAACAAACGGACGGCCGAACAAATGCATGCACGAATGAACTCACGCACGATTGAACAGTCGAAAGAATTAACAAGTCAATGAATGTGTGTCCTCAGAAGTATACTCCTTGGAACATTGAATTATGTAGAATTTATGATGACGCTGACAGATGGATCAAACTGCCAGAAGTTGTAGAAGATATATTTGCGATGTTGCCATAGAATGATGTTGTGTGATTGTTATTAATACATTATTGGCAAGTTCTTGTACATTCATATAAAGAAACTCAATATCTTCACGAATAATAATGAAGCTACATTCCTCACGATTGAAACGGGACCTCCTCAAGTTTTCAGCGGGGCCTCCTCATTTTTTCAGCGGGGCCGCTGAAACACATTTATTTATGTATTTCGACCCCCATGGCAGACGTAATTGCACAGTTACTTATCAATACATACCATATTGATCAAATATGTATTATGGAGTATGTAAATCATATTTATTGCATTTATTTTAACAATAAAAGATGGCCACCAGAATGCAAGATAACTGGCTCAAGAACTTCTTACTATAATGTAACATGTGTGAAAATTTGAAGTAAATCCGATGACAAGATTTCTCTTAAAACTTCCAAGATGGCCACCAGAAGTTAATCAGCTCTAGAACTTCTTACCATGTAACATGTGTGAAAATTTGAAGTAAATCCGTCAAGTGGTTTTCCTGGAATCGTGATGACAAGAAAGAAGAAGCCGCCCGACGCCTGCCGGCCCACCCAGCCACCCGCAAAGTTGTCAACAATATCATACCTTATCATACCATAGATACAATAAAAAAGAATCATTTTTCATTTCATTGTTTGTCAAACATATCTGTTTTTAAAGTATTGCCAGAGTATCAAAGAACAGTAATTTTCTTTTGGTCCATTTTCCAAAGTGATACAAATAAACAGGACTATACTCAGCTTGAACTTGCTCGTACATACATACATGTATTTCTCTGTATAATTTCATGATTTTTTCGAGGTCTCCTCTGCCGAAGGCAGCGCAAAGTAGGAGCGTAGCGACTACTTTGCGGGAGACCTCGAACCATTGATCACGTTTGCTCCTGTAATTATTCACTTCTTCACCTCTTTAAAATGAGATTTCAATCAGTTGATCAAATCTTCGGACTTTGACCTCAATTTCAAATATAGATATTTATAAGAAAAAATACTGACTCATTGTTATATTTTTAAAAGTCTTTCAAATAAAGTGAAATGGAGCCAAAATCAGCTAAAATTATGCAATGTCGTAAAATGGCGTTTCTAGAATATGATGCAATCACCCGTGACGTCACAGACACGTATCGCCACATCAACAACTAAAACAATTAATATAGACTTCACTGATTGGTTTAAAGATTCTTCGCATCATTTGTGACGTCATAAACATGTTACCCAACCAACAACTAAACAAATAATAACTAATAGGCATATAGGTTCGTTCAGTGCCACGCTCGGATAATCAACAGATATATGATAGGGTCAGGAATTTTTTTGACTTGGAGACCTCGACTCGAGGAGTTTGCTGCATTTTCTTGTTATATTTGTTTGGATAAAGTATGAAGTATTTGTTTTACCTGTCTCTCTTCTTTTGGCAAATTGAGGGATTTGCCTGATTGGTCAGCTATTTGAAGATAATAATCATCCCCATCACTGCTCTGTGTTGTTCCTGCAAGAAGTTCAGCAGCTTGTTTTGTCTGATTAAACTTATCCATCTGTTGTTGTTGTAGTCTAGCTTCTGTTTCTGTCTCAGACAAACATATTGCCATCACCTGACTTCCGTGCTGTAAAAGTAATTTATTAAAATATCAATTTCCTAATTTGTTCACAAAAATTCTGGATACCATAACTAACCGCTCATCTAATATTTCAACTGGGTGCAACATCCATTTCATATTCTTTACTGCATCACCCATCTGCATCAGGAGATGGACATGTCCATTTACACACATGTGAATTTCTCAAAAGGTTAATGATACATTTACATTCTGTTCAAGGATGGATTGATCATCTTCTATCACTCTGCCCCCTGAGATTATCTTCAACCTGTGTAGATCTAACCCAGTGTGTTTATTCTATGTTAATGATACATTACCTTTATATTTTGCCCTAAGAGGGATTGATCATCTTCTATCAATCTGCCCCCTGAGATTATCTTCAACCTGTGTAGATATCACCCAGTGTGTTTATTCTATGTTAATGATACATTACCTTTACATTCTGTTCTAGGAGGGATTGATCATCTTCTATCATTCTGCCCCTTGAGATTATCTTCAACCTGTGTAGATATAACCAAGTGTGCTTATCTATGTAAATGATACATTACCTTTACATTCTGTTCAAGAAGGGATTAATCATCTTCTATCATTCTGCCCACTGGGATTATCTTCATCCTGTGTAGATCTAACCAAGTGTGTTTATTCTATGTTAATGATACATTACCTTTACATTCTGTTCAAGGAGGGATTGATCATCTCTGCCCCTTGAGATTATCTTCAACCTGTGTGAATCTAACCCAGTGTGTTTATTCTATGTTAATGATACATTACCTTTACATTCTGTTCAAGGAGGAATTGATCATCTTCTATCACTCTGCCCCCTGAGATTATCTTCAACCTGTGTAAATCTAACCCAGTGTGTTTATTCTATGTTAATGATACATTGCCTTTACATTCTGTTCAAGGAGGAATTGATCATCTTCTATAACTCTGCCCCCTGAGATTATCTTCAACCTGTGTGGATATAACCCAGTGTGCTTATTCTAGGTTAATGATACATTACCTTTACATTCTGTTCAAGGAGGAATTGATCATCTTCTATAACTCTGCCCCCTGAGATTATCTTCAACCTGTGTGGATATAACCCAGTGTGCTTATTCTAGGTTAATGATACATTACCTTTACATTCTGTTCAAGGAGGAATTGATCATCTTCTATAACTCTGCCCCCTGAGATTATCTTCAACCTGTGTAAATCTAACCCAGTGTGCTTATTCTAGGTTAATGATACATTGCCTTTACATTCTGTTCAAGGAAGGATTGATCATCTCTGCCCCTGAGATTATCTTCAACCTGTGTGTGGATATAACCAAGTGTGTTTATTCTATGTTAATAATACATTACCTTCACATTCTGTTCACGGAGGGATTGATCATCTTCTATCATTCTGCCCCCTGAGATTATCTTCAACCTGTGTGGATATAACCAAGTGTGTTTATTCTATGTTAGTGATATATTACCTTTATATTCTGCTCTATGAGTGATTGATCATCTTCTATCATTCTACCCCTTAAGATTATCTTCAACCTGTGTGGATATAACCAAGTGTGTTTATTCTATGTTAGTGATACATTACCTTTACATTCTGTTCAAGGAGGGATTGATCATCTTCTATCATTCTGCCCCCTGAGATTATCTTCAACCTGTGTGGATATAACCGAGTGTGTTTATTCTATGTTAATGATACATTACCTTTACATTCTGTTCAAGGAGGGATTGATCATCTTCTATCATTCTGCCCCCTGAGATCATCTTCAACCTGTGTGGATATAACCAAGTGTGTTTATTCTATGTTAGTGATATATTACCTTTATATTCTGCTCTATGAGTGATTGATCATCTTCTATCATTCTACCCCTTAAGATTATCTTCAACCTGTGTGGATATAACCAAGTGTGTTTATTCTATGTTAATGATACATTACCTTTACATTCTGTTCAAGGAGGGATTGATCATCTTCTATCATTCTGCCCCCTGAGATTATCTTCAACCTGTGTGGATATAACCAAGTGTGTTTATTCTATGTTAGTGATATATTACCTTTATATTCTGCTCTATGAGTGATTGATCATCTTCTATCATTCTGCCTCCTGAGATTATCTTCAACCCGTGTGGATATAACCAAGTGTGTTTATTCTATGTTAGTGATATATTACCTTTATATTCTGCTCTATGAGTGATTGATCATCTTCTATCATTCTACCCCTTAAGATTATCTTCAACCTGTGTGGATATAACCAAGTGTGCTTATTCTATGTTAATGATACATTACCTTTACATTCTGTTCAAGGAGGGATTGATCATCTTCTATCACTCTGCCTCCTGAGATTATCTTCAACCTGTGTGGATCTAACCCGGAGTGTTTGGAGATTTCATTCTTCAGCACTTGACCATGCTGCTGTAAGCCAACTTCAAGTGAAAGCAGCTTCTGGCATTTTGTCATCTGAAAAATGAACCTGTGATTAGACTGACGTCGGTTAACCCTAAAATACCCCTCTTATATAATTTCTAAAAGGCAAATAATTCCAGTTAAGTATGTGGGCAATATTTATCAAGCCCATCAAAGTATTCATATATGCAAATATGTATTATCATGCACCTAAAGTAAATGTCCATTTAAGTCTAAAGTAGTTGATTATATTCAGAACCAAATAAATGAGTACACACTGGTTCATATTCTGTTACAAATTGATATTGTCACAATTGCTCGCCCATCATGATCAGTGTTCACTCAAGGCTTTTTTCAACTGGGTGAGTTTCCATGAAATTTCCATGCACGTACATGTACATTGTACTTTCCCTGTTTATACTCTCTGAGCTCTGTATGTTTTTCCAGATATGTACTAATAGACTAGATGCGAGTAGAAATGATCTTGATTTATGTCATTAAATATTCAAAATTCAGTCAAAGTGATGTCATATTTGAAATCTACATGTAAAAACACATCTAAAAATATGGTTTTGAAAATTGTTTATCAACTTTGAAAATTTAATAATTTTTGAAAATGTGACTTCTAGTTCGGGTTGATTCCCCATAGACCCCATATTACAAAATCACAAAAAGTGAAATATCTTTTCTTGTATTGGACATATAACATTTTCTTTTACTGGACATACTTTAATTTGCATAACTATTCGATATATAAGGGCTATATGAAAATTGAACCACTAAAACCTATGTAATTTAAGTTAAAGGGAACTTTCTACTATACCCGCCATGCTATCGGACCCGAGTGAGCCACCTGGTGGTGAAACTGGTAACTACCTACTCACATTTGCGTTATTGTACTTTCATGTATGTACATTATTAAATGTATTAAATAGACACCCTTACCTCATCAGGTAATTTACCACTCAGTTTGATCTTCAATGAAGCTATTCCAGATTGTTGAAACTTCTTCCTGGCTGCCAACTTCTCTAATGCATGACAACGCAAATGCTCACAAACAGTCAGTATGACATCTTCACAGAGACCAAGATCAGTAGAAAATCTCTCAACCATTTCCTAGAGAAATAATAAACTACAACTGATATCATCCATCAATAGTCTGGCGCAAAATATATATTGTCTCGGTTAAGGCACAATTGGCCTCCTACAGTACATTATTGGTCAACATAAATGCTGATGTATATACAGTGATACAGTCTTTGAAGGGCTCAATTTTAAAGATCTTAGTTTATTAAATCTTAGTTTATGATGAATTATAGATGCATTTGTAACGACCCTTGATAGCAAGTTGCTACTACATCCCAGCTGGGTTCGATTCCCACTCGGGGCATCAAACTTAGCACACTTTCTTTCAATTTCTTTATCTGGCTTGTTGGACCTATGCTCGTGGTCATTAGTTATTTATTCCCTTGGGACGCCCTCGGGTCATTACACATTAAATATACTTAAGAAAGATCTCAAAATTAACGCAAATTCCTGTTTTCCCGACCCCCCATACACAGCCCTTGGATGTCAGGCTGAAAAACTCAGAATATATGTGACATCGATAGATGTTGTAAATATACTATCAAAATTTCAAACAATAATATTCATTTCTTTGGTTCAAAATGATAACTTTTCGCCAAATATGTTTTTGCGTAAAACTTTTTACCAATATACACTTTTCCACAAATTTTGAAGCAAATCCATCCACTAGTATTCGAGTTATCATTTTTTGGGCGAAAAACCTTCAAAATGGCCACCAGAAAACAAAATGGCCACCCAAAAGTTAATCAGCTCTAGAACTTGATATCCTATATCCCACCGATGGTGTGATAAAAATAGAAGTAATGCACCAACTGTGTGACAACCCTCCTGCGTTCACACTGCTGGGACATCAGCTCAAAACAGCGGAATTGCCACAGCTGCAGGGGCCTCTCAGTCCTTGCTCTCAAAAGTATGGAATAGAGAAGGCTTACGTTTATCTACAAAGATTACTGTATACAAAGCCACTGTGCCTCCATGTCTGCTCTATGGTTGTGAAACATGGCCAACCTTGTCTAAACACCTAAAGCAACTTGAAACATTCCATCAAAGATGCCTACATCAGATTATGGTCATAAAATGGCACATGAAATTTTCCAACACAAATGTCTTAGAAAGACAAAGCTCATTGTCAAAACTAACATCAGGGCAAAGGGAAAGGCAATCTGAACTACTGCTTCAACGGAAAACGCTTCATAGAGCCACCCATCTGTCTTGATGAGGACGAAATGATGATGATGAATGATGAACTGAAAATTGTGTAGGTTTAATGACAAACCTTTGGTATTTCCCCCTTTTCTCCCAGTTCAGTAGTATACGGTGGAAGCCATAGCTTGATTTTCTCATGGTTTAGTTTGTCTCTGATCAGACTCTCCATATGCTCATTAAAGCTCTCAGCCATCTTGTTTGTGTAAGTGATGAAGTTACATTTCTGGTGTCACAATTTACTCATCCAATGTATCAGACTTTAGCTCTGAAAAAGTGAATATAAGTTCTTAATTTTCCATAAGAACAAATAAACAAACAAACAAGCACAAAGAACTAAGCAATATTAGCTTGCAGCGACAGATTACCCCTAGAAATGCAAAAAGGCATGGTATCCCACAATTGTTGATTCATTCTTGAATTTACGATTCTAATGATCGTTACAATTGTGATCTGAATCATACAGTTTAATGATTTAGCGATTTTGATTGATATTTTTTAATATATTTTGCTTCAATAAATACAATTGTAACAATCGTGAGCTGAATCATTTATTTTGATGATTCAGTGATTCTCACAAATATTGATATTTAAATTGATAGTCACAATCGTAACAATCGTGAGCTGAATTGTTCATCTTATTAATTCAGTTTTTCTGACAAATATCGATATTTAAATGATAATCACGTTCGTCACAATCGTAACGCTCGTGAGCTGAATCATTCATTTTGTTGATTCAGTGATTCTGACAAATATTGAAGTTTAAATGATAGTCACAATCATCGCAATTTTAACAATCATGGGCTGAATCCTTCATACATTTTTATGATTCTGCGATGCTGATAGAAAAACATGTGAACATAATTTACATTATTTATTGTTATTTGATATTTGGACCTTTGCATTCTTTGGTATATTTTTATGTGTTTTCAGGTATAGAGTAAAGTAGATTATTCTTCCCAGTGGCCTTATACTAACGCTTGTGGAGGTGGTCTGTTGTACAGGATATAGCAGCAATACAAATTGCACGATTTATAGCATGTGATCAGTGTTGCTTGTAGATGTAGTTTTGTAACATTAACTGATTTGCCTAGTGTAGTATTCATAGTGTATATTATCAGTGTTCAGTATTCAAACGTGAACTGGAGACCAGAATGAATATCAGTGATTCATAGGAAGATATCGATACAGAGTACCCCCATATTCATTGACTATTATGGTGTTATAACATTAATTGATTGGCACTAGTAGTTATAGTATGTCACAAATTGCTGTGATCAACAATTACAATAAGAACCAGACAGAATATGTACCAGAGCGACCATATAGGAGCCTAATAACATGATACAGTGATCATTATGATGGCATATCATTCAATGATTGACATATTGGGTATATGACAGCATTAACAACAGCAGACTCCATAAAACTAAGTTACTGACACTTAATGCAGATCAACTCCAGGCAGTGGAGACTCTGAAGAAAACACATGTATCTTATCAGGTGATGGCATACCCCTGTTTTGATAGGGATTTTCTGGTAGACACTGATGCCTCAGCCAACTCGGTGGGGGCTTGTTGATTGTGACGCATACCTATATATTAGCAGAATCACTCTGAATCATTCATTCTAGCTGAATCTGTATAATAGTGACAATCGTTACGATCGTGATACATACCTATAAATTAGCAGAATCACTCTGAATCCTTCATTCTAGCTGAATCTGTATAATAGTGACAATCGTTACGATCGTGACGCATACCTATATATTTAGCAGAATCACACAATTACTCTGAATCATTCATTCTAGCTGAATCTGTATAATAGTGACGATCGTTACGATCGTGACACATACCTATAAATTAGCAGAATCACTCTGAATCCTTCATTCTAGCTGAATCTGTATAATAGTGACAATCGTTACGATCGTGACGCATACCTATATATTTAGCAGAATCACACAATCACTCTGAATTATTCATTCTAGCTGAATCTGTATAATAGTGACAATCGTTACGATCGTGATACATACCTATAAATTAGCAGAATCACACAATCACTCTGAATCCTTCATTCTAGCTGAATCTGTATAATAGTGACAATCGTTACGATCGTGATACATACCTATATATTAGCAGAATCACTCTGAATCCTTCATTCTAGCTGAATCTGTATAATAGTGACGATCGTTACGATCTTGTTGCATACCTATACATGGGCCTAGCGCTATTTTTCTAAGTAGTACGCCACCACCACAGGATTAAGAGTTGAGTGAATCAAAATTCAGAATTCAGTGGGGTCAGGAAAATTTTGAAATTTGGTTGTATTTGGAGCGAATTTGCAATCATCTGGTACGCCTGTGCGTACCCAACGTACCGGGCGCTACGCCCATGCTATATATTTAGTAGAATCACACAATCACTCTGAATCATTCATTCTAGCTGAATCTGTATAATAGGGACAATTGTTACGATCGTGACGCGTACCTATATATTAGTCACGATCACGATTGTGTGATTCACTTATACAACTGAAGAATAAGGTAACCACTGGGCACTATCCGTGCTCAAATTTCAAATTTATTAGCTTTATTGTATTTCAATCCCCATCAGGGATCATATACAAAGCATACAAATAACTACAAACTACTTAAGTACAAAAATGAAATATAAATGTGTAATGCCTGTGATGATGTAAAACTGATGACTTGCATGTTTTGGACGGACAATTTCACATTTTGTAGAATGATCTTTTAGTAAGTAAAACTGGCTGAAACTATGCCGTGCTAGTCTAAAACATTGTTAGTTTACAAAATGATCATCACTTAACGAATTTATAGCGCAAAAACTGTCAATATTGAGATATAATGAATACAAACCTGCGAAGGAAAATGTTGTTTTGATTTATCATCAGAGCTACAATGGTTCTCAATACTAGTTTTCGTATTAAGTACAACTGCACAAATTAATCTATAAAAACATGTTCGACAGAAATTATCAACTACGATATACAGAACAAAATTATCACTATCCTTTTATTCATTAATGTCAATCAATCATTTCGTATTAGCTACATTTGAAAATCCGAAACATTAATAGGAATATTGGCAACCTCTCTGATCACGTGAGAAGGAGGAAAAAATATAATCTTGAAAAAAAAAATATGACCAATATATAAGGCATCTTCGTTGTTTTGGTGAGTATAATTCATGCATTCGATACTGAATTTGGTATTCTTCGAGTCAGAATCAGATGCACTAACAGATCTGAATCTGAAGTGAATCTGATCAGTCCAAAATTTCTGAACTGCATTTGAAGTCACAGGAAGTTGTAGGCCTATCAAGACCTTTTTGTGCCTTTATGGGCTTTTGCCCCCCCCCCCAACTCTCATAAGAGTTGAAATTCATCTCTTATGAGAGGTGGGGGGGGGGCAAAAGCCCAAAAAGGTCTTGATACAACTTCCTGTGTTTAGGACAGGGCAGAGGATGATGGCCTTTTCTAAGATAGAAAAAGTGCATGATCTACAATTAAACTATTGGTCTGAATGAAATGCTGTGCGGAAAGTATGAATGGGTCGTCTGCTGTATTAGTCTATTAATACTCTAGGACCTGTTCGTGATGCTTTATAATTTAGACCAAAGTGTAGACGAATACACGCACGTGTAAATTATAAAATCAACGAACAAGGATTCAATTTTCACAAATGTTCGGTAATTTATCGTATTGAAACTTCCGGTACTTACTAGGAAATCATTCATTTTCACGATCCATAATTTACCTCTTGGATATTGTGCTAAATGCTCTATGGTTGACGCAACAAAGGTGACAGGGTTTCATTAAAATGTGTGTTCTAACCTCTAGAGGGTAAGCAAGACTCCTAATCTTCAGGTAAATCTTATTTTTCAAGTTCTACCAACGAAGTCAGGCCATGAAATCTACTCTAAAGCTCCTAAACTCAAACTGGAAGACTTACATGTAGGCCAGGGTGCATGTCCGTCAACATTGGCCGCACAATTACATAATTACATAATATATTCATGAATGATATTGCAACTCTAAAGAAACACTCAATCAGATCATTGAATTTCAAGTCGTAGACAGGAAGTTTGCTTTGTTAATGCAGCTCAACCTGATAACGTTTTGATTGGTCAATCAGCTTGAAGTCACACATCGTGTCATCCACGCGATCTGTCAATCAATAAGGTTTCGCGATACCCCTGATAGCGTAGGTATTATGGAAATCTCGAAACCGTTGAATATCTCAGCATAATATCAGCGGAGATGTATTGGATTGTACAAGGCGGTAATAATTCAAGATCAGATTAGTAAAAAAATACCGACTTGGGCAAGGCTACTTGATGTATTGCAAAGTGAAATCTGAGATGGATGCAAACAGACCTGGACACTCTACAAAGATGGGAGGATTCTTGGTTGATGCGATTCAACCCAGACAAATGTGAGGTACTACTACTAGAAAAGATCACCTCGCTTACATCAGTACTGCATCCATGACCAACCATTATGTGCAGTTGACACTGCTAAGTACTTAGGTGTAAACTTCAGTAACACATTATCTTGGAATCCTCACATGTCTGCCATCACCAAGAAAGCCAACTCCACCCTGGGCTTCCTCTGTCGTAACATCAGCTCCTGCCCCAGCAATGTGAGGAAACAAGCATATACCACCTTTGTTAGACCACAGCTGGAATATGTCTCTTCTGTATTGTCCCCTTACAAGAAGAAGGCAATCGGGCAGGTGGAGGGAGTACAGCGACGAGCAGCCAGATTCATCACACAAGATTACAGCAGCCCTACCACCATGCTGAGGAATCTGCAGCTGCCACCACTATAAGACAGACGTAATTTGACAAGAGTAGTCATGCTTTACAAGATTGTCCACCAAAAGGTAGCCATTCAACCAACCGCATACCTTTAGCCAGTAAGATCTGTGACCAGGGGTCACAACCTATGCTACTTTGTCCCATCCTCAAAAGTAGATTTACACCTTTACTAATTTTTCCCTGCGACCATACGACTTTGGCACATTCTTCTTGCAAATGTAGCCATGACCCCATTTACATACCATTTACAGAACAAGGATCACGATGTTCATGGTCAGAATCACCCTAAACATGATGAAATAACTTTTTCAGCCCTCTGAAAATGTGACTGCCAATAAAATGGTTCAAATTTTTTTTTCATGAATTATGCATGAAGGTCCATTCAAAGTCGTTTATTGAACCTTGAAAAGCCTCATTAAGACAGAGGATTGAAAGTTGTATTTGACAACTTTCAGCTCATCTTTATTACGATAGACCGGACGTGAATTTTTGAGTTGAGTAAAATGTGATAATGTTCTTTTTATGAAGTGGGGAATTCAAAACATTACTAATAGAAATCATAGTAAGCATTAGAAGATCATCTAGAAGCATTTAAAATCGAATCCACGGCAAAATCTGAATAATTGAAATATACACACATGGACGTCACAGAGCACACATCCGGTTTTATAATCAATGATTTTATCAATCAAAAAATATTTTGATGAATTTGTCCGATGTCTGCTTAAATATGGTATGTAATATTTTGTCACTTGTATCTCCCAGAATCCCTTTAACTCAAGTTCATTTACTTCAAACACTAATATAATTTATTTTCTACATTTCTCTTTATCTTGTTTTAAGGATTAACTGTTCAGAAATGGCACGGCTGCTTGAGAACAAGACAACATTGACAGAGTTTGCACCATTGAGTCCCGAAGAAAAGAATTCAAAGGGATTCTTCTCTAGAATATTTGGCAAAGTTAAAGGTACTCTTTCTATTAAACAACTGGCCTATTTTCTTGTAATTCCTTGCTGATTTCACTTTTCCATCGCCCTTTTTCAAAACTCTGATATACTCTTTAAATAATATGGCATGTATGTTGTGGAACTGTTAACTATATTATATTTCGTGTAATTGTCTTATTACATAAGATCCAAATTACACTTTCCAATAATATAAATACAATGTAGATACTTTCCATGGCCATAATAGAAATCACTATTATTTCATAATCAATCTATAGCTACAAGTGATCCAAGTGTCCAAGCTTCTCATACTACATGGCACTCAGATGGTTCCAATGGTCAGAGCTCCCCACAGTCCACGAATGATTCCCCTCAGAGAACCATTTCTAAGGAACAGTATGATGAGCTTGAAGGTAAAGATAGTAAAGGCATATTTCATGTGTTAACATACAGATTTATAAAGATTTGTGTACCTTAGAGTTCTAGTATAAAACAAATGAAAAAACCACAATGAGCTTAAACATTGTAAAAATATGACTTTTTCAACTGTTCTGTATGCCTTCTGTATCAAACATATAATTTTCCTTTTTGGACTATAGTAGAAAAAATGAAGAAATTCAGAACTAGGAAAAAATAACTAAGGTTCGAAACTCATAGGTGCCTGACTGCAGATGACAACCAGTCTTCACTCTTAGCAATGAATGAGTTACCCAATGGACTGAATGCCAATTAGTAAATAAATACATTGAATTGGGCATTGGATTGAATGCCAGTTCGTCTAAATAAGTTGAATTGGGCAATGGATTGAATGCCAATTAGTCTAAATACGTTGAATTGGGCAATGGATTGAATGCCAGTTCGTCTAAATACGTTGAATTGGGAAATGGATTGAATGCCAATTAGTCTAAATACGTTGAATTAGGCAATGGATTGAATGCCAGTCTAAATACGTTGAATTGGGCAATGGATTGAATGCCAGTCTAAATACGTTGAATTGGGCAATGGATTGAATGCCAATTAGTAAATAAATACATTGAATTGGGCAATGGATTGAATGCCAGTCTAAATACGTTGAATTGGGCAGTGGATTGAATGCCAATTAGTCTAGATAAGTTGAATTGGGCAATGGATTGAATGCCAGTTAGTCTAAATAAGTTGAATTGGGCAATGGATTGAATGCCAATTAGTCTAAATACGTTGAATTGGGCAATGGATTGAATGCCAATTAGTCTAAATACATTGAATGGGCAATGGATTGAATGCCAATTAGTCTAAATACGTTGAATTGGGCAATGGATTGAATGCCAGTCTAAATACGTTGAATTGGGCAATGGATTGAATGCCAGTCTAAATACGTTGAATTGGGCAATGGATTGAATGCCAATTAGTCTAAATACGTTGAATTGGGCAATGGATTGAATGCCAGTCTAAATACGTTGAATTGTGCAATGGATTGAATGCCAATTAGTCTAAATAAGTTGAATTGGGCAATGGATTGAATGCCAGTTAGTCTAAATAAGATGAATTGGGCAATGGATTGAATGCCAATTAGTCTAAATACGTTGAATTGGGCAATGGATTGAATGCCAATTAGTCTAAATAAGTTGAATTGGGCAATGGATTGAATGCCAGTTAGTCTAAATAAGTTGAATTTGCTAATCATTCTCAACCTTAGTCATAAATCCTGAAAATAACCCAAACCCAATATGGCTAAATATAATACTGCCGAATAAACTATTATCGCTGAATCCTGATTTATAATTTTCTTGCATTTGTCTTCCAAAGAACAAGAATTTATCTGCTGACCTTACCTTCTACTTAAGTATTGTATGTATGATCATTAATTCTCCAGATGCTAGTGAAGTATTTGAGTCTAACAAGAAGCAAGCTGGTGACTCTGATTCAGCCAACCTCAGTGACTCCCAGGGTTCAGAGAACTTCCAGCGTAGGACATTGTCTGGTGTCCTCAAACGTCTTACAAACATTGTTGACAGACGGAGTCAGGTTAGCAGGAAATATACCAATACATATTGTAATTCTCTTTAATATTCTCATACATATTGTAATTCCCTTTGATATTCTCATACATATTGTAATTCCCTTTGATATTCTCATACATATTGTAATTCCCTTTAATATTCTCATGCATATTGTATTTTAATTGTAACATTTATGGTCTATTATTTAGACTCCTCAGGCTTACAAGGATAGTGACTTCCGCCAGTTTTGGATGCCAGACAGTAACTGTAAGGAGTGTTATGAATGTGGTGATAAATTCAACACGTTCAGGAGACGTCACCATTGCAGAATATGCGGGCAGATCTTCTGCAGCAGATGCTGCAATCAGGAAGTGCCTGGGAAAATTATGGGATACACAGGTTGGTTGGTTAATTACTAAAATGATTAGAAATGTATGAAATGCACTTTAATCTTGTCATCCTCCAAATGCACAATTCGAGATAGCATCCATTCCTTCTTCTGCGGATATATTTCTGTTTGTTTGATGATCTTAATCAGGATCACAAGTGGCTATTCTTTAAAATCAAGTGATTTAAAATCATGTCATTGGATCTTTACATTTTAGATGATATTTAAGATCTTTTTTTTATCGTACCTAACAAAAGGTACGATATTGTAGTCAGCTTGACGGGCGGGCGGGCGGGCGGCGTCTCACTTTTCAGCTTGTCTACAGGTTTCCAGCCAAACCATTTGAGGGATTCATCTGAAATTTTCAGGGATGTTTCTACATATCAACGTCAAGAACTGATTAGTTTTTGGGCATTCTGGGTAAATCTTATGGTGGCCATTTTGGATTTTCCGTCCTAAAATCTTCACTTTCAAGACTTGTCTACAGGTTTCCAGCCAAACCATTTGAGGGATTCATCTGAAATTTTCAGGGATGTTTCTACATATCAACGTCAAGAACTGATTAGTTTTTGGGCATTCTGGGTAAATTTCAGGGTGGCCATTTTGTATTTTCCGTCCTAAAATCTTCACTTTCAAGACTTGTCTACAGGTTTCCAGCCAAACCATTTGAGGGATTCATCTGAAATTTTCAGGGATGTTTCTACATATCAACGTCAAGAACTGATTAGTTTTTGGGCATTCTGGGTAAATCTTAAGGTGGTCATTTTGGATTTTTCGTCCTAAAATCTTCACTTTCAAGACTTGTCTACAGGTTTCCAGCCAAACCATTTGAGGGATTCATCTGAAATTTTCAGGGATGTTTCTACATATCAACGTCAAGAACTGATTAGTTTTTGGCCATTCTGGGTGAATCTTAAGGTAGCCATTTTGGATTTTCCATCCTAAAATCTTCACTTTCAAGACTTGTCTACAGGTTTCCAGCCAAACCGTTCAAATTTTTACATATGTTACACAGTGATAAGTTCTAGAGCTGATTAACTTTTCTGCGGCCATCTTGCTTTCTTGGTCAACAAGACCACAATGCTGTGTTTAGGTACGATTTTGTTCACGTTGGTCTTGTTATTCAGTATAATATTACTCTCCAAAGCTCAAGATATAAAGATTCACACTGGCGGATCCAGAAGCTAACAAGTGGAGGGGGCCAAAAATATGAAAAATTTTGTAAATTTAAGGTCCATTTTTGATAACTTGGCCTAAAAAGGCTAAAAAATGCCCAAAAAGGCCCTATTTTTGAGGCCCTAAAAATCTTTGGGGTCCTTAAAAAATTTCTGGGCCCACAAAGGGGGGGGGGTGGGAGGTGGATGGGGGCATGGATCCGCCAGTGATTCAGGTCCTCTTATATTAAAATCACTTCTTAAAATATGAAATGCTATTACATATACATATACGGTAAATGTATTTGAAACATTTTTGTAATCTAAGGAAAACATAAAATATTCTTACGAGTTACACTTTTGAAAGCTATTATCTAAGTTATATCTAAGAAACCCATTTAATAACAACCAGAATGGGATAGTTGATAATTGAAAGTACCAAAACAATTAAATAAAAAGCTGATACAAGTTTGTATATGTCTGCTTAAGTACTAATTTTGATGAACAGGTGACCTCCGAGTGTGCACATACTGCTGCAAAGTGGTCCTTAGTTACGCAAGAACCATGGAATCTACAGGTGATTTAGGGATGCTACGACAAGACCTTGACAAACTTGGGAAGCTTGAGAGTGAGGTGACTGGAGGGACTTCATACCAAGAACTTGGAAAGAGAACACCTACTGCAAGGAAAAGAATCTCAGCCTTGTTCCTTGAGGAAGAACTGTTCAGACAGAGGTACGTTAAGGTTACAATTTATTAACTGTTTTGTTTTAGAAAGTGCTTCAGTATTACTCATTTGTCAACCTTTGGCCAACAGCAAGTGCAATTGGAATCATCATAACACTGAAGTTGTTTTCAAATACTATCTTAGCTGTACACTTCTCTAATGCATAATGCGATTGAAAGGATCTACAATTATAATTTGAAATAAAAGCATCATTCTAAAGAAAAACATTTTACACAATTCTGTTTTAATTGTTTGTGTAATGACAACTGACAAAAGAAAAAAGATATAAGTGGTCATTTGATTTTAATAAGATATATCATGTTTTTGTTGTTTTGTTTTATGTTTGCATTATGTTAAAGTCTAAGTCTACTTTGTATTCGAATGTTATATTTCCAGGTCAAACAGTGTATCTGAAATACTGAAAGGCAACCCCTTTGACATCACCCCTCAGTCTGAATATGCAAGTCTTGAGAATATCACTGAAGAGAGGAAGATATTAACAAAGGTGTGAGAAATTGGTTTATTTGAACTTTTGTTTGGCTTGTAGACTTTTTACCTGTCAATATGTTTTATTTATTTTCTTACCAGTCTTACCAGCATTAAGGTATCCTGTCTAAATATAGAACATTGAAGATAAATGTCCTCAATTTTATTTTGAAATTTGGGAGCAGAAGGTTTGGAGAGGATCAATCTAGTCATTTTTCTGGGATCTTTCAGAAATTTTATAATGTAATCACTTAGGCATAGATACACCAACTATAAGGCAAAGCAAAATGAATACTTTCTGAATGGAATCACATTGTTTTTTCAAAGTTTTATTTAATTTATATCCATGTATTTCCATGTACAAGGAGCTCACTTAAAGCAGAAGTAATATTTGGCTTTCTGTTCATCTACAATATGTAGATTTATGTGTAATTGGGGAAATAAAAATACAATTTTTTAAAAAATATAGGAGGCTAGGTGATTATAATGAAAAGAATAATATCAACTGACCCACTGACATAGTTGATGGAGATAGCCATTTTGCATCAAGGTCAACGGAAGTGTGACGTCATGTCGACGTTGGTTGCCATATTGTAACCCAAGATAGATGGTAATTAAAACATGTCCCATAACAATATTTTGACAAACTTGCCCAACTTGCTTTACTTAAACACATTCATTTATTCCAGACAAAATTCAAATAGGTTTGACAGTGTAATGCCCCTGATAAGCACAAAATATCGCCACAGTTTAACTACTGACTTTGAAGAGACTTGTTATGAAAATAGCATCTGACAAATTCTGAGATAAAGAATTTATTTATGATGTTTAATACTTTTTAATATTGATAATAGTGGCATATAACCACTATACACACATGTCTTTTATGTATTTTGTTTGGCCTTTTACTGTCTTTTAATGATTTCTTACCATAGATGGGATGAATTTTGGTGTTAACAGGGATATTAATTTCAAATTAAAAAATAAATCTCCATTTCCAATTCTACTCAGTAACAAACTCTGTGGCAGTGCTAGCCTTCAACATATCTATTCCGAGACATTGCAATGCTCAGTAACTCCATTCGCAACTTCCAGATTACATTTTCATGCTTTTTGTTTCAATCAGTTTTAACCTTTAGAAACTAATACACAGAAGTGTATATGATGAATTCTAAAAAATAATTCTACTAATATTTTTTTAATTCACAATTTCATGTCATGGTTTCTAACAAGTTGCCTCATTCTCTCTTTTCATTATTTTTGTCAACAGTCAAAATCACTGTTTAAACCGGGTTTCTTTACAAGCTATATGCTTATGTAAGTATCAAATAACATGAACAAATGTTAGAATACCTTAAATCCTACATTGACACTCTATTTGATGTGAATTAGCGATAATTGACATGCTTTTTGTGCTGGTGTTGTCTAATCTTTAAATATTTTTTTATTTATTTTCTCAAAGTCAAACTGATCCCGATCTCTGTCGATGTGATGTCACTCATTAATTATACAAGCATGCGCAGTACAATAAAGAAGGCAATACGGCGACTTACACAATTCTGAGACAGAGTGGAGGTCTCCATATCGAAATGAATATGTTTGCTTATGCCTCAATCGATCGCATATGTAACCCAGCCGATCTTTTTAATAAAATACTTAATATTATATAATTATAATTATTATATTATATTATTAGTAATGGATTATACTTATTTTGTGAACTTTTTACCCTTTTAAGAGAGGGGTCTTCAGAGGTTTAGCATTGTGTTTTACTGTATATACATGTTTCTATTAAACAGGATTCTGCCCAGTTACGAGAGCTATGGATGCTTGTATGCCATCCGGAGGATGGCCTTGAAATGCAGAGTCATCGCCATCGGTTGCGCACTTATCACAACTGCATTGTGGGTAGTACCATGATTGACTGGTTAATTGCTCGAGATAAGGCAAATGACAGGTAAGACATTTTTTAATTTGATTGAAAATAGTGTTAGTGTCTTTATCAATTGGTGGAAGGCTGATCAGCAATATCAAATGTTCAATACATTGGGGTTTAATAGTACCGGCATATATATATTTGGGAAGTTCCTTTAAAATGATGAGGAAAAATTATATTCCTGTAATAATAATGCCAATCCACCAAATGAACAGGTCATATATTCATATATTGTAAATTGTACACATTCTATTATAGACTACAGGCCATAGCCATTGGACAAGCCTTAGTAGACGCAAGATGGTTGGAATGTGTCTCCAACAGTGAGCAGATTTTCAAAGATGAATTTGTCTTGTATAAACCAGGAGAGGTATGTTCAACAATTTGATATTATTTAATGTTGTCTCTAATGGGTCAATGTCTTAAGCAGATGCTTTAGGGGCTGGCTAAAATATCAATGTGTCATATTTCATTAGTGAATGGGGTAGGGGGTTCAAAACCTTGTTTCTGTCTTGAAAATCATTCAACATTAGTAGGAGATAATGTTACTTAATTGTCTAATTAGAATTAAGGAACATGGGCATGGGGCTGAGCCTTCATTAGTTCATTAGTTTGAAATGAACATCAACATATATTTTTGACTTTGCCCTGTACATGTATCTTTATGAGTGTTTGTAACAGTTACAATTTTGCTTGGTGGGTAGATAACGTTTTGTTTTAATGATCTGTTGCTTATTGTATTTTGCTAATATTAGTAATTTTAATTTATTTGGTTGTGAACTCTATAATAAATGTAAACTCTATCAGGCATTATCAGTCAAAGCAATGTTTTAGATGTCTTATTTGAGTGCTTTAGAAAGAACTCTCACTGTAGACGTTTTTATAATTATCATATTGAAATTCATAAAATATGCTTTCCTCATTAGGTTCAGAAAAACACACACTCATATTATATTTCACATTTTATTTACATATTATATTTCACATTTTATTTACATATTATATTTCGCATTTTATTTACATATTATATTTCACATTTTATTTACATATTATATTTCACATTTTATTTACATATTACATTTCACATTTTATTTACATATTATTTCACATTTTATTTACATATTATATTTCACATTTTATTTACATATTATATTTCACATTTTATTTACATATTATATTTCACATTTTATTTACATATTATAAATCACATTTTATCATCATTTCATGTAATGCTTCATTTATCTCTAAAATAGAAAGACATTAAGGTTGAATTGAAATAGAGGCTTAATTGTAACATTATTTGACCTACAAAAGTGTAATCAGTTAAAAAACCAGTGTACAAAAAAAAAACAGTGTTAAAAAAGGAGTAGTATGTATATGGTTTACTTAAAAGGAATGCTGATATAAAGAGAGTGTAAAAGTTTCAACACATGGTTTTGTTTAATCTACAAATTCTGGAAATATTTTATCTAGTTGACTGTTGTTGAGTTGAACAAGTTACGTAAAGCTGGGGCTGATATGCTGGATATAGAGGAACCACAATGGATGAAAGAGTTATCAATGGTATAATTTTGGAGCTTATACTCTTTTAAACTCAGCTTTATAGATGATGGTTTGGAATAAGCTATAATATTTGGTCTTATAATAGCATATAGGCAAAGGTAAAGGTATAGTATCTTCTAGTCTGTCAGTATCTGGTGCTCTTGATATATTATATGAATAGTGTAGTCTTGGAGCTTATGGGCTTTTAAACTCGGCTTTATAGATGATATTTTTGGGAATAAGCTATGGCATTTGTCAATATCTGGTCCTCTGGAATGGTATAATTGTGGTGCTTATATTGACTGTTATCCTCAGCTTTATAAAAGACATTTTGGTATAATAATAAAAATAAAACATCTCTTTGAGTCTTAGAATTTTGATGTCTGGTGCTTGAGGGATAATCATATACCTAATAATAATCCTATATACTATATCTAGTACTATATAAGCTTCATGAATAGATATACATGTACATGTATTTGATACATGGTTCAGAATAATAAATGGAGCTTATAGGCTGAAGTATTCTGCTTTATATAAGTAGAAAATGATATTTATGGTCTAGAATTGGCATACATAGATAATATAATGATAAACCGAAACTGTACTTCTGGTTTTTAGGTGGGCAATATTTGGTGTTTGGTTTTCTAAACATCACTGAAGTTAACTTTGTTTTTTTTGGTCTAGAAAGGTGAAATGTATAATATCTTGGACTTGAATAGTGTCAGATAATATGCTTCTTAATTAGTAATTACTACTAATATCTTTAAGTCGTATCCACGTAGCAGTGGTGTAAAACCTGCTACATTTACATGATATGCATTTTTCTGTTAATTATATTCACGTCTTAAAGCGTCTGTAACAAATTCTTAAAACTTCAACAACTTGCTTCAAATTGACCAAATGTTTTTTCAAAATCATCTTCCAGAAGTTCAAATTTAGATTTAAGATTTGACCTTCAATGACCTTCTCAAGGTCAAAGAGGTATTTTTCAACTTGCTTCAAATTGACAAATTTTTTCAAAATCATCTACAAGTTCTCAAAAGTTCAAATCTGTCTATACATTTGAATTCTCAAGGTCAAAAATGATTTGACCTTCAATGACCTTCTCAGAGTCAAAAAGGTCTTTTTTTCAACTTGCTTCAAATTGAACAATTTTTTTCAGAATCATCTTCAAGTTCTCAGAAGTTAAAATCTGACTTTAGATTTGAAATATCACCTTCAATGACCATCTCAGGAACAAAAAATTGTATTTTTCTACTTGCTTCAAATTGACCAATTTTTTTCAAAATCATCTACAGAAATTCAGAAATTCAAATCTGACTTAAAATTGAACCAAAAATATTATGACATTTTGCCACGTTAATGCCTAGTAACATTCATGCTTCACTTTGCTTGCTAGTTCATTATAACTTACTAGTTATAATATAGATTTGATTAATACAGTTTTTTGTACAAACCATTAATTTTTAGAGGTAGTTTGGTTCATCATTGAACTACATATATGTACATGTAACTGAAGTGGATTGTAATTGATGCTTTGTAAATATTGCTCCCAACATTTACTCTTCATGTCTTTTACTACCATACAACCACTTTAAGTAACGACTCAAGTATGTATATTTAACAAACTAAATTTTCTAATTGATATTTTACACAGAAAGTATATGGGATAATTTAACATTAAACAACCTTGTCAAGTGACAGAAGGTGGAAATTATGATGAATTGTCATTTAATAAATATATATAAGTGTATTTCTACAGATTTGACCTCAACTATTAACAACCTTGTCAAGTGACCGAAGGTGGATATTATGTGGTTGAATTGCCATTTAAGGGGTTAGTTATCATATAAAAAGTAGGAGGTAATCTATATGCTAGAAGTTGAAAAGTGGCAATAATGTACAATAAATATCAATGTTAAGCTAGTTAAAAATGATTCACCATTCCTATTTGTCTTTTAAAATTATTTTGAACTTGGTCATGGAGTCACATTTTCTGTGGCATGAGGAATCTTAGGCTGCCAACCAGGAGAGCCCTGTAACCAGTGTTCCTATACTTGTTATTATGTATGTTGTAGGCTGCCAACCAGGAGAGCCCTGTAGCCAGTGTTCCTATACTTGTTATTATGTATGTTGTAGGCTGCCAACCAGGAGAGCCCTGGAGTCAATGTTCCTATACTTGTTATTATGTATGCTGTAGGCTGCCAACCAGGAGAGCCCTGTAACCAGTGTTCCTATACTTGTTATTATGTATGTTGTAGGCTGCCAACCAGGAGAGCCCTGTAGCCAGTGTTCCTATACTTGAACACATTGAAGTTGAGGAAGATGATATGCCTCAGTGGATGAAAGAACTCAAGAGAAATGATGATGACACAAGTAGGTGAAAAGAAGAGTATGACATACCTAGCAAAGCATTTGTATGGTAGTAAATGGAAAAGTATGCGAGCTATACATGCCTTAGTTCATATAGCCTGCTATCATTAATTACCATGAGAACAATATGAAAGTCATGTTTCATATCTACCAATTTCTAATCTCACACATGTATGACTTCATTAATACAAAGTATCCATGAGAAGAGAGGTAAAAAAAAAGATAAATATTAATGTAATACATCAGTTTTTCTGACTATGACATGAAGTATGCCTTTTTTCTTGCTCAAATATGAGGCTTCCAAGGTCGGCCTACTTTCCCAGCATTTTGGCATATTTCCATTCATGCTTTCATAACATCCAAGTAGAACCTTTTAAGTGGAAACCTTCATGAAAGTATCGAAGGTAACTCATTAACTTCATCATGTAAAATCAACTTCTTTATGTAGACTACTTCCCAAGTGGAACCCTATTGTGAGGTATTTCAGGTGTTCCATTGATGTGGGTTTTATTGTATAATACGTTAGGGACGTTTGATTGAATGGTCCACAGGCTGTAGTGTTCATGTGTATGTCTGTGTATTGTGCATAATATACAACACATGGTCTCTTCAAGTAGGCTTTCCTGGGTTTATCTTCGAGTGTTAAATACATTAATTCTCGAAATCGTTGTTCCCTCTTCAAAAGAGGAGACTCGAAAATCTTTCCTTATTAGGTCAAAATATTTCCCATGAATCTTTCATGATTAAACTTGGTATTCTGACTATTAAAGCAATGACAAAGAAGAATACTTCCGATGGTGTCATTGTTTTAATTAAACGTGCGGGTGTAAAAACAAAATTGCGTAATTAGTTTGATTTAGAACTTTCAGGTCACGCAAATAGCTACGCGAAATGCATAGTGGGAAAATATTGACCAATCAAATTTTGTCCTTTTTGAGTGCTTTTTCAGTACATATTTGCGAATATTCTGATTCAAAGAGCGAACCGCGAAAGGGAGAATTACAAATCACAATAAAGCGGCAGAAAGATACTTTCATTTTCTGGACCATCTATTTGGAATAGCCTCCCATCAGAAGTAAAAAATCAAGGTCAAATAAATGTCTAAAGTCTAAATATAAGAAACATATTCGGGCTTTGTATGCATGACCTTCTTCTTTTTTTATATTTATGTACTGCAGCTTCCTTATTCATGTTCTATCTCCTTTATAGAAATATATACAGATATAACTCCAATCCTGGGTACTGGACACTAAACTTGTTAGCTTTTTATCTATGATGCACCTCCCCCAGTCCCTCTTCGATTTTCCCTTAGACAAAACACAACCTTGACATGTTTGATTCCTTGACCTTACATTGCTCTTAATATTTGTAATATTATGCTTCTACATGTACGGTTATAAACATCGGAAATGATGTCACCTGTTAATTCTTTTATATGTACCATGTTGATTGTATTATTAAGGAATAAATTGAAAATTGAAAAAAAAATTGAAATTAATACATGGTTCATTTCAGTTTCATTGTCTGAGGTTAACAAAGTTCAAGATGTTGACAGTGAGAGTTTACCTGTTAAACAACAAGAAGAAGCTGTCCCTCGGAGTATTTTCTATTTAAACTCTGTAGATGATGTGGTGACAGATACCAATAGGAGGCAAAACAGGAAACAATACACTGCTATGTCACAGGCAGACAGAGGTGAGGGTCTAATAGGGAACAAGTGATTGGATTTTTTATAGAATTTGGTTTTGTAACAGTATTATCTATACTCCTCAAACAAAGTTGAGGAGCACTTAATCTTTTTAGAATAGCACTTTTAGCTGTTTTACTTAAAAAAGCATTAGTATATAATATATTCTTCCATTATCTATTTGTAAATGACATGAACACTCAGGGTTGACAAAAATGGTAGCAGTAGTTGTTTTATTGATTGTAGGTAGTAAAGATGAGGTGAGCCCAATGCTTCAGCATCAAGATTCCTATCTTAACCTCACCCAGGGATTACAAGGTACAGCCTATCCTAATTAATTGCTAGTTGAAAAGGTTTTGCAAAGCTGCAATAAAGAAGATATGATGAAATTACGTTTGCAAACTTGAACTACTTAGTAAATACATGTATGTGAAGTGTGTATGACATTGTATAATCCATAATATGCTACAGATGATGTGACATTGTTTTATCCCAATGTTACAGATCCTATGGTTTTGTATGACCCCATTGGATGAGCCCACGTTACAGTTGCTGTACATTACCTCTTCCCCATGTTACAGATCCTATGGCATTGTATGACCCCATGTTACAGTTGCTGTACATTACCTCTTCCTCATGTTACAGATCCTATGGCATTGTATGACCCCATTGTATGACCCCACGTTACAGTTGCTGTACATTACCTCTTCCCCATGTTACAGATCCTATGGCATTGTATGACCCCATGTTACAGTTGCTGTACATTACCTCTTCCTCATGTTACAGATCCTATGGCATTGTATGACCCCATTGTATGACCCCACGTTACAGTTGCTATATATAACCTCTTCCCCATGTTACAGATCCTATGGCATTGTATGAGCCCACGTTACAGTTGCTATATATAACCTCTTCCCCATGTTACAGATCCTATGGCATTGTATGACCCCATTGTATGAGCCCACGTTACAGTTGCTGTACATTACCTCTTCCCCATGTTACAGATCCTATGGCATTGTATGACCCCATTGTATGAGCCCACGTTACAGTTGCTGTACATTACCTCTTCCCCATGTTACAGATCCTATGGCATTGTATGACCCCATTGTATGAGCCCACGTTACAGTTGCTGTACATTACCTCTTCCCCATGTTACAGATCCCATGACATTGTATGACCCCATTGTATGAGCCCACGTTACAGTTGCTGTACATTACCTCTTCCCCATGTTACAGATCCTATGGCATTGTATGACCCCATTGTATGAGCCCACGTTACAGTTGCTGTACATTACCTCTTCCCCATGTTACAGATCCTATGGCATTGTATGACCCCATTGTATGAGCCCACGTTACAGTTCCTGTACATTACCTTTTCCCCATGTTAAAGATCCTATGGCATTGTATGACCCCATTGTATGAGCTCACGTTACAGTTGCTGTACACTACCTCTTCCCCATGTTACAGATCCTATGGCATTGTATGACCCAACGTTACAGTTGCTGTACATTACCTCTTCCCCATGTTACAGATCCTATGGCATTGTATGACCCCATTGTATGAGCCCACGTTACAGTTGCTGTACATTACCTCTTCCTCATGTTACAGATCCTATGGCATTGTATGACCCCATTGTATGAGCCCACGTTACAGTTGCTGTACATTACCTCTTCCCCATGTTACAGTTCCTATGGCATTGTATGACCCCATTGTATGAGCCCAAGTTACAGTTGCTGTACATTACCTCTTCCCCATGTTACAGATCCTATGGCATTGTATGACCCCATTGTATGACCCCACGTTACAGTTGCTGTACATTACCTCTTCCCCATGTTACAGATCCTATGGCATTGTATGACCCCATTGTATGAGCCCACGATACAGTTGCTGTATATTACCTCTTCCCCATGTTACAGATCCTATGGCATTGTATGACCCCATTGTATGACCCCACGTTACAGTTGCTGTATATTACCTCTTCCCCATGTTACAGAAGCTGTCACCAGCAGCCACAATGTTATCAAGGAAGAGGGCGAAGACATGCCTGATGGCTGGTATGGGATTCATGAGCTACGAGAGGAGAATGGGGAAAATCTGGCATTTGACAGACTCAAGTAAGAACATCAACCTAGCAGTTGTTTTAAACTTTTCTACATTTTACATATACTTCATTTTGCAGTCTGCTTTTTTAACTAAACATACTTTGTATTGTAGAAGTTGAAAATCTTTTGTTAAATCTGTGAGATTACTTTTGTATTATTTAGTTCATGATATATAGCCTCTTATTCATGTGCCTCTCTTGGACAGACACTATCATGTCAACCATTGATACATTATTCAGTTATCTACAAAAGTTTATTACTAATTACTGAAATGGTTCTCATTTCAAGCAAGGCCTACAAGGAACACCTTACATCTCTTACCAAGCAGTTACTAAGTTGGGAAGGTCTGTCTCTCTCATGGACTGAAACTATCATGTCAACTTCACAGAAAGTGGCTGAATGTGTGAGGCCAAACATCAAGGATGATGAGGATGATATGGACATACGCCAATATGTACAGATTAAAAAGGTATACACCTTTCGATTACCCATCAGGCTTTTGTGGACCTGAAGTATATAGTGCTACCTTGGTATTTTTGCAAGGGAACATAATGCGAAAAGTATTCTTCTTTTCAACCTAGTCAGACAATCAACATTGGTTATTTTAACATATTTAGAAAAGATAGAAATAGTATGTCCTTTGTTCAATCTTTGCAATAGTGTAGTAATTGCAATAGTCTTGTAAAATAATGTGTTTTGCACTGTATAATGAAATATTTTATGGTTAAAAAATCTCAACTTTTATTTGAAGAATGGTGGGAAAGTTGAATATTTGAGAAATAAAAGGTGATAACTTTTTTTCCCCAAAATCTTTAGAATAACTTTTAAAGTCATAATAAATAGTAAATGAATGATAAAAACATATTTTCAAACTCAACATGGGGCTTTTAAAAGAGAGAATCGGATCAAGCGAACAAGTTGAACAAAAAAGTTGTTTCAATTTTAGAATATTTTTGGCTTATATGATTCTTTGTCATGTCTTTTATCTAGCGATGTCCAAAGTGCATACTTTATCTAAAAAAAACTAAACGTTTTACAATAATGTATTATTTTGATTGGTATTTCAGTTGTACATATTGCTTGATATTTTGTCACCCCCTATATAGATCTTATTCTGCAGTATTTTGTTTCTGCTGTGTCTATCTCATCTACTGATTTTATTGTATTCCATCAACTTAAGATCCCTGGGGACCAAAAGTCTAGCACCACTATATTCCATGGGGCTGTGTTCACCAAGCATGTAGCACATAGGAAAATGTCTCAGAATATGACAAACCCCAAAGTTCTTCTTCTTAAACCATCTCTGGAATACCAGCGAGTTGAAAACAAGATGTCTTCTCTAGACCCACAGATACTACAGGTAGGAAAATATTTATTTGTCACAGGCTATATCTTGACTTATAGAATTCTACTTATGTTTTCAGTAAATATAGAAGATTTTTAATGAGGTTATATTATGAAGGAATATATGATCTATTATCTTCTTTAACTATTAGCCAAACCCATCATTTTCATTTTCCAAAATTATAAATTCTATTAAACTAATATATCGTTTCAATTGTAATAACAATTATAGTAACTATCGTAACAAAAGGACTAAAACAAACATCATATTGCTTACTGCAGGCTTTGTTTTATTTTGCATATTTCAGGAGCATAAGTATTTGAAGAACCTAGTTGCTCGTATAGTTGCCCTTGGGCCTGATATAGTATTAGTAGAGAAGACAGTGTCGAGGCTGGCCCTAGAGTTCCTCCTGGATGCCGATATAACACTGGTCTCCAATGTTAAACCTGTGAGTAGACTCAAAATAATTAATAAATGTAATTTATAAATCTCAGATTGTCTTTTTTCAGCTTAGCATTTTTATTATGGATTCTGCATCAGAACCTTGTGATTTGTAAAGATATAGTTTACCTTTTGACTTTTGAAGTAAATGTGAGTTGGCGGCACAAACATAAATTTGTTCATGTTCTGTTCTAGAGTGTTATGGAGAGAGTGTCCCGATTTACGCAATCTGAGATCGTTCTCTCAATAGATGGCCTCATGAGTCGCCCCATGTTGGGGTACTGTCACATATTCCATCTCCAGTCTTACACTCTCGCTAATGGTGAGTGCTTACTAATGATGAACAAATTGTATAATTTTTATGTCACCACCACAAGTGGTGGTATGTTATGAGCTCACATGGTGAGCTATTGCAATCACTCACTTGTCTGTCTGTCTGTCTGTCTGTCCGTCCGTCCGTCCGTCCGTCCTTCTGTCCGTCTGCCGTCCGTCCGTCCGTCCGTCTGTCTGTCAGTCTGTCCATCTGTCAACAAACCTGTGTTGATAGGATTCCCGTTTTAAGTTATTTTTGTTCAACATCAATACAGAAAACTCCCCTATGACTCTTGGTTTAAAAGCTTGCCTATTTTTAAAATGGTCACCATTTTTGTCTCGCGAAATTCACTTTTGGCCAGTTTCCCAGCTTCACAAATAATTTCAGGTGTCTTGCATTGTTAAAAGCCATGTCATTGTATATGGTAGTTGTATGAAATAATTTTGTTACAAAAAATCGGCAAAAATTATATCCGTTTTTTATTTTCAGCCATTTTAGCTAACATTGATTTGTCCATCTGTCTCGTTTTAAAACCTCTGCCTATACGATTCCTGTTTTAAGTTATTTTTGTTCAACATCAATATAGAAAACTCCCCTATAACACCTGTTTCAAAAAATCGGCAAAAATTATATCCATTTTTTTATTTTCTGCCATTTTAACCATCATTCACTTTTGAGCAACACCATGTGAGCCCAGTACCCATGATATTATTTATTAAAGTCTCAAACTTTATTGTGAACAGCAGTTTGTGCTCAGAGTTGGGTGGTTGGTGTCAGCAACAGATGACATCTGTAAGAAATGGAAGGTGGTGAGATTTTGTTTATTTTTTGCAGGTGAGCAAAAGACGTTGATGTTCCTAGATGGTTGCCCACCTCATTTGGGTTGTACTATAGTCCTTAGGGGAGCTTCTACAGCAGAACTGAGACTGGTAACAGATACCTTTCAATAACTTACATCGTGTTCAGAGTGTTTCAGTTTCTATGTCATACCTCCAACTTAGTGCTTATATATGCACTGTTCATTCCAAAACTGTGTATGAATGCACTTATTACATTTCAGTTTTGTTAGTGTTTATTCATTTATTCTTTGATTTAATTTTAACCATCATTCACTGTAGGACGGAATTCGAATTCATTTAATCAGTTTTATTTAGCACCACCTATAGCGCTACCATTGTTATGCAATGATACTATATTGGATTTTGATTTGTCAAAATAAATACTATCATCAAACTCAGACCAGTTCACATAGAAATCATTGTGATATTTATTTCAAATTTCTATCATATACAGGTACACACAACATATGAAATTATCTTTCAAGGCCCTACCTCATGTAGTTTCTGAGCATTTAATGCATTAGTTCTGTCAAAGTCTATGGTTCTGTCAACTGTTTTATAAATTTTACTGCAAATCTCAAAATATATATACTGTTCCTTTCAGACAGATTGATGAAGAAATTATCGTTTTTTCAGGTTAAACCCATCTTGCAGTATATGATATATGCCTTCTACCATTGTAAGCTGGAACTTGCATTTTTAATGGACGATTTTGCCCTTCCTCCACCAGGCCCTGAAGAGCTCTCTTTAGCAGGATTCGGGAGCTCTTCGGAGACCACCCCCTCGACTCCTGACAAAGACTTCATGGGGAAAATTCACAGAGAGAAAATTAGTGCAGATAAATCTAGTCAAAATGAACATAAAATTGAGCAAAATGACTCAAAATCAGATTCTCCGTCCACCAGTGATAGAGGTTTGGCGAATCTTAAAAAAGTTAGCTTTGAAGAACAGAGGATTGTTGAAATCACAGAGGCCATGGTGGAAAGTATTGAGTTAAACTCATCCATTAATTCTGATGATAGATCTCCAATGATCTCCCCAACCGAAGAAAGTACACCTTCTATTATTTGTCAGAACAATAAGGAACTAAAGTCATCAGTTGATGGAAAAGAACCAATCACAGGAAACCTGTATGCCATATCAAAATCTGAACATTCGAAAGATTCTGAAGATCAAATCACAGATTCAAAAGAATGTTATTTCGATGATCCGTTGCATAAGTACCAGGAGTCACAAGATGATTCAATATTTACAAGTACAAGTGTCCTTAAAGAAGAAATTAGAAAAAGTTCCAACCAGTTCAGCAAAGTCCTCGATGATGTCATCCTCTCATGCTCGCCATATTTGAAATTTGACACACCATATTTGGAAACAGAACCAGGTCAGAAGTGTGCATTGAGGAGCTATTTCCCTAAAGAGGTGTACTGGTCTGTACATCTGAATCCAGAAATGTCAAACAAACGACGGAGCAGATTCAATACAGAGGATGGGCCTATGTCTAAGAAAACATCTCCTTATGTTGAAATGGTTGAACCTCATAGATTTGTAACTGAGACATTGAAGGAGTCTGCAAAGAGCATTTCATCTCAGGTAAAAATATGTTTTTTTTTGGCATACTTTTAACTTATTGCACCTCTGTCAGTAATACTACTATCAACATATCATTATACAAATAGTGACTGCCATTGAGGGCAATAGGGCAAACTATTTTCCCCGAGGAAATATCCTGTCCACTGACATGTTCCCGAGGCCGCAGGCCGAGGGAACATGTCAGTGGACAGGATATTCCCAAGGGGAAAATTGTTTGCCCTATTGCCCGAAAATTTGGCAGTCACTATTTGTTTTATTACATACCTCATATGTATTCCAAATGAAAAATATTAAGACATTTCTTGTTTCCGGCAGGCCCTCCAAAATTTCTCCAATATAGATCCTATCATTTCTGGATTGTCCGAGTCAGCATCGCAGTTAGTTTCTCCACAGTACTCTTCAAAGAGTTTCCTGAAGATTTGATAATGTTAATAATGTAGCCAAAGAATCGGCTTGGTCCATCAATTCATTCAAATCATCGTCATTTATCGTTTCGAAATGACCAGCCATATTGTCGTCTGAACTGAACTTTGAATGCGCACTAATGATGCGCAGTCGTTTTCCTGGGATTACAATGACGTCATCGGTCATTAGTAGCTTTTATCTTCCCCGTAATCTGCGAAAGCGGGGATTTAGTACTTTCCAGGGAATTAGTATATCTATTTCATATCATGTGACCATGAATTGACCAATAAGCGTATAGAATACATATGAGGTATGTAATAATATTATATACCTCATGTGTATTCTAGATGCTCTTTGGCTTATTCATGGTCACATGATATGAAATAGATGAACTAATTCCCTAAAAAGTCCTAAATCCCTGGTATCAGGGAAGATGAAATGTACTAATCACCAGTAAGGTTATGTGACCAGTCATTAGTATGTTTTATCTTCCCTGATAGCTGAGATTATAGGAGTTGAAAGGCAAAATGCCTTTAAATACCAATAAGAACATGTTAACATAAAATGTTCAAATGAAAGGACTTTTCATTTTTTTTTTGTTTACAGAGTACATATGATGTATATAATAAAACAAATAGTGACTGCCACATTTTCGGGAAATAGTTTTTGTATACCATTAATCATTTTATGGTTGGTTTATTAGTAACAGAAATTCCTTATGAGTTTAGGTATTTGTATAATCCCTCAATGAAACCCTATACCCATTGATTGTACATGTAATTCAATAATTTAATTCCCTCCGTCAAAGTTTTGAATGATATTGTCTTCCTATATGTTATTTTAGACATTGATGGCTGAATTCCGAGCTTGTGGAGGTCGCATTAAACTGCTCCCTCCAGATGATGTAAAATTTTCACCTAAACAAAATAACAAGAAAACTAACAAAAGAGACTCTTATTGGGAACGAAAAATTGACTGCTTGGACCCATCTAATCACCAGAGGATAGCTGTGTTGTTCAGTAGCTTTAGTTATGAATCTCTGAATGCACCCAACCCTTGTGTTGCCCCATGGGTGGTTACCATGGAGTTCTATGGAAGGAATGACATCACACTTGGTGGATTCCTAGAAAGCTACTGTTTCAGGTAGACTGATATGATCAGATGAATATTGTAAAGTCTCTATTTACAGATCTAAATAATATAGTTTCAAGATCAGTTTTATTTCATGACCCTATTCAATTAAATCCATATTTTACAAGCTTCAAATTCTTTGTTTTTTGTATGAACGATGCTGACTGAAAAGCATCAACCCTTGAGACAGGTGTCTCAAATTGAGTAATCCTCCCCTACCTACTGCATACATATCCTTTTGTGAGGTAAAGGGACACGTCTCACATACAGTATACTCTTTTGGCCATATGAAAGACATTTGAAGTTGTTTCATCAACATTATCAAGTCTGTCAAACATGTTATTTCAGAGATGAGTACAAATGTCCAAACGAGAACTGTGAAACCCCAATGACAGATCACATTCGTCGGTTCGTACATCAGAATGGTTGCATCACTGTCATTCTAAAAAGACTTGACAACCCCATCCCAGGATACCAGAATAATATCCTCCTCTGGGGATGGTGTAAAAAATGTAAACAGGTAATTGCTGGCTTTTAATCAGATGTATTATATAATTGGTCATGTTGCATTATGGGTTATGGGTCTAATGTTACTCATCTGGAATTGGTATAAACAGTTATATCAACATTGTCTTCTGCAAGTGTTGTATGTTGAATGTTGTATTATGGGTCACAACAAACATGAAAAATACATAATCTGCAGATTATAGGTAATTTTAGGTCAAAAGATAATTATTTACATTAATGTCATTTTTTGCAGCTATAATTCATGTATTCTGTCACGAAATACATATAACTAAAGGAACTATTATACCTTGCAGGTGACACCTGTAGTGCCAATGACCCTTGACACATGGTCAATGTCATTTGGTAAATATCTTGACATGCGCTTCCACGGCAAACAGTTTGGCCGCCGTGCCAGTGCTGAGCCATGCACACATACCCTTCATCAAGACCACTACCAGTATTTCGGCCATCGCAAAATTGTGGCATCATTCAAGTAAGTAAAAACTAGAAGTATTGTATCTCTACATGAAGATAAAATGGATTGTTTTCTTTTGTTATCTATTTTGCAAAATGACTTCTATAATTTTCACATGTATTTATATTATTGATAAATTATGCATATTGTATTACATAATGTCGTGCCCTATTGTATTCAAATATCTATATCTATACCCAAATCTGTTATCTCCCTATTATATGTACACGTCTTGTGTTCTTGGTACAGTGCTGTCCATCCAAAGGAAATGGCCCTAAAAGAGAGATCACTATAAAGGAGGCACAAGTTGACCATGAATCATTGGCCTATTATACATATAACACTATGTCTTGTGTTCTAGGTACAGTGCTGTCCATCTAAAGAAGATATCCCTACCTCCACTAGAGATCACTATAAAGGAGGCACACATTGACCATGAATCATTGACCTATTACACATATAACACTATGTCTTGTGCTCTAGTTACTGTGCTGTCCATCTAAAGAAGATATCACTACCTCCACTAGAGATCACTATAAAGGAGGCACACGTTGACCATGAATCATTGACCTCTTACACATATAACACTGTCTTGTGTTCTAGGTACAGTGCTGTCCATCTAAAGGAGATATCCATACCTCCACTAAGGAGATATCCCTACCTCCACTAGAGATCACTATAAAGGAGGCACACATTGACCATGAATCATTGACCCATTACACATATAACACTATGTCTTGTGTTCTAGGTACAGTGCTGTCCATCTGAAGGAGATATCCCTACCTCCACTAGAGATCACTATAAAGGAGGCACACATTGACCATGAATCATTGACCCATTACACATATAACACTATGTCTTGTGTTCTAGGTACAGTGCTGTCCATCTAAAGGAGATATCCCTACCTCCCACTATAAAGGAGGCACACATTGACCATGAATCATTGACCCATTACACATATAACACTATGTCTTGTGTTCTAGGTACAGTGCTGTCCATCTGAAGGAGATAGCCCTACCTCCACTAGAGATCACTATAAAGGAGGTACACATTGACCATGAATCATTGACCCATTACACATATAACACTGTCTTGTGTTCTAGGTACAGTGCTGTCCATCTAAAGGAGATATCCCTACCTCCACTAGAGATCACTATAAAGGAAGCACACATTGACCATGAATCATTGACCTCTTACACATATAACACTATGTCTTGTGTTCTAGGTACAGTGCTGTCCATCTGAAGGAGATATCCCTACCTCCACTAGAGATCACTATAAAGGAGGCACAAGTTGACCATGAATCATTGGCCAGAGAAACTGCAACTCTACATCACTGGTAGGAAGACCATTCATTTATAGTAGAGATATATCTGTGTAAGCCATTAGTACATCTGAAAAGTGTTCCACATGAGAGACCTTTCAGTATACATAGGTTTTTACCTGTTCAGTACTTTGTACATTTTTTTGATAGAATAATTGTTTAATATAAGAAGAAAGAATAATGTCAATAGCATGTTTGTGTTGATTAGTTACAGTGTTTAAGTGTGTTGTTTTGTTTTAGTGTAAAAGTGTGTTGTTTTGTTTTAGTGTTGAAGTTTGTTTTGTTTTATTGTTAAAGTGTATTGTTTTGTTTTAGTGTTAAAGTGGGTTGTTTTGTTTTAGTGTTAAAGTGTGTTTTGTTTAAGTGTAAAAGTGTGTTGTTTTGTTTTAGTGTTGAAGTTTGTTTTGTTTTATCGTTAAAGTGCGTTTTTTTAGTGTTAATAGTATTTTGTTTTGTTTCAGCTCCCAGAATATCTTCAGTGCTGTTGTTGAGAACCTGTGTGCCCTCAGTGCTGCATCCTCCCTCTCTGAGTTTGAGATGAAAGTTCTCTCAGAATATAAAGAACAATTGCAGGTACTATAACCTTCTATCCTTCTCCTCTGTGTCTTTTCATCTCACATTTGTATCAAAATTGTTCATGTCACTTTCACTGTTCCACAGCTTGATGACACTAACTGCAGTTAGCGACATTTAAAATGGTTGCCGAGTTCAGCTAAAATCTGAGATTAATCGAAAATGAAAGAATTTCGGCAACAAAATGACGATGACTGACGATGACTGCAGCTAGAGTCATCCGGCTGTGGAACTGTGACTGTTTGGGTGATCTTTAGGCCTAAGAAAGCTCTTTTGTTTACAAAACTTTATGTTAGAATTAGGTGATCGATTGGGTTGTAAAGAATAATATTGAGAATTAGTTGTATAGACAGATGGTTTCCTAAAGATTCAATTTAATTAATGACTAAGTTGTAAGTAATTGGGAGTTTCCAAAATGTCATGGGTGTAGTCTCCAAAATTTTCTTTACGTGCACAAACAACAAAATCAGTAAAAGTCCATAAATAACACATACAGTTCGTCAATGTAAGTCCAAAGCCAGCCAATCAGAACACGCTATTTCTCCGAATTGCATTCCATTATATAACTATTATATAACGCATTTCTTGTTTGGTTGTCAAGGTGAGGCGATTGAAATTGATGCTTTGCCAATTTGAGCCTTACAAAAAGTTTCACTTAAATATGTTATTTTAGTGATTTTGCATCTTTCAGGAGATTTTTTAGAAATGTTTTATAATGTGTGAAAGGAATTTAAGCCCAAGACTCAATGCATTGTGGCTGCTTCATTCCACTCAGGTGTTGTTTCTTAAAGGATATCAATATGGAGAACTGATATTCAACAATGTTTTTCTCTTAAACCAATTATTGAAAACATTCTGTGAAAAAACGCAGTATTATATGTAATGTTGACTGATTGACAACAATTTAATGCGAAAATTATTTAGAAATATTTTATATAACTGTTTTTGATAACATTTTTTGTTTTTTTAGTGCAATTGTTTTTGCTCCTTTCTACCAATTCTTGAGAATGAAATAAAATGTCTTTCCGAAATCAAGATAAACCTTTTATTTCATTAACAAGATACTTTTTTAAAATCAACCAAAATTTCCTTTGTACAATTACAATATTGAGAGACCTAAACATGTTGTGCTTATGTCGTTTTGTTCCAATGAGGTTCGGAAAGATGTTTCATTTCACTCTGGAAGCATGATACCAAAAAAAACAAGTGTTTGATGTGTTTTCTAAAACAATATACAATGTAGATGAAAGTATATATATATTTTTCAAATTATATTGTTACCATTCAAAAGATGACCATTAAATTCACGTTGTGTTAAATTTTTAGATTTTTTTAATGACTGGTTTAAGAGAAACGTGTGTTCATAAAGTTCTCCATATCGATACCACTCCTTTTGCATTCCCCCTGCACAGTCATGCAAAGATTTGGAAACAACACCTTCAATGGAATGATTCAGCACACAGTGCTTTGAGTCCAGAGCTTAAATCCTTAATTAATTTGTAGACTGAAAAAGCGCAGTTAAGAGAATTAATTGATGATGTACAGCACAAGCTACTAGATCAACATTCTGAAGCAGATGAGACTAGTCAATCAACCCACCATAATGGAGCAAGTGATACAGGCAATCAAGCCAGTGAGATGAGGAGTGAGATGTCTGATGCCATTGTTGATATAAAACACCTAATAGCTGAAGCAGTAACTTCTTGGAATACTAGGTTATTTTACATAATTACATTACATTATGCAGATGGCATTACATTCTCTTATGTTTTTAAAGCCGAAATTTTGTAATAATTTTGGAAATACTTTAATGTTTTATTCTACTTCAATGCATCAGACATGAATGAATAAAAGTTGAGTTCTCCAAAACATGAAGTTGAAATGATACAACAACAATAAGTAGTTTTAAGAATATTTTTAGGGAATAATAGAAAACGTTTAACTCTACATGTACATGTGCAATTGATAGTGTCAGGGTATCTGTAATCTGATTGGTTCAGACACAGATAGTGATTTGCTAGAACATCAATCAGATTTCAGGTATCAACAAATATTATCAGTGTAGCTTCCCGTAAAGTATGTACATTTAGAGTAATCGTATATTTTTTTTATATTATCAGGATTCAGGACTTTATTCAGCAGCAGAAAAAGCTTGAGAAGTTGAGAAAAGAAACTGGCAGCTCTTTGAAGGCTCAGCGTGATAGTGCTTCCTCAATGGCATCAGACAAAGACAGTGTATGTATTCATTCTTATGTAATTTTACATCTAGCAAAGTTCATTTATCATTCATTCAAAAAACTGGATTAATACTGTAACAATGATACATCACACTGTCATGTTGTAGTTGTATTTTACAACTATCTCATACTTTTGTATTTTACATTTTGTGATGCTGTAATTGTATTTTACAACTTTGTATATTTCCTATAAAGTAGTTAGTTTAGTCTTAGTTTAATTTTGTATATTGTAGTTTGTAGTGACTAATATGTCATTGCAATGACATCAGAGAGTCAATAAAAGATATATATATTACCAGTGTCAATTCAAATGATAGAGCCCCCCCCCCCCTTCCCCCAGAGCTGGAGCACCTACCACCCCTTTCATCCATGTGCATTGTATTTGTATTGATAATACAAAACAATTAAGTTTACAATTAAATTTCTTTTCTGTGATAGAAACTCCAATATTACAAATATTCATTGTCAACTTTGATGTCATTTAAAAGTTATTGGAGTAAGAGAGAGGGCACTACTTTCCTTGGACTTACAGAACGTAAAAATTAAAAAGTTTTGTACAGAGGTTGACTGTCAAAATTATATCCCTCTACTTTGAACCTCTGAATAGTATGTTAATGATTGTACATTGTTCTAATGGGCAGAGTCATGTTTGACATTCTTCTGTGCCCTAATTTCCGCATTTTTAAAAACCATATTTGATATATGTCAATGATTGTATATTGTTCTATTGGGCAGAGTCATGTTTGACACTCCCCTGTGCCCTTATTTCTACATTTTTAAAACCCATATTTGATCTAGGTTAATGATTGTACATTGTTCTGTTGGGCAGAGTCATATTTAACATTCCCTGTGCCCTTATTTCTGCATTTTTAAAACCCATATTTGATATATGTCAATGATTGTATATTGGGAAGAGTCATGTTTGACACTCCCCTGTGCCCTTATTTCTGCATTTTTAAAACCCATATTTGATCTAGGTTAATGATTGTACATTGTTCTGTTGGGCAGAGTCATATTTAACATTCCCTGTGCCCTTATTTCTGCATTTTTAAAACCCATATTTGATATATGTCAATGATTGTATATTGGGAAGAGTCATGTTTGACACTCCCCTGTGCCCTTATTTCTGCATTTTTTAAACCCATATTTGATATATGTCAATGATTGTATATTGTTCTATTGGGAAGAGTCATGTTTGACACTCCCCTGTGCCCTTATTTCTGCATTTTTAAAACCCATATTTGAGATAGGTTGATGATTGTATATTGTTCTATTGGGAAGAGTCATGTTTGACACTCCCCTGTGCCCTTATTTCTGCATTTTTAAAACCCATATTTGATATATGTCAATGATTGTATATTGTTCTATTGGGAAGAGTCATATTTAACATTCCCTTTGCCCTTATTTCTGCATTTTTAAAACCCATATTTGATATATGTCAATGATTGTATATTGTTCTATTGGGCAGAGTCATATTTAACACTCTCCTGTGCCCTTATTTCTGCATTTTTAAAACCCATATTTGATATAGGTTAATGACTGTATATTGTTCTATTGGGCAGAGTCATGTTTGACACTCCCCTGTGCCCTTATTTCTGCATTTTTAAAACCCATATCTGATCTAGGTTAATGATTGTACATTGTTCTATTGGGCAGAGTTATGTTTGACATTCCCCTGTGCCCTTATTTCTGCATTTTTAAAACCCATATTTAATAAAGGTTAATGATTGTATATTGTTCTATTGGGCAGAGTCATGTTTGACATTCCCTGTTCCCTTATTTCTGCATTTTTAAAACCCATATTTGATATAGGTTAATGATTGTACATTGTTCTATTGGGCAGAGTCATGTTTGACACTCCCCTGTGCCCTTATTTCTGCATTTTTAAAACCCATATTTGATCTAGGTTAATGATTGTACATTGTTCTATTTTGCAGAGTCATGATTGAATCCTTTTTTGCATCTTAATGACCCATATTTCTAATATTTCTAGGTGACTGTTGTATCAGAAAACAGCTCAGTGAATAGTCCCAAATGGCAGTTGGTTGATCCCATTAATAAGTTCAGACCTAGACCTGAGTATAATCAACTACAGTTTGGTATGTTAAAGTTCATAAATATCTCAATGTTTCATTTAAAATAGACTCTCTAGAAAGCCAATCATGTCATATTAATTGTTATCTTAATTTAAAGCATATTGTCTGGAAATATTCCACCCAATATTGCAAGATGCATATGTCATTCATGTTTTTAATTCTTGGAAGCCTTATACTTTCTTTGCTTCATTGATCTGTGCAAAATGGACATATGCGTGCGGTGTGGTGGGTAAAACATTTATTACATTTATCCCATCAAACAGCCGCATGTACATCCATCTGTAGGTATGTCTGTCCATCTGTATTTCAACACTATTGTTTTTTCAGAATATGCTGGATATAGTGAAAGACCAGAGCTGGGTTCTGAGAGTGACTTTGATTGCCTTGAACACCAGCTAGAGGAGGCTATGCTGGAAGGGGGACTTAAAGTTCCCAGGGAATGTAAGTCCACATAACAAACAATATCTGTGTTGTCAAAGCTTTAATATAAGAATCATTTCTTTTATATTTATTTATTGACTTTCTCGAGGCTTGGCTGTTTCATCAAGTTAATTTTTTGTCTATTAATTTGGTTACCTAACAGTTTGGTTTGTTTTAACTAAATTTAAGATTAATTGCATGAGATGAGTGGATAAAGAGTGGAAAAAACTATACATTTTCATCTGCCTCTCACCATCATCTTTAGCATGTGAAAATGGGTTGAAATGTGAATAATCATGGCTCATGCTTATGTGCATCCAATAAATACTCATATTTTCCCAAACTTATTAAGACTGAAAAGCTCTCACACTTTTACAAATAACATTTCATCATTTGATGATAAATGCATGCTCCCTGGAGCATATTTTGACCCATTCCCAGTGTTTTTGTAATAACATGTTTCAGTGGCATATATGTGTTGTAGCTTATTTATCTGGTAGTCAAAGTAGTGCTTTGGTTGATAGTGAGGTATTTACTAACCATAGCAACCATAGTAGCACACTTAGTGAGGGGGATGTATTTGGAACCACCCCAGGGATTGAAGCTGCCTTGCCAGAAAATCACATTGATCATCTTGACACTGAATTTGTCATAGTTGAACAGGGTTAGTTTACTTATGTAAGACATGAAGCTATCACTTGCCTATACTTGACACATACTTGCACTTGACACTTGCTTGCACTTGACACATGCTTGTACTTGATACTTGCTTAAACTTGACACATGCTTGCACTTGACACATGCTTGTACTTGACACTTACTCATACTTGACACACACTTGTACTCGACACATGGTTTTACTTGACACCTGCTTGTACTTGGCACATGCTTGCACTTGACACATGTTTGTACTTGACACATGCTTGCACTTGACACATGCTTGTACTTGACACTTGCTTATACTTGACACATGCTTGTACTTGACACATGTTTGTACTTGACACATGCTTGTACTTGACACATTCTTGCACTTGACACATTCTCGTTTTTGGCACATGATTGTACTTGACACATGCTTGCACTTGACAAATGCTTGTACTTGACACTTTCTGGTACTTGGTACATACTTGTACTCTGCAGTGCAGGCTTAGTGAATCAAATCATGAGAAAACTTTGTTTTAGTGCTTGTACTTGCAATTGAATCTTGCTCTTTGATTTTGCACAAACTTACTTATGTTGCTAGTCTAGCTACAGGCCTCTGTGACCCTCCTCCTCCTCTACTTGACTTAACACCTTCTTTTGTGCATGGACTTGTAGCTAGAGTCTAAGACTATTATGTGGCACATACTTATAAATGATGCATGCCTGCTCCTTCCAAAATCCCCTGCATTAATAAAATTGCCAAAGCTTCAACTTTTGTTGGCTTTATATTCTATTTTATTTTTTAACTTCATTTAAATTTTATATTAAATGGTTTGAGGCTTGGTTTAGTTTTGTATTGTTAAGGTATTTGGAATTTCGTACTGTTTTTAATTTTATGAAATATTTTAAAACCCATGTCCATCACATGTGTGAATGTTTGTAGTACATTATTCATTTAAAAGTAAATCATGTATTTTCAGCTGATGATGCCATTAAGTCTATATCTGAGAGACCCCCAGTCACTGTCCCAACTATTACAAGGCCAGATGACACAAAAGCTGATGAACGCAACAGCAAACATGAAGATATTCCCAGTGTTAAAACAAACAGTGCTGTAGTAAATAATGCAAATATTGGAGCTACGGAGACTGTACATAAAAATGAAAGTGTTCAGGGTGGAGATCATGTTAAAGACCCAATTGATACAATAGTTGACACAGATATGAAATCTCATAACATTGATTTGGATCAATCCAAAGCGGATAATGATACCTCTGAATGTGATAGGACTAAAAACTGTGACTCTGCTTCACAATTACAAACCAGTGATGTAAATACAAGTGCATTAAAAGATCAGGACTCATCAGAGATTACTCAGGTATGTGGTGCCAACACTCAGCATAAAGCAAATGAATATGTGCCCAAGATGGACAGCGAGCATAATACAAAAAATGAACATATGCGTACAATTGACCATGAACCCAATGAAGCTAGAGAAACTAATAAGGCAGATTCAGCTAACGATTCTATTGGAAAGGCGTCCAAAGCAAATGAAAATGCTGACATGCAATCAGATAACACTGAAATGATAGAGGAAAATATCGAGCCACATATTAATAATGTAACAGACTTGAAAGCATCAAATGTTACTCCTTTTGTTGATAATAAAGACACATTAGATGGGCCCCCTATTGTTGTGAACACAGAGGCATCAAATGATGATCCTATTGTGACAAATGAGGATCACTTTACTAAGACCACACTACATGGTTCAAACACAGATGAGGGCCACCTCAGTGCAGAAGATAAAGGTCACAAAAGGTCAAGGTCATGGGGAGAAAGCAGACGATCTCCAAAACCAGGTAAAGTGCCACATTTTTGTTTATTTTGTAAAATCCTGCTGATTAATTATTTAGTTTATTTGTTTTGCTTGATTAACTAATAAATGTGATGTTAAGTGTTTGATATTTGAGTGTCATTGTAAGTTGTTTATATCCTTATTTTTTCTTCTTTTCACCTTTAATTCACAATATTATGGCAATATTAAAAGGGGTTACGAGCTTGTTACTATAATAGCAAGTAAATCCTTCAGAATGATAAATTGCATACATTTAATCTAAAAATGACAATGTCAACTTGATAATTTACTTTGAATCTCAGATATGAGCATAAAACTTTTGAAATTGCCAAGTTGTCCATATACTCTATTCTCTCCAAAAACACATAGTGCTTTTTGTAAGGACAGTTGCATTTAGAGTTGCACTCTTTAGAGAGAATATGGTTTATGACAAGAGATTGGATGAGTCAAAAATTTCTTCTTATTCTCTTAACCTCCTAACTTATTCATGTATCAAGTCTTGATTTAGCCACTCCCTTTAGGCCCAGTGATATTGGTTGGGATGTTAAATTAACCAGTAGGCTTGATACATTCTGTTTTGTTTGTAGCATTGCACTATAGATACAGTATTGCAACATTGTATTCTGGAAATAATAGTAAGTCATGCACATGTCAAAGTAAAGATAAGTGACACTGATTCCTCTTGTTAATTAGAGCTATATACCCTAAGCCTTGCATATTCTATATTGACATCATCTATATGTAGATGGACATTGTCACACATTCTATAGCTTTGGTCAAATTCAGATTAGAGGGAATGTAATAGAAATAAGACAGAATACACAATTTTGTTTTTCCAAAGGATTCTGTTTTGATCAAAATATTGAAGAATTACCCAGATTGAATTTCATAGATTATGGGCTTTGTATAAAATACCTCCTACCTGATACCCACCTACCCATGTACGTGGGACATGATACAGTCCTTGAAGGGTTCAATTTTAAGAATTATTTAATCTTAGTTTATGATGAATTATAGATGAATTAATGCACCCATATGCCTTTATTTATGGATCTCTCATGTCGTAAAATAAAGCCGGAATTGCAGAAATGTTAATAATTTGAGTTATTTTGATTGAACATGTCTGCCTTTGATTTCTCGAAATGATTTTTGTTGATCCGCAGTCTGGCTTTATATAAAAAACCTCGTACACAAGTACGTGGATCTTGACACAGTCTTTGAAGGGTGCAATTTTTAAAGATTATTCATTCTCAGTTCATGCTTGATTATAGATGCATTAATGCACCTATCCCCTATGCCTTTATCTATACAATAATAGAATGAAGCCGAATTGCTGAATTGTTAATTGAGAAATTTTAATCGTTTTGTCAAAGTATCGCAAATAATTTAATTTATACACAAAGTAAATTAAAAATGTATTGGGAGGCTCTATATTTGGGCAAGAACGAAGGCATATTTCACGTCATAGTGACATAACTGATGTATTACATACCTTTATCCCCATGGCTACTTTGTATCAATGACGTCACACATCTCTGTGCAAGTAAAATTTGATCGCAATAAAACATGACGTCGTGATATTGTCATGGTCATTAAAAGAAATCTTATATCAAAACGAGGTGAAGGGAGCTATATCAGGATAATCGGGTAATAACGGTGGAATCTGCTAACTTTCATATTGGCTTCCATACAAATGCTTCGCTATGTATGTAATACTGATATACATATTATAGACATCTCATTGCTTTTTGTTCAACCATACCCTCCATTAGATTATTTGAACTTTCCCAGTTTTTTTCCCAGTTCTTCTCCTTAATTAAACTATTTATTGTTGATTAATGTGGAAAGATTCTTTTTTATTTTGAACCAGTTCCTTTAACATGTTATCTATTTCCAATTACAAAGCTAGCCAAAGGCTTTTAGAAGGATGGTTTGTGTAGGTATGCTTTGTGTAAATAAATAGGCAACCAAGTGAATTTTTCTTATTTGGATTTTTGTGTTAGACTGTTTAGACCCAATTGTAATAGATTTTAGATGTTTTCTATTTATTTACACAGTCATGCTTTATGCTTTTGATGGCTTATAGTAAATAAAAGACTAAAATATTTGATAAAAAACAGTAAAACAAGGTACATGTATTGAGAACATTCTTTATATAGGGCAAAAGTGTTCACAAGGTCTAAATGTTCTCAAAAAAGTGATTATTAGAATTCAATGAGACAAAGATTATTTGTTGTCACACAAATATATTTGTTGTAAAGAGAATTGTTCACTGTTTTTGTTAGTAGAGAAATCTCCCATTTCAAGTGTTTGTAAAACCTCAACGATTGTATAGTAGTTCTTAGTCCTTCATCTCAATTCTTATATTGGACAAAGTTTCATGTCAGCCTTTTTGAAAGAATAATAATAATTGTCTGGCAGACTAATCTTGTCTGGCCAAAAGAACCATGCCACACAATCTGCATAGGCAGGGCATTTTGGACCATCATTATAAAAACCAAATAAATTTGAATGATGACAAAATCTATACCACCATGCCCCGTGGTGCGCTGTTGCACAGTTCCCTCGTCCTGCTGTATCGTGATCACGGTCCTTTGTGGTAAATGCCATACCATTGCTGTATTCAAGAGAGTTCCCTGCATCTCCACTGTATCCACCAATTGTCAGTTTGTAGTTGGATTTTGCGTCACCCACATTGAATATGGAATATTCGGCATGGCGCGTTTCATTTTCTGGGGGCCACATAGTTATGTATATTTGTAGCTTGTAGTTCCCTTGTTCTAATAAACCATGAAGGTTGTCCAGGCCAATGAAATATTCTCCTTCTGGGTTACCGAATCCTGATTGATACTCATTCCAGCCTCTAGAAATCAACACTCCCATCAAAGCGCCTTGCCATGTAGACACACCCACCACTACAGTATACTCTGAATGAATCTTGTCCCTTTGGTAGGATTGTTCTTACACCAGTTAAGCTTGTATTATCACTGCAGTCCCTTGGATATGTGGCTGAAAAATATAGACTGGCTTGAATAAGAGGGCAGGGATAGTTAGACATTGTTTAGATCATAGTTTGGATTATTTTTGGAGTTTGTTTTCCTCATTACTGTTTGTGCTCTAAGATGTTTCTAAGGTCTTTTCCCTTTAAGCACTTGATCAAAGTGGAAAAGTAGAAATTTTATTTTAGGTTTAAGAATTTAAGCCCTGGACATTGTGTGCTGAATCATTCCTCTTGAAGGTGTTTTTAAATCTTTGTATGACTGTGCAGCTATATCATAATTGCATATCGCATTATCAAAGGATTTGAGCCCTGGAGCCACAATGCATTGAGTCTTGGACTTAAATCTTTTTCCAACATTGCAAATTATTTTCTATGAAATCACTAAATGAACCAAGTCTCATGGGGAAGAACAAGCTACATGCTTATGCAGGTCAAATGGTAAGTGTTGTATGGTTATCAAGGTGACAATCCAAGATGCTGACTGACACAAACAGAAATTACATCTTGACCCTTTCAAAAGGGTTCTTTGAAAATATATTCAGGCTTTGTTTCCTAAACTTTGTATTCCCGCTGCAAGGTCAAGATTAAATGTAAAGATTAAAGGATTTAAGCCCTGGACTCGGTGGATTGTTTGCTGAATCACACCAAGAAGGTGTTGTTTCCAAATCTCTCCAAAAAGTTTAGGAAACAACGCCTGAGTGGAATGAAGCAGCTACAATGCATTGAGTCTTGGGCTTAAATTCTTTTCACACATTGCAAAATATTTTCTCCAAAATCATCTAAAAGGAACAAAATCACTAAAAGAACACATTTTCAATGACATTTTTTGCAAGGGTCAAGTTGGCAAGTCATCAAATCCAATGTGAGAAGTCCATTCATCAACGCGACAACATGACAACTGTTTAACTGGTGACTTTGCATGTGTTAATAAAGAGGTTAAGCAACACTACTTTTTACAACGTAAACCACAAACGGAAAGGCCCACGCAGGTTTTTCTCAGGATGTGACGTCAGATTGTTCAACTTATTTCCCAGTTTACTTACATCCAAACTAGAAAAATCAAAGTCTAGGTAGGTCGTTCCGTAAAGGATTTTTAGTATTTTATCCAGTTCGATCGAAATAAATATGATATAGGTCAAATGTATGAATATGTTTGACACAAATCTATGTACATATCGAGATCATTTGTGTCCAATCTAATTAAATATAACTTGAATATTGAGTCACCCATTTCATATGTAAATTCTGATGAGATTAGATACATGACATTTGCTCACATCTCAACTCATCTTAATTCTAAAGTACATATTGTGTTCAACAACTAAATTTAGCAGCATGGAGACAACATGTACATGGAAGACGACATTGAACTTGTATTAACATATTGTATTTTGTAAGATTCAAGATGTCATAAAACACTGCCACTGCCAGTGAAACATCTCCTTTCATCAATTTGTTAATAAAGTAATATTTTATACTTTTAAATTAGAAAATAATACGAACGGCACCTAAGAAAAAGGAAAAAACATTTTAAGGTTTACGTTACGTCTTATGTGCTCAGCTTAAAGCACTTTTGTAGTACGTAAACAGGAACGTAAAGGTTTACGTTTGAGGTTCACGTCACAAAAAATCGTCTTGCTTAACCTCTCTATTGACCAAACCCTATGAAAATATGGCCATGATGATAGAGAAAGAAAAGAGCCTTAAAATGATTTTTATTTGAAGCTTCTAGCTAAATTTTGAAGGAAGTTACATACATTTTTGTAAAGTCATAACAAATCTTACACGTTTTCTAATGATCTAATTATGTTATATATTCGTATTTTTCGTTTTTTGGGTACCCAGTTTATTAAAGGTATCAAGTTTGTACCCAGCATGGAGGATTTACTACCTGGTACCCAGTTTTTTCTACAAACCCTTTTTTACTGTAAGTCAAAAAGTAGTGGAGTGATTTTGTTCATATTTGGTATGTGAATACTTTAAGCATGGCCCAATGTCTAATGACATTTTGGGTAGTAGGCGGCCATTTTTACTTGTGTTATTTTACTTTTTTTCCATTTTTTCACTAAAGGCAATCTGCGCGAGATTTCATTTTTTGGTTCGGTTTTTAGCGCATGCTTATTAAATCGAATAATTTAATTGGTCCAAATTATTATGACGCATGCGCGATGAGTAACTTAATAAGAACATTTAATTTAAGATAGATGTCACTTACGTTCATTATTTCACAGCAGTCCTAACCCATAATACACCATATTTTGCGGGAATATTTTTGTTTCGTGTCAAAACAAAAAGTACCAAAATCAAATGTAATGACATAATATCAATCTGTCCCAGATTTGTAGACGTTTGTTGTACAAACTTAAACCGAACCGATGCCAGAAAAGCACTTTGATTCTTGGGAGTGACGTACTTCCCTTAAGGAAAAACCAAACCAAGTAAAAACCGAACCTCGCGCAGATTGCCCCGACTCCGTTTTTTACTATAACTCGAAAAGTAGTGGAGCGATTTTGTTCATATTTGATATGTGAATACTTATGAGCCTTGCACAGTGTCTCATGACACTTCGCGTAGTAGGTGGCCATTTTAAAAAATGGCTGTCATTGTTACATTTTTACTATAACTCGAAAAGAATTGGAGCGATTTTGTTCCTATTTGATATGTGAATACTTTAAGCATGGCATATTGTCTAATAAAACTTTGGGGAGTAGTCGACCATTTTTATGTGTGTTATTTTACATTTTTTATTATAATTCAAAATGTAGTAGAGCGATTTTGTTCATATTTGATATGTGAATACTCCTAAGGATTGCATACTGTCTTATGACATTTTGGGTAGTAGGCGGCCATTTTAAAAAATGGCCAGTATTTACATGTATGTGTGTGCGATTTTTAAAAAAAATTATATGTGGCTACTTAAAAGCATATTACTTCTTCTGATGATAACTTGGCTAGTGAGCAACCAATTTGAAAATGGTGCCCTTTCTTATGGGTGTTATTTTATGATATTTGCTTTATGTTTTGTTTGTAAAAATGCCAGCCATTTCTGTTCGATGGGATTCGCTGCGCTTTGGCGTTGTCGTTGTTCTGGTAATTATTCTGAGACCCCTGCCCCCCTTTTTGTTACGATGGCTACTGGCAACTAATTATTTAGTTGTAAGTACATGTAATTACTAATTTGCTAACACATCTTTCACACAAAAAATGACGATCTATCATGAAATTAAAAAGATAAGTTATAATTTTAAGTCAATATCCAACACTTTTTAGTAGAATATGGAAGATAATCTGGGGAAAACGAATTCCTCAATTTGAGAGGCTCTGTTGGGGATTTGTTCAATCTCTGTCAACATTGTCTAGCTAGCTAGATTACCTGTCAATTTAGGTAGCAAACTCTGCATCCTTTCCAAGAGATCTTTCACTGTGGACATTTCAGTTTTCACATCTTCAATGTCATTTTTCATCTCTTCATTCTTGTTTTTGATTTCTTTGATGTCATTTTTGATCTCTTCATCATTTTTCATATTTTCCATGTCATTTTGGATTTCTTCAACATCAGTTTTTACTTCTTCAATGATTGTACTTGCCTTTGTCACATTATTCTTAATCTCTAGCAAGTTGATTTGTAGGGCACCGTCTTCCTCACTTCTTACGCAGCAACCTTTGGTGTCAGTTCTCAGGCCATTCAGTTGTGTGACAAGTTTTTCGATGTCTGATTTTTTGCATGCAGGATTCTGGTGTCCAGAAGTCTTCTTTCTTTTCCTCTTTCTCGCGTCAGTGTTTACTACAAGCGTAATGAAAAGTACAACAAGTAATACTTTGAAATGCATTGTTCAAACAGTTCTGGCCAGTTTTGGTTCTTTCACCGATATGTTTCAAATAATTAAACGAAGTTCAGTGTTGATTGCATTTTCTTTTCTCATCAGCATCAAATACGTATAAATACAGTGTGTGTTTTTAATGTGTTGTTTGAAGTCTTTGTTGAATTCTTTAATATGTAAAGTAAGCTATTAAAGTTGTATCATATGTTCCAAATAACTATAACATTTTGTTTCATCTTTTGTGAAATATGTTCCTGCTAGTTATCATCTAAAAAGAAAAGCACATTCCTGTTATTCATTGCCCATTTGAAAGTATTGATCACTTTGTTCATTTTCAGATAATCTCAATTTGATAGTTATTCATCCAGACCTGCCTTTTATTGCAGATTTCAAAGTATCAATTAGACTTTTCAAATTTCATTGCCTGTTTCTTGGAAGTTTTGAGTTTGAGCATTATGGATACTTCCACACTTCCAACTGATCTTAAAACTGATTTTGAAAAGTATACTAGTATGCTATGATATTGTATTATATCATATGTTATTATATTGCTGTCTTTTATCAAGTCTGTGCCCCAACTTTATAGATCAACCTGACCCAAGTAAAAGGTCACGCAGGAAGAAACTGTTACTGAATATTGCTATTAACGTTGTAGGTCAAGTTGACTCAAATATAAGGCGTGGCCAAGAAGAACCAGTTGCCAAACAGGAAAAAAAAGTAACAATGCAGAGTCTCCTGTCCAACTTCCTTACACCATCTACATTCAACCTCCTCAGCAGTCCATTGTAAGCACATCTACTGTTCTAGTTGTACACTTAATACATGGTCATTTGGAAGAGATTAAAATTTATTGGATGAATTTAATATGTGAATTCCTAACTATAGTGATAAATTGATTTTGTTATCTATAAGTCTGTAAATGCTTCTTGCAGCCCAGATGACCAGCACCATCTTTTGCAGCCATGTAAAAAAGTCCCCATTGTGATTTATGACCAGGAGCCTAGTTCAATTATTGCATACACATTGAGGTTAGTATATACAGTTTGGATGTGTGGTGTTATGCTTCTACTTTTTTTATTGCAATCCTTGAGTATTACTTTAGTTTACTAATGTTTTGTGTTCCTGATGGGTCATTCATCAAGCTATCGCAATCACTGCGACGTCGCAGACACTGCGACCACCGTGTGAGGTCGCAGGGACTGCGACTGCGACCTATTCAGTAACAAATCGCAGTCTGCGATGTCCCTGCAACCAGTCGCAGTGATTACCACGTGCACGTGCTTGTACACGTGTTAGTTATCCTTTCGAGATCCTCTTGTATCATTTCGTACTTTTATAATAGTTAACCTAGGCATGTGATATCGCAAATTAAGGTCTACATCATTGTATATTTGAAGAGGATCTGTACGATCTCTAAATAAGCGTTCTCTACGCAGAGCTCAAGCATTACGGGAAATCAACCATCAGATGCGCCATTTTGAACAAATAAATGCTGCCAGCAGACGATTAATATGTCATGCAAGATTGACAATATGGATACTGAGTGGGCACAGCCACGTGGGTTCAAACCACGTGTAACGCACAATCACTGCGACCGGTCACACGGTGAAGTACTTAAAAATACAGGCCGAAAACTAGCTGTTTTTGATAGCATCACAAACATGTTAAACATAATGCATATGTTCTGCAATTTTAATATATCATGGATCGAATATCGAACTATACGTCCTAGAATTTCTATATAAGTTCATAAAGAAATTCAATTAATTTAAGACATCTTTTTCTTGAATTAAAATCACTGGGTACCACCGGTCGCTTAAATTTGGGCCATTTTAGGGGTATTTCACTGCGACGTCGCAGAAAATTCTACCGATCGCAGTCGCACGAGATTGATGAATAGGACGTAATCGCTAAAAAGGGCCCTTGCGACATCGCAGGCTTGCGACGTGCTTGCGATAGCTTGATAGAATGACCCCTCTGGTGAATCAACCAGGATTTAATTGGTTCTCTGTTTCAGTTGCCATGAGTATGACCTGAAACTTAAGGAACTCCAACAATGTTTGAAGAGCCAATTAGATAACAGCAGTTTGTCTACTAAACTGCCCAAAGGAGCTGATACATTGAGTCTTGACAGTGGGTCCTCTAATATAGACAACGCAGGAGATACTGGTAGGTCATGCTCTTATATATCTTGGTAATAGTTGTGAAATCATATTGTGGCAACCTATTTCTTTTCTATCTGTATCCTTCTGAACATCTATGATGCATCAGATACTTGGAGTATCAGAATAATGATATCCGTGAAATGCCTATAATTATATTGAAATATCAACGGAGAAGTACAATATAAGACTGATTTAAAGGATTTTGCTCTTTTCGAGATTGAAACATTTAAAGGTGATATTATTTATTGGCCAATTTCTAAGTTTGATATACATCAAGTCAATCTTAACTTAATAAGATATACATTTGACACTATAACATTTGTAGGTAAGAAGGGTGTTTTGTCCTTCCTAAGGGGGTCTTCAACAAAGGAGAAGGAGAGAGAGAAGAGTCCTATTAGACCAGGGAGGACTCCTGACCCTGATACAACAGTGAGATATGTTCCAAGTCATGATTCTGGTAGTGTTGACCTTACGGGTAAGTGGCGGAGAACTTATTGTTAATACCTCAATCTAGATAGTGATTGGCTAAAGGTACAGTGCTAGATATGTAAAAGTCTGATAGATATACCTGTAAACAAACTGAAGATTGATTCATTGTATTATTTGTTTTACAGATGACACAGATTTCAGCTTCTTTAGTGCCAGTGATACGGATCGCAATCGCTTCAGTCGTCAACCCCAAACAAACCTCCATATTGAACTTCAGTTTTCTGACACGAGTGCAAGGTTTTATTGCAAAGTTTACTATGCCGAGCAATTCCGTCAACTCAGGAAGTTGATATTTCCTGCGGGTGAAAAGATATTTATCAGGTCCTTATCCAGGTGTTTTGATTGGTTAGCGAGAGGTGGGAAGTCTGGGTCAACATTCTGTAAAACTCTGGGTGAGATAGTTAATATTCTAAAATGAACAAATCATATGATATGAAAGTTACACAACTTCTAATATATAAAATACTCTAAAATTAGAAAAGATATCTTCACTATCAATAAACTTCTATAGAAACCCTCTTATTTGTTAAAATCTAAGCCTGAATCAGGCTCTGGATCACCTCTTAAAGTTCTCACTTCACTAATGATTGTACTTAACTTGATTTTATAAGTTCTGGAAATGTAATCTTTTCACATCTTTTACATTTTTGTACATTTATTTCATAGATGACAGATTTGTTCTGAAGCAGATGTCAAAGTTGGAGATGCAATCTTTTCTTGACTTTGCTCCCCATTACTTCAAGTATATAACCAAAGCTCATAATGAACAGGTATGTCAAAGTTGGAGATGCAGTCTTTCCTTGACTTTGCTCCCCATTACTTCAAGTATATAATCAAAGCACATAATGAACAGGTATGTCAAAGTTGGAGATGCAATCTTTCCTTGACTTTGCTCCCCATTACTTCAAGTATATAACCAAAGCACATAATGAACAGGTATGTCAAAGTTGGAGATGCAGTCTTTTCTTGACTTTGCTCCCCATTACTTCAAGTATATATCCAAGCACAAAATGAACAGGTATGTCAAAGTTAGAGATGCAGTCTTTCCTTGACTTTGCTCCCCATTACTTCAAGTATATAACCAAAGCACATAATGAACAGGTATGTCAAAGTTGGAGATGCAATCTTTCCTTGACTTTGCTCCCCATTACTTCAAGTATATAACCAAAGCACATAATGAACAGGTGTGTCAAAGTTAGAGATGCAGTCTTTCCTGACTTTGCTCCCGATTACTTCAAGTATATAACCAAAGCACATAATGAACAGGTATGTCAAAGTTGGAGATGCAGTCTTTTCTTGACTTTGCTCCCCATTACTTCAAGTATATAACCAAAGCACATAATGAACAGGTATGTCAAAGTTAGAGATGCAGTCTTTCCTTGACTTTGCTCCCCATTACTTCAAGTATATAACCAAAGCACATAATGAACAGGTATGTCAAAGTTGGAGATGCAGTCTTTCCTTGACTTTGCTCCCCATTACTTCAAGTATATAACCAAAGCACATAATGAACAGGTATATCAAAGTTGGAGATGCAGTCTTTCCTTGACTTTGCTCCCCATTACTTCAAGTATATAACCAAAGCACATAATGAACAGGTATGTCAAAGTTGGAGATGCAGTCTTTCCTTGACTTTGCTCCCCATTACTTCAAGTATATAACCAAAGCACATAATGAACAGGTATGTCAAAGTTGGAGATGCAGTCTTTCCTTGACTTTGCTCCCCATTACTTCAAGTATATAACCAAAGCCCATAATGAACAGGTATGCCAAAGTTGGAGAAGCAGTCTTTCCTTGACTTTGCTCCCCATTACTTCAAGTATATATCCAAGCACAAAATGAACAGGTATGTCAAAGTTGGAGATGCAATCTTTCCTTGACTTTGCTCCCCATTACTTCAAGTATATAACCAAAGCACAAAATGAACAGGTATGTCAAAGTTGGAGATGCAATCTTTCCTTGACTTTGCTCCCGATTACTTCAAGTATAGAACCAAAGCACTAATGAACAGGTATGTCAAAGTTGGAGATGCAGTCTTTCGTTGACTTTGCTCCCCATTACTTCAAGTATAGAACCAAAGCACTAATGAACAGGTATGTCAAAGTTGGAGATGCAGTCTTTCCTTGACTTTGCTCCCCATTACTTCAAGTATATAATCAAAGCACATAATGAACAGGTATGTCAAAGTTGGAGATGCAGTCTTTCGTTGACTTTGCTCCCCATTACTTCGAGTATATAACCAAAGCACATAATGAACAGGTATGTCAAAGTTGGAGATGCAGTCTTTCCTTGACTTTGCTCCCCATTACTTCAAGTATATAACCAAAGCACATAATGAACAGGTATGTCAAAGTTGGAGATGCAATCTTTCCTTGACTTTGCTCCCCATTACTTCAAGTATATAACCAAAGCACATAATGAACAGGTGTGTCAAAGTTAGAGATGCAGTCTTTCCTTGACTTTGCTCCCGATTACTTCAAGTATATAACCAAAGCACTTAATGAACAGGTATGTCAAAGTTGGAGATGCAGTCTTTTCTTGACTTTGCTCCCCATTACTTCAAGTATATAACCAAAGCACATAATGAACAGGTATGTCAAAGTTAGAGATGCAGTCTTTCCTTGACTTTGCTCCCCATTACTTCAAGTATATAACCAAAGCACATAATGAACAGGTATGTCAAAGTTGGAGATGCAGTCTTTTCTTGACTTTGCTCCCCATTACTTCAAGTATATAACCAAAGCACATAATGAACAGGTATGTCAAAGTTGGAGATGCAGTCTTTCCTTGACTTTGCTCCCCATTACTTCAAGTATATAACCAAAGCACATAATGAACAGGTATGTCAAAGTTGGAGATGCAGTCTTTCCTTGACTTTGCTCCCCATTACTTCAAGTATATAACCAAAGCACATAATGAACAGGTATGTCAAAGTTGGAGATGCAGTCTTTCCTTGACTTTGCTCCCCATTACTTCAAGTATATAACCAAAGCACATAATGAACAGGTATGTCAAAGTTGGAGATGCAGTCTTTTCTTGACTTTGCTCCCCATTACTTCAAGTATATAACCAAAGCACATAATGAACAGGTATGTCAAAGTTGGAGATGCAGTCTTTCCTTGTCTTTGCTCCCCATTACTTCAAGTATATAACCAAAGCCCATAATGAACAGGTATGCCAAAGTTGGAGAAGCAGTCTTTCCTTGACTTTGCTCCCCATTACTTCAAGTATATATCCAAGCACAAAATGAACAGGTATGTCAAAGTTGGAGATGCAATCTTTCCTTGACTTTGCTCCCCATTACTTCAAGTATATAACCAAAGCACAAAATGAACAGGTATGTCAAAGTTGGAGATGCAATCTTTCCTTGACTTTGCTCCCGACTACTTCAAGTATAGAACCAAAGCACTAATGAACAGGTATGTCAATGTTGGAGATGCAGTCTTTCGTTGACTTTGCTCCCCATTACTTCAAGTATAGAACCAAAGCACTAATGAACAGGTATGTCAAAGTTGGAGATGCAGTCTTTCCTTGACTTTGCTCCCCATTACTTCAAGTATATAACCAAAGCACATAATGAACAGGTATGTCAAAGTTGGAGATGCAGTCTTTCCTTGACTGCTCCCCATTACTTCAAGTATATAACCAAAGCACATAATGAACAGGTATGTCAAAGTTGGAGATGCAGTCTTTCCTTAACTTTGCTCCCCATTACTTCAAGTATATAATCAAAGCACATAATGAACAGGTATGTCAAAGTTGGAGATGCAGTCTTTCGTTGACTTTGCTCCCCATTACTTCGAGTATATAACCAAAGCACATAATGAACAGGTATGTCAAAGTTGGAGATGCAGTCTTTCCTTGACTTTGCTCCCCATTACTTCAAGTATATAACCAAAGCACATAATGAACAGGTATGTCAAAGTTGGAGATGCAGTCTTTTCTTGACTTTGCTCCCCATTACTTCAAGTATATAACCAAAGCACATAATGAACAGGTATGTCAAAGTTGGAGATGCAGTCTTTCGTTGACTTTGCTCCCCATTACTTCAAGTATATAACCCAAGCACATAATGAACAGGTATGTCAAAGTTGGAGATGCAGTCTTTCCTTGACTTTGCTCCCCATTACTTCAAGTATATAACCAAAGCACATAATGAACAGGTATGTCAAAGTTGGAGATGCAGTCTTTCCTTGACTGCTCCCCATTACTTCAAGTATATAACCAAAGCACATAATGAACAGGTATGTCAAAGTTGGAGATGCAATCTTTCCTTGACTTTGCTCCCCATTACTTCAAGTATATAACCAAAGCACATAATGAACAGGTATGTCAAAGTTGGAGATGCAGTCTTTCCTTGACTTTGCTCCCCATTACTTCAAGTATATAACCAAAGCACATAATGAACAGGTATGTCAAAGTTGGAGATGCAGTCTTTCCTTGACTTTGCTCCCCATTACTTCAAGTATATAACCAAAGCACATAATGAACAGGTGTGTCAAAGTTGGAGATGCAGTCTTTCCTTGACTTTGCTCCCCATTACTTCAAGTATATAATCAAAGCACTAATGAACAGGTATGTCAAAGTTGGAGATGCAGTCTTTCCTTGACTTTGCTCCCCATTACTTCAAGTATATAACCAAAGCACATAATGAACAGGTGTGTCAAAGTTGGAGATGCAGTCTTTCCTTGACTTTGCTCCCCATTACTTCAAGTATATAACCAATGCACATAATGAACAGGTATGTCAAAGTTGGAGATGCAGTCTTTCCTTGACTTTGCTCCCCATTACTTCAAGTATATAACCAAAGCACATAATGAACAGGTGTGTCAAAGTTGGAGATGCAGTCTTTCCTTGACTTTGCTCCCCATTACTTCAAGTATATAACCAAAGCACATAATGAACAGGTGTGTCAAAGTTGGAGATGCAGTCTTTCCTTGACTTTGCTCCCCATTACTTCAAGTATATAACCAAAGCACATAATGAACAGGTGTGTCAAAGTTGGAGATGCAGTCTTTCCTTGACTTTGCTCCCCATTACTTCAAGTATATAACCAAAGCACATAATGAACAGGTATGTCAAAGTTGGAGATGCAGTCTTTCCTTGACTTTGCTCCCCATTACTTCAAGTATATAACCAAAGCACATAATGAACAGGTATGTCAAAGTTGGAGATGCAGTCTTTTCTTGACTTTGCTCCCCATTACTTCAAGTATATAACCAAAGCACATAATGAACAGGTATGTCAAAGTTGGAGATGCAGTCTTTCGTTGACTTTGCTCCCCATTACTTCAAGTATATAACCAAAGCACATAATGAACAGGTATGTCAAAGTTGGAGATGCAGTCTTTCGTTGACTTTGCTCCCCATTACTTCAAGTATATAACCAAAGCACATAATGAACAGGTATGTCAGAGTTGGAGATGCAGTCTTTCCTTGACTTTGCTCCCCATTACTTCAAGTATATAACCAAAGCACATAATGAACAGGTATGTCAAAGTTGGAGATGCAGTCTTTTCTTGACTTTGCTCCCCATTACTTCAAGTATATATCCAAGCACATAATGAACATCATTATACTAAATCATTGTCTCAAAAATACTTCTAATTAATTACTAAATAGGCCATGAACATTCAGCCCGGAGGAGCTTCATAAACGTGTATACTGTCATATATATTCTGCCCAGGGTACAACTTGGGTACAAGATGCAACTAATTTTCCTCATTTTAGATGCCCACTGTCCTCGTAAGAATAGAAGGACTGAAGAGAATTTAGATTTTAGATGCTAACTGTCCTAGGAAAGATAGTAGGAGTATATCATATTGGCTTATTGTGATTTTAGATGCCAACTGTCCTAGGAAAGATAGTAGGAGTCTATCATATTGGCTTATTGTGATTTTAGATGCCAACTGTCCTAGGAAAGATAGTAGGAGTCATCATATTGGCTTATTGTGATTTTAGATGCCAACTGTCCTAGGAAAGATAGAAGGAGTCTATCATATTGGCTTATAGTGATTTTAGATGCCAACTGTTCTAGGAAAGATGGTATAAGTTTATCATATTGGCTTATATTGTGATTTTGAATGCCAACTGTCACGGAAAGATAGTAGGAGTATATTGTATTGGCTTATTGTGATTTTAGATGCCAACTGTCCTAGGAAAGATAGTAGGAGTATATCATATTGGCTTATTGTGATTTTAAATGCCAACTGTCACGGAAAGATAGTAGGAGTATATTGTATTGGCTGATAGTGATTTTAGATGCCAACTGTCTCAGAAAGATAGTAGGAGTATATCATATTGGCTTATTGTGATTTTAGATGACAACTGTCCTCAGAGGGATGGAAGAAGTATATCCTATTGGCTTATTGTAATTTTAGATGCCAACTATCCTAGGAAAGATAGTAGGAGTATATCGTATTGGCTTATTGTGATTTTAAATGCCAACTGTCCTAGGAAAGATAGTGTGAGTATATCGTATTGATTTATTGTGATTTTAGATGCCAACTGTCCTAGGAAAGATAGTAGGAGTATACCGTATTGGCTTATTGTGATTTTAGATGCCAACTGTCCTAGGAAAGATAGCTGGAGTATACCGTATTGGCTTATTGTGATTTTAGATGCCAACTGTCCTAGGAAAGATAGTAGGAGTATATCATATTGGCTTATTGTGATTTTAGATGCCAACTGTCCTAGGAAAGATAGTGTGAGTATATCGTATTGATTTATTGTGATTTTAGATGCCAACTGTCCTAGGAAAGATAGTAGGAGTATACCGTATTGGCTTATTGTGATTTTAGATGCCAACTGTCCTAGGAAAGATAGCTGGAGTATACCGTATTGGCTTATTGTGATTTTAGATGCCATCTGTCCTAGGAAAGATAATAGGAGTATATCGTATTGGCTTATTGTGATTTTAGATGCCAACTGTCCTAGGAAAGATAGTAGGAGTATATCGTATTGGCTTATTGTGATTTTAGATGCCAACTGTACTAGGAAAGATAGTAGGAGTATATCGTATTGGCTTATTGTGATTTTAGATGCCAACTGTCCTAGGAAAGATAGTAGGAGTATATCGTATTGGCTTCAGGAACATGCAGACCTTCAATGCACTTAAACAAGACCTGCTTGTCATGGAGAACTTGTTCTACAATAGAAAGATATTACAGGTACATTGTATACTCAAGAATATTGTAAAACGATGGAATATAACACTTTGGATTCATAAGAATTGCTATAACAAATACAAGGTACATTGTACACTCCAGAATATTGTCAAATGATGGAATATTATAGGTACATTGCACACTCCAGAATATTGTAAAATGATGAAATATTCATATGGATTGCTATAACAAATACAAGGTACATTGTGTACTCCAGAATATTGTAAAATGATGGAATATTCATATGAATTGCTTTAACTAATACAAGGTACATTGTACAATCCAGATTATTGTAAAATGATGGAATATTGATATGAATTGCTATAACAAATACAAAGTAGATTGTACAATCCAGATCATTGTAAAATGATTGAATATTGATATGAATTGCTATAGCAAATACAAGGTACATTGTACAATCCGGATCATTGTTAAATGATGGAATATTGATATGAATTGCTATAACAAATACAAGGTACATTGTACAATCCAGATCATTGTAAAATGATTGAATATTGATATGAATTGCTTTAACTAATACAAGGTACATTGTACAATCCAGATTATTGTAAAATGATGGAATATTGATATGAATTGCTATAACAAATACAAGGTACATTGTACAATCCAGATCATTGTAAAATGATTGAATATTGATATGAATTGCTATAGCAAATACAAGGTACATTGTACAATCCGGATCATTGTTAAATGATGGAATATTGATATGAATTGCTATAACAAATACAAGGTACATTGTACAATCCAGATCATTGTAAAATGATGGAATATTGATATGAATTGCTATAACAAATACAAGGTACATTGTACAATCCAGATCATTTTAAAATTATGGAATATTGATATGAATTGCTTTAACTAATACAAGGTACATTGTACAATCCAGATTATTGTAAAATGATGGAATATTCATATGAATTGCTTTAACTAATACAAGGTACATTGTACAATCCAGATTATTGTAAAATGATGGAATATTCATATGAATTGCTTTAACTAATACAAGGTACATTGTACAATCCAGATCATTGTAAAATGATGGAATATTGATATGAATTCCTATAACAAATAGAAGGTACATTGTACAATCCAGATTATTGTAAAATGATGGAATATTGATATGAATTGCTTTAACTAATACAAGATACATTGTACAATCCAGATTATTGTAAAATGATGGAATATTGATATGAATTGCTATAACAAATTCCAGATTGCTGTTTGGTAGAACCATAAAAAGAGTATATCCAAACCACATGTAAGCAGTGTAAAGTCTATCTTACTTGCCTTTATTGTAGATATTTGATCTGAAGGGATCTATAAGGAACAGACTTGTCAAGTCAACTGGAAAGAAGGAGGAGGAGCTGGTACTATTAGATGAGAATTTACTAAAATGTAAGTCTTAAAGGTCCTGTGGGATGTTTAAACCACTTTGGTTATTTAAGTAATCTTACTCAATTTTCTTTTATCATGAGAACTTAAGTTCAAAATATAAACATAATATAAGTACAGTTGATAAGTGGCTTTGTATACCAGGAGAATTAGCAAACTCAATATTGGCAATAATATAACCAATGACACCCAGTGTCTATTGTTTTATTCCAGTGAGTGTAGATTCCCCATTGTATATCAGACCTCATTCTAAGACAGTCCTCACTCTAGCTTTAACCAATGACACCCAGTTTCTATTGTTTTATTCCAGTGAGTGTAGATTCCCCATTGTATATCAGACCTCATTCTAAGACAGTCCTCACTCTAGCTATAACCAATGACACCCAGTTTCTATTGTTTTATTCCAGTGAGTGTAGATTCCCCATTGTACATCAGACCTCATTCTAAGACAGTCCTCACTCTAGCTATAACCAATGACACCCAGTTTCTATTGTTTTATTCCAGTGAGTGTAGATTCCCAATTGTATATCAGACCTCATTCTAAGACAGTCCTCACTCTAGCTATAACCAATGACACCCAGTTTCTATTGTTTTATTCCAGTGAGTGTTGATTCCCCATTGTATATCAGACCTCATTCTAAGACAGTCCTCACTCTAGCTATAACCAATGACACCCAGTTTCTATTGTTTTATTCCAGTGAGTGTAGATTCCCCATTGTACATCAGACCTCACTCTAAGACAGTCCTCACTCTAGCTATAACCAATGACACCCAGTTTCTATTGTTTTATTCCAGTGAGTGTAGATTCCCCATTGTACATCAGACCTCACTCTAAGACAGTCCTCACTCTAGCTATAACCAATGACACCCAGTTTCTATTGTTTTATTCCAGTGAGTGTAGATTCCCCATTGTACATCAGACCTCATTCTAAGACAGTCCTCACTCTAGCAATAACCAATGACACCCAGTTTCTATTATTTTATTCCAGTGAGTGTAGATTCCCCATTGTACATCAGACCTCACTCTAAGACAGTCCTCACTCTAGCTATAACCAATGACACCCAGTTTCTATTGTTTTATTCCAGTGAGTGTAGATTCCCCATTGTACATCAGACCTCACTCTAAGACAGTCCTCACTCTAGCTATAACCAATGACACCCAGTTTCTATTGTTTTATTCCAGTGAGTGTAGATTCCCCATTGTATATCAGACCTCATTCTAAGACAGTCCTCACTCTAGCTATAACCAATGACACCCAATGTCTATTGTTTTATTCCAGTGAGTGTAGATTCCCCATTGTACATCAGACCTCATTCTAAGACAGTCCTCACTCTAGCTATAACCAATGACACCCAGTTTCTATTGTTTTATTCCAGTGAGTGTTGATTCCCCATTGTACATCAGACCTCATTCTAAGATAGTCCTTACTCTAGCTATAACCAATGACACTCAGTTTCTATTGTTTTATTCCAGTGAGTGTTGATTCCCCATTGTACATCAGACCTCATTCTAAGACAGTCCTCACTCTAGCTATAACCAATGACACCCAATGTCTATTGTTTTATTCCAGTGAGTGTAGATTCCCCATTGTACATCAGACCTCATTCTAAGACAGTCCTCACTCTAGCTATAACCAATGACACCCAATGTCTATTGTTTTATTCCAGTGAGTGTAGATTCCCCATTGTACATCAGACCTCATTCTAAGACAGTCCTCACTCTAGCTATAACCAATGACACTCAGTTCCTGTCTAGTCACCTTGTCATGGACTACTCTCTGCTGGTCGGCATTGATGAACAGAAGAAAGAACTTGTAGTAGGAATAATTGGTGAGTAACTGTAATGATAAATCACGTATAAATGACATATTTGAATCAAATGTGAATTTTTCTGCCATCATTAGAAGGAATGAGCGATCTTAGGTATTTAATTAAGAAATATAGACCGAAGAGCAGGGGTAATATTGTCGAATTCACCCCGCAGGGCTAGGCACAAACATTTCTGTACCCAAAATGACCGAAGTGAGGGTGAGGGGTTCAAAAGCTTTTGTGCCTAGCCCTAAGGGGTGTATTCGACAATATTACACCTGCTCCGAGGTCTATATTACAATTCGAACATGAAAACTCACCAAAATGTTTCGAGTATTCATTATGGTCCGCCATAACTATGGCCCGCCATTATGACGCCACACATTACACATATTACCAGGGGTTTTGTTCGCGAATATACCCCAGGTGAAATGTTGACTTTGTTTACAGTTTATAGAAGGCGTGAATACAGTCATGTTCAAATATTATTTCAATTATTTTCTCAGCACCTAGAAGTTCATATTGTTACAGTCAATTTTCTGACCTGGGTTCGGTGTTTGCATTTGCCATGTATGCTGTTATATTTTTTAAACCTGAGAGATGAACTTACATAGAACTATTCTGGATCTGTTTGATATTTATCGCAAGATTTTGTCTTTCAAGAGAATCTCATCTGATTATGGAATTGGTTCATTCTAAACAGAACTGACCAATCCGAAAGCTTTATTGTTATGTACCTAATGAGAGTGTGAGTTCATTTGCAATTGGCCCAAATACTTGACAATTTATTTCCTGTAATACCACATAGGTTTATGATACAGTTATTACATGAATTTTTGGGTTTTTTTTCTTATAAATATGATAAAAAAAAAATTATTTCTACATTCAATTTAACATCTCTTTTCCAGATTACATAAGGACATTTACATGGGACAAGAAGCTTGAGATGATTATGAAGTCAAGTGGAATACTAGGAGGTCAGGGCAAACTGCCAACAGTGGTGTCTCCTGAACTATATAGGAGCAGGTTCTTAGATGCTATGGCAAGGTATTTCTTACTGGTGCCTGATAGGTGGACTGGACTAGGACGTGGGGTGGATTGTTAGAATGGTTTTATTCCTGATTAGGCATAGATTAGGCCATGTCTTGGATTGACTGAGTAGACTCATTTGTTGAGGGGACTGTCATGCAAATCCTCAGTGCCAACACAGTCAGTACTTGCCATTGTCATCCCTAATATGGAACCATTCCAGTTTTGAAATCTCTGTATTGTTCTTGTTCCTGCTGTCATTTTGTCAGAGACAGACAGGGGAAAGTGCCATAATTTACCAATTTTCACATCCAAAAAGAGTATAGTAAATTATAAACATATTTATTTTTTAGTTTATCGCTACTTTATTTACAATGTAAAAATATGTTTTGTTTGTATTACAATGTATGTTATGCCATCTTTATAATGCTGTCTAGTTTATCTTATGGAGCGTAGTGTATCATATTGTAAGGCAGATTATAACAGTTACTAACTAATATTTACCATTAGAGTTGTTTATATACTGATGACCTACAATTACTGTTGATAAAATATAGATAGAATGGTCTGTAGTTTGATTGGTGCAATATTTCAGGTATATCTTCATAAACCAATCAGATTGCTGCTATTCAAATGATTTAATGTATTTGTATTTTCTGAAATTGTAAACATTAATTGTGTATTTATTGATACATTGTATTTACTGATACAAATTGTGTGTTTATTGATACATTGTATTTACTGATACATTGTATTTATTGATACAAATTGTGTATTTATTGATACCTTGTATTTATTGATACAAATTGTGTATTTATTGATACATTGTATTTACTGATACAAATTGTGTGTTTATTGATACATTGTAATTATTGATACAAATTGTGTATTTATTGATACATTGTAATTATTGATACAAATTGTGTATTTATTGATACATTGTAATTGTTAAAAATGTAATTGTACTTTGTTATCTTTGTTGTATCAGCTGCTGTACATTGTAGTCCTATTAGATACATATGTAAGGTACCTCATTTTATATAATAGAAATGGTTTTATCAATACATGCTGATCACATACTCAAACTTTATGACTGTAGTCATCGTATATACTCAAACATAAACTATTCTTTTAGATCAGTGGTGATTATGAAAGTTATTTTGAAAGTTGTATGGATAAACATACAAAAGAACAAACAAGCTCCATGGCAGAGGAATAGAAAGCCCATAATTTGTACCATTCCTTTTACCTTCTTCTCCAATCAAGTGACAGGAATATTTCTGGGAATTGTGGGATAAGCCATTATTTGTGACACAGTTTTGGTATCTCTGCAGAAAGTGGTATCAGAAGTGTAATGTAAAGCAGCATAAAATTGAGTTATGAGAAAACTGTAATTATTTTAGTGTTAGATAACATTGCAAGTGTTGTATATGAGGGATTGGATGATAAGATTTTGACAGCAATAGCTAACAGTAGTGTTCAACCACTATCATTCTGATAATCATATTATCTTTTTGTTTCATCTGAAACATCTCAGGGCTGATAAGAAATGAGATGTCATGTTTTATCATGATGAACCACTATATTTGAACCGATATATACAAGCATTGTGACTTTATAGGAAAAACTGTTTGAGCAACACTGGTGACACATTGACTCCTCGGTTGTATTATTTCCTTTACATTTTGAAAATGCTATATCTTGGCAGGCACATGAAATCTTGTCCTCAAACGTAAGAGCAGACTATTGCCAGCAAGATCTGATTATATACTGTAGTTTTAGGTGTTTTGTTAATTTTAGTCTACATTTGATTTGATATGCTTGTAAGTATTGAAGTAATCTGATCTTTATTGCGCAATGAAACAATGAAAACAGTGTTATAAACATGCCCAGCAGGGCTGATTTAGGAGAGTGACTTTATGATATAATAGGAGAGACTCTATGTGTAATATGATAAGGCTATAAATATGCTGTTTTTGTACAAAGTGCATAACATGTTTCTTTTCATTAATAACATTTTGAGAGACCATGAGATAACAATAGAATTCTTCAGTTGAATTAGAGGACCTGTGTTGTAATCTATCAAGAATCCATTTCCAAACTTCATTAATGTACATTTATAATGAAAGTGGTACATCCCAAGAGCCATCTAAATTGCAAATCACTCTTTTACATATAACAGAATTACCTGTCTATAACACAGGTATTACTATTAATATTCTGCAAATAAATCACAAAAGAATCATAGGATCCTATTCAATCAACAGACCTGGCAATCTTGACTTGTTTGAATTCATGAAAAGTCTGTGGGATGAACAGTAATTATAATTATGAATGCTATTGTTATCTCGTAGAAGACCTCCCACATAGCAACAAAGAAGTCTTGCACGCAGGCCCTATAATTGGATATTAGTGGCATATTGGTGAACATGGTTTATTTTTGGAGTTGGACCATACTCTGTAAAGTGTGTGTGTGTTTAGTTTTCAATACAGGGTAACTTAGATGTAACCCCCATGCCTCTTTTTAAGAATAATGTGCAGTGTGCTTTGTTGAATAGAGTCCTAAAAGTATATGCTATTTGACATAATCAAAAGTGTGTATGTATAAAAACACAGGGTTTTATTCATTAAACCTTGTTGATATTTATTCTATTGTCTTGAATCAAGTGCTGAGACTAATAATTAAAGCAGATCCACATGATGACAATTTAATCCAATTCAACTTACACATTATTATTACCAATGTACAGTGAATATATATGGTTTGGTTTAATCATATTCCTGCATTTTATGTCCCCATATAAAGAATGTATAATATGTACTAATATGGAAAATGCATGTGTAACTATTACAAGGCCAGATATCTTGTATGTGTATATAAAGCAGTTATTCACCAGGGGGGATTTGATATGGGGAATATCACAAGGATGATATCAATACATATATATATTATATTAAGGATGATGTAAATATCATTATCCCACCCTAAGTGCTTTATATGATTGTATAATAGCATTGTATAACTGCAATATAAAACCAACACTCATCGTATACAACTCTTGAGAACGATATAAAACTCCTGGATGGCGTATACAACTCTTCGACTTGATATACAACTGGTGAATTTAGATTAACCTTTTATTGATTACATATTAGGGTGGGATAATAAGATCATATAATGGTTGATTCTGTATATCGTTATACTCTCGTGAGTATATGATATATTCACTCGTTCCCTTCAGTCACTCGTGAATATATCATATACTAACTTGAGTATAAACACGATATACGGAATCAACCATTATATAACCTCATAATATCATCCAAGGGATGATTTTTTTGAAAAAATGAAAAATTTTGGAAAAACAAAAAATTTAGAAAAAATGTAAAAAAATTTGAATTTACCTGGGATGATATCAATATCATCCATGATATCATCCCGATATCAACCCTGTCCCAAACATGTGGTTTATCACTTGCTATTAAATTCCTGATATGCTCTGACCATGGTATGAAATATCATATACAGGGTGGGCCAAATATGAAAAATGATTTTCAAAATGATATATAATACATGGCATGGTTTAACATATATCATATGATATTCATCTGTGAACTCTTGTATTGTTTTTTTGCCCCACCCTGTACACGGGACAATTTTCTGATAAAATGTTCTCATATTTTTATTTGCTAGTTATTATGATGATGATGAAGTGAAATTGATCTCAGGATATAACAACAGAACAATTAACTGGTTGCATAGGAGTCAGTGCATTTGTGTATATAGGGTACTGCTTGTAAGAATTATTAAAATATTATGACAGCAAGGTGATCAAAATGTTTATTACAGTGACTGCAGTCTTTCATCAACAAAGTTGCACATATTTCTGGAGGCTTTTATTCTTGCTTTTCAATTGGCAATACTAGAAAATACAATCTCACAATGGCATAAAAGTGTGTGTATATGTGCGTGTAATATGATACTCTTAGGAGCGCACAATATTTGCTATTATTATATCATCTACATAGGTCCTTTCTTTTTCATTATAATGAGATTATACAAACGAATGGGCTCAATGGCTTTCTCTCATGGGTCCTTTCTTTTTCATTATAATGGGATTATACAAAGGAAGGGGCTCAATGCCTTTCTCTCACGGGTCCTTTCTTTTTCATTATAATGGGATTATACAAGGAGGGGCTCAATGGCTTTCTCTCATGGGTCCTTTCTTTTTCATTATAATGGGATTATACAAACGAAGGGGCTCAATGCCTTTCTCTCACGGGTCCTTTCTTTTTATTATAATGGGATTATACAAGGAGGGGCTCAATGGCTCTCTCTCATGGGTCCTTTCTATTTCATTATAATTGGATTATACAAACGAAGGGGCTCAAGACAATGCTCTTATCTTAAGAACATCAACACATGAATAGTTGCACTATCAGTAGGTTTAGCTGCTAAATGTCTTATTCTAAATGTTTTAGTTTAAAAATGATGTTTACAAGAAAGAAGGTTTTAATTTATTGGTTGATAAATTGCAATTTGTTAGTATGTATTTTTGTATTTTGGTTGTATGTGATCCAAAGAGATTGGGGTCTTTATTTAAACATATGAAAAACTACATAAAGCATATAAACAAGCGTAGAATAAATGAGTGGCAAGTTGTAATATCAAAATGTATTTTTATTTCAATAATAAAACTGAAATAATTACAATATAATTATTATAAATTCATATTTTGTACTCTTCAGTTTATTGATACTTAATTTGTAGCTCCGAGTTTCATTTGATGCAAATAATGCAGGCAGAATCCTAAGTACTGTCACAGTTGAAATCCCATAGGATTCTAATTCCAATCTTACTGCAACATTCAAGTTGACATTTGATGAATTACATTCTGGAAAAAGTATTCCTTTAAGAATCTAAATTGATTTTACTTACTGAATAAAACTTAAAACTTCACCTTGGAGAATTCTAAATAATCTAAGAAAGAAAAAAACAAATCACAAATCTAGTGATGTGTATGATTAAACCAAGGAACAGTGAAATAATTCAAATTGATTCCACCGAGATTTCAACTTATTGTAAAAGAAGCTTTAAGGTCTCCTGATCTGCTATGTATTAGTTTTGCTTGAGTGAACTCTTCATTACTAAAGATACAGATTTACTACGATCTGTGCATTGATTTTTAAAATTCCTTGATCAACTCAAATGATGATTTTGGACGTGAATGCTCAAATTGGCCTGCAGTGTCACTCTGTTATGAAGGCATACTGTGTAGTTTTAAATGCAAATAAATAATGGTTATTTTACCAAACATTTCAACATTTACGTGGCTTATGTAGCTGTGTAAACTATGAGTGGCCTCATTGGTGAAGATACTTTAAAATTTAAATATATGAAACTTTTGTTAAAATGGCATGATATTTTGTAATAGGTACAAAATACTGGATATTTACTGGGTTTTAATGTTCCCAACACAGTTCCATAACAAGTTTTGGTCCTGTCCCATGACAATATGTGGGTCCTCAGTACAGTCCAATGACGATATGTGGGTCCTCAACACAGTCCCATGACAATATGTGGGTCCTCAGTACAGTCCCATGACGATATGTGGGTCCTCAACACAGTCCCATGACAATATGACAGTCCTCAGTACAGTTTCATGACAATATGTGAGTCCTCAACTCAGTCCACTGACAATATATGGGTCCTTAACACAGTTTCATGACAATATTTGGGTCCTCAACACAGTTCTATGACAATTTGTGGGCCTCCAACACAGTCCCATGACAATATGTGGGTCCTCCGTACAGTCCCACGACAATATATGGGTCCTTAACACAGTTTCATGGCAATATGTGGGTCCACAACACAGTTCTATGACAAGTTTTGGGTCTCCAACACAGTCCCATGACAATATGTGGGTCCTCAGGACAGTCCCATGACGATTTGTGGGTCCTCAGTACAGTCCCATGATGATATTTGGGTCCTCAACACTGTCCCATGACAATATGACAGTCCTCAGTACAGTTTCATGACAATATGTGGGTCCTCAACACATTCCCATGACAATATGTGGGTCCTCAACATGGCTCCATGACTATATGTGCAACAGCATCTCTTTATCTACAAACTGAAACAAAATATACCAAAAATTAATTATCTACAAGAATGGATTATATCGATGACATTGTTCCACTTTTATGAGGCCAATATTTAACACAACCTAATTACATGTATATATTCCTTTCCCTGGCACCCCCTAGGGTGGGCTCAGAAATTCGCTAAAGCAAAACTTCTAGAATTTTATCATCATGAACCTGGCCTGATATATTTGCTTTTTGTGCATGTAAAAGATGTGAAATGTATAAGTGGGACAGTTCTATTGTAATCAGAGAGGGAATAACCCATAAATCAAAGATGAATTTATTTTCATGAACCTACAATATAACATGGAGATAACTTTGAATTCTGGGTTCTTTCTGTTTTAGAATACTCCAATTTAGAAATGATTTTTTTCAAATGTTGCAAATAAAATTCCAGATTTTCGGGAATCTTCTGACAATGATTAATTCAATATATTGATGTCCGATGATTTCTATATATGTGGCAAAAGCCTGTGGC